TAGTTTGCTGGCAGTTGTGCAGAGCATTTTGCGCGAATAAATGGCATTCCGTACTGGTTACTGGAGCTGCGTTTGAGAAAGCAGCTATGAAATTGTTTTTAGAAGATTTAAGCAAAGATCTGAGAGTTTCCTTTCTCGCTTTGGAATTTCGCTGAGCTTTTAGATGTGTAATTTCCTAAATGCTTGCATTGTTTTATGTTGCTTTGATTCTCTCAAATGACTTGGCAATTGTTATATTTTGTGTTGGAATTAAGCATTCTATGAGGTTGTTCCAACAACATTACCGTTAATGCATGTCTGAGGTTGGCGAATTGGGACCATGGGGGTTTAAAAAACGTTTGAGAATAATTACTGGCAACAGCACTAGATTTTTACCTAGGAACATTCAAGTTCTATTTGTATTGAAGGTACTTTCCATCCAAATCAGTCTTTCATTTGGTTGGTAACATACCTCCACAGATAAAATAGAAAACGTATTGTTTAGCAAATCATTGTGACTACAATTTGCAAGTTGCATCACAGTGTTCAGCACTGAGTGTAAAGGAATGAGAATCTATATATTGTTAAGAGCCTTGGACTAGCGAGTAGTGAGTTTAATGTCCATTCAGTCATGAATCTCACAGGCTCTTGGTTTAACCTCCCTTTCAGGTAGTAAACTTTCGTTCTTTTACAAAGTGTATGTGCAAGGTTTTTGTGTCAGCGTCATGTGTTGAGTATTGTGCTTTTAGATTATTATATTTTGCCGGAACAGCAGGATATAAAGTATTATGATAATAATGCCCTCCTTAGTTGAGGGAGAAGGCAAGCTTCTGTGTGAAAAAGGAGACAGAATTGCAATGAACAGTCAAGGTGTGTATATTTTTAAGGAAGAGCAAATATTAGAGAATTACAATAAGCTTACAGGTGACCTTCCAAAAGAAGCCAAATCCTGCCCCTTAGAATAGTGACGTGTGTCAAATGTAAGACTTTCTTCTGCTTACTGGGGCCAAAATCCTGTGTTTTTCCTTGTTTTACAGCGATCTAGGCGAGACAGGTACAGGAGCCCTGAGAGAACAAACGTTGGCAACGCAAGTAGACAGAAGGGAGTCAGCCCATATTCAACTTCTGCATATCCAGCTGGCCCTGCCTACCTACCCCAATTTCCCCTGAACCATCTACTGGGGTTTCTCACTTCTTCCAGCCACCTCCCACTAGTAACTACCTCTTGCCCTCAGCCACCCTGTCCATTTGTGACATCACAGGAAGTTTGTAGCCCATGGCAACTGCTTAGGGATGCATCTGCACAGCCTCCCATCCTGGTATTGGAAAGGGGAATGTCATGAACGTTACTTAGATGTATTTAGAAATACCTTGATTTAGAAGTAGAAGATGGCTTGCTTAAGCTCTGCTGTCCCCTTCATTGCTGCTTTCAGGGAAAGCCTCGTTGGCTTGTGACATCCATGAAAGACAAACACAGATATGGTGAGGGGAATGACCCTTGTTCAACAGTTATCATCCAACCACCTCCATTGGCCAGCCTGCCAACCTCCGCTGGCTTCCACCCATGAATATCGAGTGGTTCATTCGCCCAGAGCCTGGAGGGCAGCCTACACTGCTATCTGAACATGCAATTCCCAGGCATACCATGTCTGGTGGGTGACCTATGTCCACACTCTCCATTCATACTTACCCCAGCATCAGCCCACAAATATCCACACAGCTTTTGTCAATGACCTTCTGAAGGTGAATTTCAACCAGCTTACGTGCACAAACTTCAGCCCTGCAGCATCCCGGGCTTCCACATGCTAATCACAGCTTCTGCCAGCTCCATCGCCAGCTTCCAACCATGGATATCTGCCGCTTTCAAGCCGCGGTCCTGCTCAGCAGGTACACTTGCCTTCTCATTGCTCCACAGCATCTCATTGACGGATGATGGCCTCCTTCCATTTGCCACTTCGCCTCCATGCGGAAGGAGATCACCAAGTACTGAATAACACAACTGTTGTCCACAGTGTCCTTTTCAAGCTTTGCCTTGGGCTTTCCCCTTGGGTCGCTTTTGTATATCCACTGAGCTGCCATGTGCTTATGTGACATCACAGGGCGTCCACAGCCAATAACACCAGCTGGAGAGGCATCATCATCATCACCTCCTCAGGCCTCAATGGTGGGTGCAGCTCAGCAGCCATTTGCCCTTTGCTTGTTTGCTATGTACAGCTCACTCCTTATTTATAATGACATCAGAAAAAGGCATGCCAGAAATCCACCTTCCCATTTTGATTCTCTGGCATCCTATCTGCATAACCTAGCAATTCCAAAATATAGACGCACTTTTACTCTCACAAGATTGAATGTATTCCCTCGGCTGTACTTGAGGGACGATTGCAACAGATTCCACACGAAAAACGTTTATGTCCCTGTGGAGATGGCAGCACTGAATCGGTGACGCATGCACTTTTGACTTGCACTCTTTATAAAGACTTGAGGAATGAGATCATCACCCCTCTTTTATGGTCTATTCCGGGTCACCCAACCGCTGCCACAGTGTCCTTTCTCTTGGCAGATCAAGATGAGAAGGTGACAGCAAAGGTTGAAGGGTTTTTAGCTGGGGCAATCAGAATAAGATCCACTATTTGACTGTGTTTTATATAATCAGGTTTTTATTTCTGTTCTGTGTATATTGCAATGTTCTTTTGTTGCTATGGCCTATGGCTGACGCAAATAAAGTTTCACTCATTCAATCCATAGTGGGGGGTCATTTTTCATCCTGATGGCTGCATTCCCTTGGGTCAGATTTTCCATGTATGGGAACCAACTCCTAAGGGCCAAGGTCCCTTCATCTCCCCCCCAAAAAATTTGATTAGTTGCATCAGGTGTGCTTGAGACAACACTTTTTTTGTGCTGTTGTGAGGGATTCTATTCAGGGGGTTGAATAATAGACTGGAGAAGCCAGTCTAAGTTGCAATTTCAGCTGAAATAGGGGGAACCACTTGAAGCATCTGCTGTATTGAGCTATTTCAGTTGCTTTTGTTTGATTTGCTCATTGCAAACAGCTAAAAGTCTGTTAATTTTGATAATAAGCCTGATTTGCAATGGAGGTTGAATAATTTTGATTGCAACTGTATGACTGTCAGTATGATTTGCACTTTTATCTATGGATATAAGTAATATAGGTATCATTTTATTCTCATGTAACAATTTCCCAGGGAGTAGTCATGTTAAACAGTTGAAGCAAAAAGAGAATTTTGGCAACTTAAAAATTAGCAAATTTAAAATGGCATAAGATTATTTGATAACAATCCACAGACTCTTAAGTTTCTTTATTCTCTGCATTCAACCTGACAAGAGTTCTGTATGACACAAAAGCTTCCATTTTTATCAGTAATATGTCAAAGTACATAATTTTGTTTCTTGTTCTATGAAAACAACATGATCACTCAGACACTGATCAGTACAATTTTGCTTTCAATGTCCTTTTCCTCTGGACTATTCCCATGTTGGTGACAGTGCAGTAGAAGCAGATGGAGGAAGCATTCAAGACTCAGGGTAGATGTAAATAAGAATAGAAAAATGCAAGGAGGATCTTGTTTAATCAAAGCTGCTATACAACCCTGCTTTTGTTGGCACAATATTTTAGAATACAATACATTCCAAACCTTGCTGCATCAGTAGTATTTTTTTTAACAACAGCAACATCTACTGACTTTTCCCAAAACTATTAGTTCAAATTAACAAGGTTTTGCCTCCAGGCAAGAGCATCAGTAAAACTGAAAAGCAGTTAAGTGAGTACTATTATATCTGTTCTCTTTTTAATCTACATTTGAATTCGCTCAGGAGAAAGACAATTTGCTTTATTATTCAAAGCTGAATATAGTACTTTGTTTCTAAGCATTGTTCTTCAGCAGAAACTATTGATTGTTGTCTTTTTTTCCCTTAAAAGTCAGAGGAGCACAAAGGGTTTCAACTGGTTAATGAAAGGAGGCAGGCAATTTCCTCATGTCTTAAGTATCTATAAACTGTTGGGGGGGGCATGTGGTTTGGAAAGACATGCTTCTACATAGGTTTGAGTCCTGATAGCAGTACCTCCCTTTTTAGAAATGTATTTAATTCATTTATTATATGTTTATCCCTCCCATTCTTCAAGGAGCTCGGAGCACCATACAAAGTTCTTCCCTTCTCCCCTCCTTTTATAATTGGAACAACACACTGAGGTACATTATGCTGGTAGATGGGGACTGCCCTGGGACTTCCCAACCCTAGTCCAACACTCTTTTTAACTACTTAAATCACACTAGTTAATAAATTAGCTACTTGTTGCACCATCCTGCAAGACCTGTGAGTTTTGGGGACAGCTCACAGTATCGCTGAGGGTGCAGGGCCTCCATTAAATTAAGTGCCAACTCATGCCAATGTTCAGCTGCACATGGCTACGTGTAGGTTTTTTAAACATGCCAATGCAAACCTATGGCTTTGCAATTTCTAATGGCGTTCAAAATAGCATTTAAAATTTAATCCAGCACGTAATGGCAGCTGAACCCAGCAGACTCACTCATGAGATTTCATGCAGAAATTTGAAGCAGTTCCCACATATGCTCAGTGGCGACACTTGATACTATTACTTTTGAGGGAATAATTTGCTCATTCCATTTTATTTCACCCTTCTATCAATGAACCCAGAACAGCATTTTGGCTTCACAACAAGTCCGTGAAGCTAGCTAAAACTGAGAATGAGCTTTCTCTTTGAGCAGGGATTTGACTCCAGATCGACTTGAACACAAGATTTATACAGGGTTCTCAAATTGTTTCATTTAGGTGGTATGTAGTGTGTCTGGATTTGTGGAGACGGCACATTCATTGCATTAAATATTCCTATTGATTTTTAATTCCTGAAATTGTAATACAATAGCCTAATATATAAGAAATAAATGAAGCAATTTAAATGCAATTTAAAATTACTCAGCATCTAGCACTGTGTGTTATAATTGCCACAACAGGCCAAAAGAAAAAGCAGCGTTCAACCAAGCCCCTCACTGATCTTCAAGTGGTCCAGAAGGTAAAATTCTGGGGGAACCACTGATCTATAATAATTATCTTCATAGATGACACCAAAGTCCAGCTAATCCAGTATTCTGTTTCCAAAAGCAATCAAACAGCAGCCCAACAAAGCAGAATGTGAAAATCATATGCCGTTCCTCATTTTTTCTCTCAGCCTCTGGTATTCCAAGATATACTTCTTCCGTACAGATAAGTTCAGTTTTAGCCATCATGGCGAATAGCTGTTCTCCTTCCAATCAGCCGGAGAAGGAACAGTTCCAGGGCACTTTCTTCCCCTTCCCTGCCAGAAAAAATATTCAAGACAGCAGAACTAAAGAGAACCCTATTATGGCTCCATCCATCAGCCAGAGAACTAAGGGCTGCAGGGATGTGTGAGTTTGGGGGGTGGTAGTGCACTATTGCTACCTACTGTAAGAATTTGATTGAAAGGCGAGGCATAAATATTAAAAATTAATAAAATTGTATAAAAGAAAAAGGGACAGATCCTTGCTGACCTGAATGTAGGATCTGAACCCACAACCCTATAGTAACTAAACAAGAGTACATTGGCTAATACTCTGCCACAGCAGAGTCAGAGGTACCAGATGCAAAGGACAGCAGGATCCTGGTACCTTTCATATATTACATCTCTGAATACATTCCAGTCCCGGCGATTGTTTTCCTTACAATAACTATCAGCAGTGTGGAAATCACAAAAATGTGGGCACAACTTTTTCCATTGCTGACACCTGCCACATTTCCACTTCCTTCGCAGTTGTTGATATACTTCTTCTGTACAACTAAGCCATCCCTCCAACTTGCATATATTTCCATCAGCACTTCTTCACAATGGCATCTCTAGCCATGCTCCCAAATGCACAGCTCAAAGCCCCAGTCGATGGAGGCTAAACCAAGATTATAAGCACGGATTTCCTAAGTCAGAACAACTTCTGTATTCGAACAGACAGCAGCTCTCAGGCCAGAGGTCTTGCCTTTGACTTCCTTCGCCTCAGGGAGTGGGTTTGAGCTGGGGGTGCTCGTGGAAAAGAACAAGGTTGTACACCAGGATTCTGCCCCACTCCCTTACAACTGTAATCCTATGTACCCTCCCTTTAGACAGAGTGCATAAGGTGTAGAGGACCGAGCCATACACAAGCATTTTGCTTTAATAATTATAGCTCGTGTACGTATGGCTTGATCCTGCATACACCCTACGCACTGTGATAATTATTGCAGTGATTACTGTGATTATTTTATTAATTCATTACCATTAATTGTAACAATAATATCCTAAGCAACCTAAGCACTGTGATAATTATTGTAATGATTACTGTGATTATTATTATTCTTTCTTTTTGCTTATTCTATTATTAATTGTAACAATATCCTATGCACCCTACACACTGTGATAACTATTGCAATAATTACTGTGATTATTAAGTATTCTATTAATTTATGACCATTAATTGCAACAATAATATCCCATGCACCCCACGCACTGTGATAATTAAATATTTTATTAGTTATTATTTCATTGCTATTAAAACAATTGCTAATTGTTTTGTCCCGTGCTTCCCCCACCCACACGAGAGATGGGACGGGGGGGGGGGGAGCAGCTCCTCTGACGTCCCTCGGAGCAACTTCGAAGCGGAGGCGCCCTCCCCAACCTCCTAAAATGACATCACTCCGCTTCGCCTGCCAGAGCTCCGCCCCAGGCAGGAGGAGCCGGAGCGAACCATTGTCCCCAAAAGAAGCGGGGGGGGGAGAGAAGGGAAATCCCTCCTCACGGCTCGCCATACCTCCCGAGCGCCGAACCTTCCCGCTCACCCACACGGACCGCTGAAGCGACACTTGCCCCGGGAGACCCCAGTGTGTACGCGGGTTTTCTACATTTGTGCGTGTCTCCGCTATCTCTCTCTCCCCCCCCCATACGGATGGACGCCGCCGAGCTCAGGCGCGAAAGAGAGAGACAGAGACAGAGAGCGAGCGCGCTTTCAGGCAGCTGGCGCGAGGGGGGCGGCTGCGCCTGCGCGAACCGCGCTGACAAGCCCGGCGCTGTTTCCCTTCCCTCTTACGAAAGGGCGGGAGGGGAGGGGGAACGAGAGAGAGGGGGAGCCGCGGAGGGGGGCGCGCGGGTCTCTCTCGCGCGCGTGCGCGGGGCAGGTAAGCGGCTGTTTGGCGGCCGTTGGGGCTCCGTGAGGCGAGGGAGGTTGGGGGGGGGGGGAGGTGGGTCCGGTGAGGGAAAAGAGAGGCGGCGGCTTCTCCTCCTCCTTCTCTCCCGCCCTCACACGGAGAGCGATGGAAGGAGCCCTTCCCGCCAAAACGGGGCAAGAGGCGGCTGCGCTGGCCTGGCGGCCCCGAGAAGCGCCGGGGAGGCGGATCCTGAGGGGGAAATCTTGACTATTACACCGATAGAGATATATCGGTACATATATATATATATGCGTGTGTGTTTGCGGTTACCTCAGACGCTGTGCTTCCTCCACAGCCCTTGTTTCCTCCCTCAAGAGGGTCGTGAGGACGGTGTTTTCGCGTGTCGGCGGCGGCGGCAGCAGCACCAGCAACAACATGAGCCGCGATTTCAAACCCGGGGACCTGATCTTCGCCAAGATGAAAGGCTACCCGCATTGGCCAGCCCGGGTCAGTAAGGCGCCGCCTCCCTCTCTCCCTCATCCATCCCTCCTTCACCTGCGTTCCCACGAGCGTGCTTTTTCACGCGCCCGGGGGGGGGGACGTCCGTGGGGAACCCGCCCCCTTCCCCTCCACTCGCTTTTTTTTCCCCTGCAGGAGCGGGGTGGTTCGGGGTTCACCCGTCTGGACCTCTCTCTTGGGGAGGGAGGGGGCGTGTTCGTGGCGTCCCTGGAAGTGACTTCTCCATCACATTGCAAGGTGCCCACATGCTGCGGTTCGGCTTAGGGTGTTTTTTTTTCCAGCTAGGTGGTCTTAATGCCCTGCAGAAAAAAGGGGTCACATTCCTCCCCCCCACAAAAAAAGAAAACTACTTGGTGGGCAAATGGATTGGGCCAAATCAGGTGAATGGCTGAGAGCGCTACCTGCTCATGGCGTAGCTTTGGGTAATTTACATGGTTTTAGCAATGAATCCATAAGTGACTGTGGAGGCCAATTCTGGATCCACACGTCCTTCCGCAGTGGGGACAGGTTTCCGGGTGGGGAGTGGATTCCCATCAGGGTTTGCCAAATGTGCCTTCCTCTTAGCACGTTTCTCCCTTATGTCCTGAGTTCAAATGTCTTCAAAGCCCATGGTATCTGAAGAAGTGTGCATGCACACGAAAGCACATACCAATAACAAACTTAGTTGGTCTCTAAGGTGCTACTGGAAGGATTTTTTAAATTTTGTTTCAAAGCCCATGACACCTTTGGTAAAGGCTGTTCTCCAACTGGAGCGCTTGCAGGCCGGTGTTTCCCACTTGTCGCTGTTTATACTACATTTTTAAAGACTTGCCTTAAGAGAGTCTTTAAACCTCTTTTGTTGACCACCAGCATTACGCTTTCCATTCATAAGTTGGGAATAGAGTAGTTGCTTTGGAATATGATAATCAGGCATTCACACAACATGACCAGTCCAACAAAGTTGATGTTGAAGAATCATTGCTTCAACACTGGTGAACTTTGCTTTTTACAGTACACTGGCATTAGCTCGCCAGTATACTGGTATTAGTTTGGGTAATTTAGTAGGGACACATTGGGTTGCGTGTGTCTGTAATAAAAAATATACCTATCCATCTACCTAAAGATGTCTGGGTTAGAAAAGTATGTGTGTTGTCTCTTATTTTCAGGTCATAGTCTAGAGTCTTTTCTACTGACCAGTTAACATTCAATGAGAGACATTGATGTTATATACAGTGTAAGGTGGGGGGAGGGCAGGGGGGTGGTCATTGCCAAGGAAAAATAACAGATAGAACCTACCAAAGTAACGCTGGCATATTGGGTTGTTGTTTTAAGAATACACTATGTAAAAGGATGAAAGTTTACTATCCCCTCCCTTCTCTCTCCCCTGCTCTCTTCTTCCCCAGATTTATACTTTCTATAACATTAGTGTCTCACATCAAAATATTTAAAAAAACCAGAAGCTGTATGTAGGTGTGTAACCAAGGAAAATCTTTAATAACATTTTTTTAAAAAACTGAAAACTGAATTTGAAATGGCTAAAGAGAACTAACTGGGGCCTGTTGAGGAAAAGGTCAAAGTAAGATGCTGCTTACCAGTACTGAAAGACTTGCTTGGAAGCCGGTCAATATTTATCCAAAGACATAAAAAAAAAAAAAATAGATTTGGGGCAATTCTGCATGACACAGAATCACACACCAGCATTCAAAGGTGCACAAACTAGATCAGAGCACAGATCCTAATGATTTTTCATACTGCCCACCCTGTAATCTTATTTGACATTTTTCCCATAGCACTATATTGCCAAAATAAATAAAAATAGTCCAGTGTGGATCCTTTGGGTTTCTTTTCTCCACATTCACCTAACCACATGCCACATTATGCTGGCTACATTATAAAAATTAAGACATCTGAAGAGCAGTTCATCAAAGTCTTGTAACCTGAAGATTTAACAAGTTTAGCACAAGCTTTTATGGAATCATGCATCAGTTAGCAAGTGTGGCAGTCTGTGATTAAATCTGCATTTAAAAGAATGCAAATTAAGACTGGTGACTGTTCACCATAGCAATTATTATGATAATACAATCATTAGATTTACTGTTGTCCCTATTCAGACCAAAATGGATAGAATCCAACTTCATTATTATTACTATTACTTGGTCACCTTACACATAGAAAAGAATTTACACAGAGTAGAAAAGAAAATAGAGTGACTTACACATACAACACAAAAACTAAAACCAATCAATTAAAAACCTCTAAATAAAAGATGTATCTATACAAATAAAATACAGTTCTAGCAGATCCTGCCCTTCCAAAAAAGGCCATAAATACTAAAAAAAACCAAACCCTTCAAACTAAGGGCCAGAAGCCCAGGTAAAGAGAACAGTTTGCCTAGAGCCTAAAACTAGATAAAGATGGTGCCAGGTGAGCCTTCCTTTGGAGAGCATTCCTCAAGTTGGGAGTCACCACTGAAAAGGCCTGTTCTTGTGTTGCTCCCCTCCAGACCTCTCATGAAGAGCCTCAGATGATAATTGCAGGATCCAGGTCAGTTCTTCATAAGTTCAAATTAAACTGTTTCACACTGTAAAGGTAAAGGCAAAGGTACCCCTGCCCGTACGGGCCAGTCGTGTCCGACTCTAGGGTTGCATGCTCATCTCGCTCTAGAGGCCGTGAGCCAGCGCCGTCCGAAGACACTTCCGGGTCACGTGGCCAGCGTGACAAAGCTGCAGCTTCGTGGCCAGCACCAGCGCAGCACACGGAAACGCCGTTTACCTTCCTGCTATAAAGCGGTCCCTATTTATCTACTTGCACTTAAGAGTGCTTTCGAACTGCTGGGCAGGAGCTGGAACCGAACGACGGGAGCTCACACCGCCACGGGGATTCGAACCGCCGACCATACGATCGGCAAGTCCTAGGCACTGAGGTTTTACCCACAGCGCCACCCACGTCCCCACTGTAGTGTCCCTTTAAAGTACCTTTTTTGAAGAATAAATTTAGTGAAGAATAAATAAATTCTACCTTGCAGTGCTTTGCCCTGTGAAACTGTCTGTCACAGCTAATTTGATGCTCTTCTGTAACCGTAAGGATGGTGCTTGTTACCTAAACAAAGTGGTCCCTTTGGATAACACCACACTAATTAAAAGAAGTGCCTCCATGCTGGGCAGTTATAACTGGGAGGCAAACTGATACCTTCTTTCAGCAGCCAACAAAATCAATGTCAGAATTAGCAGGGAGTCATTCCCTCATTATTAGCATGATCCTATACATGTTTGCTTTCAATAAGTCTTGCTCTGCTCAGTGAGGTTTACTCCCAATTAAATGCACATAGGATTGCAGTTTAAGAGAAAATTGTTTTGAATCTGTTGTCTTTGGTGGTCAGTGACTAACATCTTATATATGTGAGACCTTCTGTTTTCAACCTACTTCACAAGTGTTCTGAACATTATAACCACCAGTGATTTCTTTACCCCTTTTAGTAGTTTCCTACTAAATCAAAGTGTTTCATTTAGAGTAAATGTTGCTTTCCCCCCTTTTCTTAGGTGGATGAAGTTCCTGATGGAGCAGTCAAGCCACCTACAAATAAAATGCCTATATTCTTTTTTGGCACACATGAAACGTAAGTCCTAAAGTTACAAAGCTATACTGGTTGAAGTAGAGTTACTTGGCTGTTGAACTATAGATTGTACATATTTTAGAGCACAGAGGCATGACAATATCATTTTTACATTGGGTTAACTTGGTGAAACTGATCTTTTCCCAGGCTTAGTCTAAAGAGTATTTGTTTTCTAAACACAGAACCCTGTTTGTTATCCTGTATTATATTACACTTGCAGTTATTTAATTTTGCCACAATCAACAGTGTATGTTAGTACATGACCAGGACTTCTTGTCATGCTATAGCCGATAGGAGGTGTGAGTTCTTTGTTGTAGTTCTGACCTTTGGAGGCCCTGGAAGTTGAAACCCACAGAAACAAAGAACAACCGTTACTGCTCTTATTGGCTGGTGTGTGGGTCAATGCACCTCAAAAAGGATAATCTAGAGCTGAAAAACGTGTAGCATAGGGCAACCAAAATGATGAAGGGACTTAACCAAGTTCTCTATGAGGAAAGATTACAACATGTAGGGCTATTTAGTCCAGAAAAAGGGCAAATGAGGAGGGACATGATAGAGATGTATAAGATTATGCATGGTTTGAAAAAAAAAAGTTTACAGACAAAAGGATTTATCCCCCTCATAATACTAGAATCCAATGAAGCTGAATATTGGTAGATTCAAGATAGACAAAAAATACTTGTTCACAGGGTACATAGTAAATGTCACTACCATAATATTTAGTAATTGCTACTACCTTGGATGGTATTTAAATTACAATAGACAAATTCATGGAGGACAAGCCTATCGAGGATACCATCATGATGGCTGTGTACTGTCTCCATTATCAGAGGCAATATCCCCTTTGCCTGGTGCCTTCATTATACACCTTTAGGCGTCAGGTGAAAATGTTCCTCTTCAACCAGGCCTTGGTCTGACAAACATCCTACATACTTGTAAATGTGTTTGCACCAGGGAGGGGATTATTGGTTTGTTTTGGTTTTGTTCTTTTTTTTTATTGCGTATTTTGTGTTTTTATCCTGTATATGCTGTGAACTTTCCTGAGATGTACAGATGAAGAGAACTCAAAGAATACAAGTTTATTTATTAATAAGCTTTCTATGAGTTCTTTCCCCTCATCACAAAAGTGTCCAAAAAGTACACGCTGCATTCATGGGAGCTGAGGCGAAGTGTTTTGAGAATTGTGGGTAGTTATTTGGCATAGCATAGAACTAGTGTGAAGTGGCCTTTCCTGCAGGTCTTTGCACCCTGGAGCAGTTTTCCAGTCCAGCTCTTAGAAGAGACTGTGGAGCAGGAATGAGTGGGGAAAGTAGCAGACAGTGTGTCGGGCATTGTAGAGAGAGACTGGAAAGAAAACGGGAAAGGAATATATGCATTATACTTTGTTAGACCCAGCATCTGTTTACACCATGACCCACAGTTCTTTGAGAATTAGGCCTTCCATACATTTTGTGCAGTCTTATTGTAGCAAATGCCAAAGTGGTGGCTTAGCGTCAAAGCATACAATCAGTGTTTATGATCCAAGGTCATTATACTATGAAAAAATGCAGTTTCTCCCTCCTAATTTAGTTACTTTGTACCTTGCCCAATGCTACAGTGTTATTTTTTCAGTTGGAATTATTAGATCTAGGCACGGTATTCCAGTGTGACATGTAGTAGTAGTATATTTACTGTGAAATTTCAATCCTTTCCCTGATAACTTCAAAACTGATATAGCACTTTTCACTACAATAGCACTTTTGAATGTGCAAAATGCCACTTAAGGTTAGTGGTGATGGGGAGAGCCAGAGATAGGAAAATGGATTGAATATTTTATGAATTCATTTTGGGGAATGACTTCACTTCCATATTACAATCCCAAAATAATGTATGTGTGTGTTACAGCCTATTGAGACCTATGTATATGAAGTCAGGATCTTCTGTTTTTGTTCCTGCATATATTGCTTCAAAATGTGGATTCTCACCTGTAATTCTGTTGCCAGGTTTGGAGAGATGCTTTTGTTGTTTGGGAGCATTTGAGTGCTAAATATCTACAATATTGGTTACCTTGTTTCTTCCTGACAATTTTATAATAAATAGCACTGAATACATTAGGTTCTCAGTTACCAGTGTATGAGAAAACTTCTACTATTTACCTGTGACTGTTGGTGAGGAATTTGTCCAAGTCTTTTATAAATTATAGCCTTTATATTCATTAGTGAATGCTAATAATGACACACAGAAAAGCTTTTCTAAAAGAATAGGTTTAAATAGTAAACGGTTCCCATTCAAATTACCAGTTTTAATAAGAAATGTGGAGTGTACCTTGAATATTTGGGTGTCTCACTTTCTTTGTAGAGCATTTTTGGGACCAAAAGATATATTCCCCTATGAGGAAAACAAAGACAAATATGGCAAACAAAATAAAAGGAAAGGCTTCAATGAAGGCTTGTGGGAAATTGTGAACAATCCAAAAGTAAAATTTTCTACTCAGCAGGTAAGTTACCATCTAATGTGTATAGACTGACAATTTAGTCAGCTATTTCTAGTACCTTATTGACCTGACAGTGTCTGTTCTGTGTCCTGAGCCTATTATGCCAATATGATGTTATCAGGAACCATAGGTATCAGAACGCTGCTGTTGTAGTTTAATAGATCAGGTTCCCCATTACTGAATTGGACATTTCATGCCATTGCCCCTACCTGTCTTCTCACATGACTACTATTCCTTTTTAGAGTACCTGCTCACAGTTAAGCAAATGGTCAATCCCAGGCCTTTTTGAGAAGCTTTTTTCCTCAGGCAAGGGCAGCCCCTGCCAGAGTAAATGGGTAGCACAATTCTTGTAGAACAAGTGAGTGGCAGCAGCTGCGGACCTTTCTTACAAGGCTTGTTGACAAGACAAGAATTGTATATACTTGAGGTAGCCAATGTGGAGCCTTTCAGATGTTGGACTCAAACTCCCATTATGCCCAGCCAACATGATCAGTGGTTGGAGATTATGGGAGTTGTAATCCAGCAACATTTAGAAGATGCTACATTGGCTACCCCAAATATCCTTACAGCAAACTCAGTTCTCCAAGTGCTGGTCCTTATGTAGCCAATGAGGGAAGTATCAGTATGCTTCTAGGTTAGTACAATAACATTTACGAAAATTCCCAAAGGAAATGTTTGCATTGACTGAACAACCTATTTAGTGCTATGTTGAATGCAGTCCTTTAATTGTAGGGTGGATTTCTAAATTCATTACATAGTAAACCCTGGTGAGTTCAATGAGCCTTTGAGTAAATTTTATTACAATTGTTCCATTAATCACTGAAGTTTTCTGTATAGTGTTTTTAATATTTGCTTTATGCAGCACGCTACCCTGAAATTTGATATGATGAAGTGTTGTATAAAAATGTTGCATATATTTAATGTTTTTTAATCACCCAATTTTGGAATTGCTGATCTTGTGTCTTTGTTTCCTGCTGATTTATGTATATGTTGACGATATTTTTGTCCATAGCCCCATCCAGCTATTAACCCTACAGTTGTTAAAGAAACTGCTGAAGAAACTAACTTAGATACTATAGAGGAAAATGAACAAAAAATGGTGCCCAAAAGGAAAAAGCTGACTGCTCTTAAAGTAAGTGATCAAGATCTCATCCAATGCTACAATTCTATGATTTAAGTTAGTCATGAGTGGCTAAGAATTTATTTCATTGGGTCTTCTCTGAGTATAACTTAGTATACTGTCACCTTGTAATGTTAAAGATAGGGCAAAGGTGAGGGTATAAAGTGCAGTATGGACAGGAAAAGATGGTGGTAAATCAGTTTCCTTCATTGGATATAATAGAAAATTGGTTTAAGAAACCAGAACATCTTCATCAAGGTTATGAGGACAGTCGCAAGAAGGGAGTTGTTTGCATATGGATGGTGGGGAGATGAAAACTGGACCATTTTCCTCTGAATTCTGTTTAGGCTTTTGGAGGTAATCACTGCTCCACCTGATTTGAAGTCTTTGCTAGCTCTGTTTTTATTCCTGTTGCTTATTTTCTGTTGAGGTGAGGTCAGATTACTGGAACACTAGAGGATTTCTTATGAGACCCCCTTAGCTTCTTCCCAACCTGCCAAAAGCAATTTACATACAGTGGTACCTCTGGTTACGTACTTAATTTCTTCCAGAGATCCGTTCTTAACCTGAAACTGTTCTTAACCTGAAGCACCACTTTAGCTAATGGGGCCTCCCGCTGCTGCCGCACCACCAGAGCACAATTTCTGTTCTCATCCTGAAGCAAAGTTCTTAACCCGAGGTATTATTTCTGGGTTAGCAGAGTCTGTAACCTGAAGTGTATGTAACCTGAGGTACCACTGTATTTCCCCTTGCAAAAACATGCTGCCGTTTCATGGACCCTAACAAAAGGACTGTTAAAGGGAGTTACAGTCAAATTACTTGATTAATGGTGAATTGGGATTATCAGTTGTGATAGAACAGCACTAGTGTCAGGTTTGTTTTCCATACATTTGGTATTCACTTAAGTGATCTAAGGGTTTTGTTTGTTTCTGCTAACAACTTTGAATGCTAAAGTAATTATATATGCACTTAATTAAGTCTAGTTAAGTGTTGAATAGATCACTAGTTGTGCTGATTGCTTTATTGCTTTCTGAGAGCCTTAATACCCATTACATCATAGATGTTATAGGCACTGGCGGAGGAAGAGGGGGGCGGGGGGAGCGCGCCGCCCCCGGCAGCGCAATCCTGGTGGGGTTCCATCGTGGCTGCCCCCCGCCCGTGCTGGATGCCCCACCCCCGCAGGCAGCACACCCCACCCCCGCCTGCTCTCCGTCCCCTGGTGCCAGAGCATGAAGCTCCGTCACTGGTTATAGGAAAAATTAATTGGGAATCAGGATCCCAAGAAGATGAGGCAGGAAGCCATGTGGTGATTTTGACTTGAGATCACTTCATTATCTGTGGACTGAACAAGACTGGTGTCCTGAACACAGGAGGGGCAGAATGTTCGGCACTTGTGATTCAGAAAGAAGCTCCACACTTCCAGTAGCCAAGGCACAGCTTACATAAAGCAATTCTACACAAAGCAATTTTGATGTTCATTTATATTTAACAAGATTTATATACTGGCTAATTCAAAAAAACTCTAAGCTGTTTAGATAGCTTTGACTAAACAAAAAAGTTTTTAGCCAGCCTCAAAAAGAATACAATTAATGCACCTGATTAATATTCATATAGTTAGGTAAAGGACCCCTGGACAGTTGAGTCCAGTCAAAGGCAACTATGGGGTACGACACTCATCTTGCTTTTCAGGCCGAGGGAGCCAGTGTTTGCCTACTGACAGCTTTCTGAGTCATGTGGCCAGCAGGACTAAACCGCTTCTGGCACAACGGGATACCGTGACGAGTGCCAGAGCTCATGGAAACACCGTTTCCGTATTCATATAGTTACAGCAGTATACAGAACATAAAGCCTTGTTAATCTTCTAAACTGATGCTCATCCTACGATGTTTTTCTGCAATGTGTATTATTGAAAAAGTTTTAAATCCCAAAGAAATAGATGGCACACAACCATGCTCAAGTGCCTGTTCAGCTCTGAGTTAAGAGAGCTGATGGCTTTCTCTTGCATGAGAGTGTTCTGGGGCACAGAATATTTCTGGGCATTGAGGTCAATGTATGATGATAACAGAGGAACTTCAGATACCTGCTACTTAACATTAGAGTTTGGGGTTCAAATGGAACCTGAGACACTTGTGCCAGTATGCCTAATAACCTTACAATGACAAGTCCCTTACAGGCCACTAGTAAAAGAAAAGGTTGAATAAAAAGGTACAAGTTATGTATACCCTGTCTATGCTCTGCATGGAGAGAGCATTTCTGACAGCTTGGATGAGGATTTTTAGGGCTGAATCTGTATCTCATTGGGATCCTCTTAACACATATTTTATATGTGTCTGCCAGTCCCAGATTAAGAAATCTAGATAAGTTTTTGGAAAATGAAAAAAAAATCATATGGATACAGTTAACCATGTTTACTTTGCCTTTCAAAAACAAATTCTGATGTAGCTTCATGAGGACTGCACTTTCATCATTAGGCACCTATACAGACCTTACATAGATGTAAATTTTTTAAAATGATATTTGTATCTCATTCCCAGGGTTCAGTTAAGCAGGATAATATAACCTCTGAAGTTGAAATAGAAGAAAAAGAGATGGAAATCTCGAAAGATGATGATTCTTCAGAAAAACCTAGTGAAGTATGTGACTTCGAGAAATTTGGATTGTTGTTCTTTTTTATTGTTCCCAGTTTACATTTAATTTTGGAAAATGAGGGTCACACACAGCTTTCCCCTTTTGAGCAGCACCTAGGCTCTGCATAAATACTTTTTTCTCTCTGTACACAATACAACATGGGTTCTCCTCTCTTTGTAGTGACACAGGTTTTTCTGAACCCCTTGTCCTCTCTGAACTTTTTCTCTCTGCCCATTGCTACCACTGTTATACTGCACTCTTTTGTGCTACCGTTTCTCCATTAGTGCATATTGCTGCGGGTCTGTCTCCAACTCCCAGGACTGACCCCCTCTTCTTTAAAGTTTGGTAACAGCTCACAAGACTAATTGCATAGCGAGGATGTGTCTGATGCAGATGGGCTATGCAGATTGCTTACTGAACAAGTTAGAAGAAGTAGTGCCAACTCCACTTTGCACCTCTGAATCCAGGAATGGAAGGAAGGAAGGAAGTAGACATGAGAGGTGTTTGTATTTAGTGCCAAACCATGATTTAGTGCTCTGTGCATATGCAAAAAGAAACCTCTGCATTCTCTGAGGCTTGATTGCCCCCCCCCCATGCAAGGCCTAGTTTAATTTCAACTTTCAACAAATCTTAGCTTTCTAGATTTTTGTTTAAAATAAACTGATCAGTTTCCAAGTAAGTAAACTTAAAAATGTGGGTTATAAAGCTGGCTCATTAAACAGACTAGAGTGCATGGTTTATATGAAATGACACATTTTATAAAAAGTGAAACGAAACAGCTGAAGCTGTCCTCCCAGCAGTACAGAAGGAAAGGTTCACAACACCTCCTTGCTGCTTATAGAACTATTATTGAAGCATTACATGTGAACCAGGCCATAGCTATGCAGGGATTATCTCATCCTCTGGCTGGGTGCTCACCCCACTTGTTACACTGGCATTTGGGGAGCTGCAGCAATGTGAGCCTGACTTGGTTAGCACAGCCTCGGTTCATTAAAACCAGTACTAACGGGTCTTTCCCAATATCTCATACTTAAGTCTTCTTGCATTCAAAGCATATGTACTACTACTAAGCTATTGCCTCACCCCTTGAACATTCCTACACTGGCAGGGTAACATGACTCCTTGTGAGAGGAGTCGATGCTATTGTTGCTGACCATCCTAGCTAGTAACTGAGGCAGTGCTGGTGTGTATAAGAGGAGGAGCATAGGCCCAAACTTTTATACATGACCCCAGGGGCACAGGTAGGAACTGCAGTTTATCAGCTTTTACCTAACCAGTGTAACATACAAACAATGGCTTAGAGATGAGAGAAGGCTACAAACAATGGTGAGCTGGAATTGCTTCAGGGGGCTGTAGTTAGTTTGTACAGACCTAGTTTAAATATCCTTGTAACTGGAGTGTAGCTAGCTAAATAGATATGAGCTGTGCAATTTGATGAAGTTATTATTGTGCCTCAGACCTAAACACATCTAAAAACAAATCTCATTTAATTAGAGCGCACTTCCAAGTGTATAAATGAGTATTTTTTCCTTGAATAGCAAGTCCCTTGTGCTATATGAAGTGCTCTCAAAAATCTTCTCCCTTTCAAAGGTAGTTTGCCATGCAGCATGTGGGCTGCTGCTTGAGAAAAAGAAATCCCTTAAACTCACGTTCTTTGGGACATGTAGAATTCCATGGGGTGGGTGGGGGTGATAGCATAAACTTAAGAATTTCAAAATTACACAGACAATTTTTACAGTTAATTTTAGTACTATTTCTGCCCTTAGGATATTGAGAAATCAGATGATGCACCTATCCCTAAGGTGGCTAGGAGGGGGAGAAAAAGAAAGGTAATATTTAGAACTTTTATAGTTTTGTAAATACAGATTGGATTGTCAGTTGTTTTTCAAAGCTATTGGTTGCCTATGAAAAGACACACAAAAATAACCTTAACAATTACTATAAAAAAATTATTACTTCAGAATATGTTGCTAATATGTATGAAATCAGTCCTTTTTCTAGGCTCTTACTATCAATCACACTTTTTTCCTGCCCTTCGCCTATTCTGTCTTCCATGACAGTGGGTGGGATACAAATAAGTGAACATAATGATATCTGGTCAAGTGGAGCTCCTGCTAATGGGGGGAGGGAGAGCCCCTTTTAAAGTCTATTTTCTTCACCCCTGAAGCAGATTTTCAGGTGGAAAAGGAAACATTGGGGGGGAATTGTGTCTTCTTTAATCCGCAAGCAGTGGGAGCTCCCTTTCCCTGAACAGCACACACAGGATCTTAGGATCCAACCTGGTGACAGACTCAAAAGTGTCCCAGTGAAGAGGGACTTCAGCTTGCATCTTTCCAGTCTGAACCAGACATGCTATGCTGTATAGTATATAAAATCCATTTTTCATAAGCTCTTCCAACATTTGGAACAGTTGTGCAGTTTGTTCAAATTAAATGAAGAAATTTGTTTTCAATACAGGCTGAAAAACAAGCAGAAGTTGAAGAGGCAGCAGTAGCAGCAACAGCTGCAGTGCCTACAGCTCCAAAAGCAAGTCCTAAAAGAGGAAGGCCAGCTGGTAAGTTACAGAGCCTGTAACTTGTTCCTAATGTATGCAGTCAGTTGAAATATGTTTTCTCCTCCCTCCCCTCCATCCCAGCAGGAAAAACAACCCCCCCTCCAAAAAAAAACCCCATACTGCTCATGATAAAGTAGCATGTTGTATATGGGGAAATCTCCCTGGATTGATTTTCTGTGCTTATATTGGGTAGAGAGATCTCTACTGCTTCATTCTGCTTATACTGTACACTGGCCAAAATGATGATTTAAACTTGAAATGGTTAAAGATCTTTCTACAGGTAACGTCATCATACAAAATTATTATAGAACATTGTTTTAGATATGAAGCTGTGCTATTTAGTAATAATGTGAATGTATTTGATTGCATTGTTTCATTTGTACAATACCCTTTTGAAAATGGATTGTAAACTTTCTGTATATTTCTGTACTCTTGCAATAATGCAGTGATCAGCGAGATCTGCCCATCTGCAGTATTTTAATAAATATATTTGGGATACCTGCGTTTTACAAAGACACCTATCCTCTTCCCTCTGAAATTTATTCTTACGCTGTGAGTCTAGGGTACCTGCTAAAATGGGAATATTTAGGTGAAACTTTACGGGGATAGGAAGATATCATTGTGCATACAAACACACTACATAATGGATTGTAGTGTGCATGGTTAATTTGCTTCTGTCATCCCATAGGCATACATCTTGACAATATATGTCATTGGTATCTGCAAACTTGGGAGCTATGCTAATAATTATCTATGGAGTTGGGAGCAATGTTGTTGTAAACCTCCAGTTTTAGAGTTACAAAAGTATACAGAACATATGTTAATAAAAGTGCATTTTCGTGGGTGTGTATGTTTGGTACATTTTCTAGTATAGAATAAATTAGCATGCTTATTAAGGACTGCAACTGTTTGCCTCTATGGAAAAACAGAGAAGCCAGTATATTAGGCCTTTCATAACACTTTATTAGTATATTTTGTTTGGTTAACACATCCTGGGCTGCAGCATCTAGGCTTAATTAAATTAGTCATCTTGTAGGGATGATTCTCTCCAAGACAGTCAATTAAAATTGGGTTGAAGGGAAAGCTCTACTACTGACTTTTTAATTTCATCTTTTAATGATCAGCTAAAGTGAAATAGTTAGGCTGTATTTAATTAAAACTTTTTTTATGAATCAGCTTCTGAAGTAAAGATTCCAAAACCCAGAGGAAGACCAAAATTGATTAAACCAGTCTGCCCTCCTGAGAGTGATGTGTAAGTTTGTTTTTAAGCATTGGCATTTGACATGGAGAGTTAGGAATGTAATGGGTTAAAATAGAAATTACATCAAATATGCAAGTATGTATGAATGACTTGACAGATGAGTACTTGAAGGGGCATATTGCTATTATGGGTTGACCTCTGCTTCACCCCAGATTTGCCATGCCCTATACCCTCAGGCAGGTTCCTATGAAGATATAGCCAAGTCTCATTTTAGGTCAGAAGAGACATTTTGATTCCTAACTGAACTTCTCCCTATTGCAATGGATTCCCTGCAGCCACATAGGATAGAAGGAGGTGAGCAACTTGCTGCGGGGGCCATGTGTGAAACATCACCTAGTCTCTTGACTAGATCGTTCATGGATTATTACAGCTACTAGATGGAGATTGACTGGTTGGATCCATGAAGTGATTAACACTTCATTATGAAAGGGAGCACACAGGGCTGCTGCTTCAGAAAACATCATTGGACTCATGGTGAGCCACAAGCTGTTAAGTAGCTTCACATGCTCCTGTAAGTAATTTTGTGTTGGCTGTCAGGAGTATGGACCATTCCTTAGTTCACATTAAACAGGGGCAAAACTAGGCTTTATTTCACCCAGGTCAAAGACCCAGTTTGGCACCCTTGTTCATTTGCGTGCACACAGAGAGAGAGAGAGACAGACAGACAGACACTAGGAGCCTCAATGATGCCCCTCTGGAGGCTTCACCTCCTGGTAGATACGGTTCCGCATGCAATAATTCCTTTTCATAGGGTAAAGAAGATTGAGCTGGCTAGAGGGTAAAAGAAAATGTACAGTGGTACCTCGGGTTACATATGCTTCAGATTACATATGCTTCAGGTTACAGACTCTGCTAACCCAGAAATAGTGCTTCAGGTTAAGAACTTTGCTCCAGGATGAGAACAGAAATCGTGCTCCAGCGGCGCGGCAGCAGCGGGATGCCCCATTAGCTAAAGTGGTGCTTCAGGTTAAGAACAGTTTCAGGTTAAGTACGGACCTCCGGAATGAATTAAGTACTTAACGCGAGGTACCACTGTATTCTGTTTTGGTTTGGATTGCTTTTAGTGTTCACGAGGAAGATAAGAGTAAAAGAAAGGGAGCTGAAGAAAAACCACCCAAAAAACTGCAAAAAAGGGATGAAGAAAGTCAAAGAGAAGAAGACAATGTAAAAAAAGACCCAGAGAAGAAAGAAGGCAAAAAAGAAGCTGAGCCAAAAAGGAAAACTGCTCCCAAAGTGGGATCAGCATCAGCCTCAGATTCTGAAGAAGACGGAGAAGAGCAGGAAGGGAATAAAGTATGTGTTTGTCCAGTCTTTCAGTTAGGGAAACCTTTTGCTGCATGCCAAGCTATATTCTGTAGCTAGTTTCTGATGCTCCATGTGAAATGTATTTTTCTTGTTTTATAAAGTAAACTGTTAGGACCTGATTTTAATGTAAAGCCGTGGCCAACTTCAATGGCTTGGTGCCACATGGCAAAAATACTTTTAAGGACCTGATATGCTCTGTGGTACTGATGATCTCATGGAAATAATGGGGCTATTTTGGAGTTATTTTGTTTAAAAGCATTTCTGTACTGCGTAATATTAAAAATCTAAGCAGTGCACAAGAATCCAACATAAAAACAATATTGGAAAAGCATATAAACAGAAATTCAGTAATAACAAGACCGACTTTTATGAATCAGGGAAAGCTCAAATATATCTTTATAAGATGTCTGAAGCAACTGATGGCTTCAGCTACTAAAATCAGTTTTCCTTTCTATTCAAAATTAAAATGGTACAGAAGAAAAAAGGAAGAAATATCCAAGGGCCTCACAGAAGGAATATTTTAAAAGCCCAACATGATCGTGAAGTAGCAGAGAGAAAACGTAAGCAGGAAGAGCAAATGGAAGTAGAATTGTGAGTATATTCTAACTGCTTTTGTAAAAATTGAGCAGTTATGTGACTAGGGCATTGAAAGAAAAGAAAGATTCTCTACCATTCTTTGTCTAGTAGTGTCTTTGTAAATACTATTTAAGCTGAAATCCCACAGCCCACATTTGGATAACCAAAAGACAGTAGAAAGTGGCTTTTAGCTGGCGGAGAGACCTGCTCTCATAACAGTGTGTACACTCACAAGTTACACTACCAGAGGCCCCCAGTATACCTCCAGAGAGCTCCATGGGCAGAGGGAGGGAAACGGGTATGTTGAGAGTGGCTGCAGATCCACAGGATCCTAAGCCCCCTAACACAGACCACGAAACGGCACCAGCCTACTCTGTAGCTGACATAGTTAACTCCACTCCCACCACTGCCATTGTAGTCAATGAGAAGAAAAAGAAGAAGAAATGGAAAACAGACAGTATGACTTTAGTTGTGGCAGTTGCTCTGTCAAAGATTTCTACCACCACCAGGATTGATCTGTAAGTCTCTAAAGAATATTCATTTACTTCCAGAAGTTGAGAATTATTTACTTTAAATTGTTGGATAATTTTACAGGCAAAACAAAGAAGAAGGCAAAAAACCGGAAGCTAAGAAGATGGAGAAAAAACGAGGTTTGTAGTGAAAGGTTTTTTATGTTTAGTAAATTTTGTATTACAAAGGTATACCCAAAGGAAAGCATACACAGGTGTGTGTTTTTCTGCAGTTCCCTTTTCTCCCACATGTGTAAATGTCATTTCAACTTTTAAATATCTGCTTGGAACTGACAGCATACGGTAATTTTATTTGCTTTATGACATGAAAACTCGATGGCTTGTCAAGACTTTGTTTCTATTCATAGTGTCATTGTAGAATCCATGATACCGTTAAGGTGCTAGGTACTCTTCATACATTAAAATGTGTCTGTAGGAATGTGCCAAGAAAACTAAGCTGCTGCTTTATAGGAACATAAGTCTTACTAAAGTGTTCTAGTTTTGCTACGAAAAAGCAAATTGCATTGCCTGCGTTTCAGCTTAAATTTGTATGCCAATATTGTTTTGGCGGGACGCGGGTGGCGCTGTGGGTAAAACCTCAGCGCCTAGGACTTGCCGATCGCATGGTCGGCGGTTCAAATCCCCGCGGCGGGGTGAGCTCCCGTTTTTCGGTCCCAGCTCCTGCCCACCTAGCAGTTCGAAAGCACGCCTAAGTGCAAGTAGATAAATAGGTACCGCTTTATAGCGGGAAGGTAAACGCCGTTTCCGTGTGCTGCGCTGGTGCTGGCTCGCCAGAGCATCTTCGTCACGCTGGCCACGTGACCCGGAAGTGTCTCCGGACAGCGCTGGCCCCCGGCCTCTTAAGTGAGATGGGCACACAACCCTAGAGTTGGACACGACTGGCCCGTACGGGCAGGGGTACCTTTACCTTTACTTTTACTATTGTTTTGAGTACAGTCAGAATAGTGCAGTTTTATTACAGGCTTCCAGTTTTGCTTTATCAGTTTTGGTGTATTTTACTCAAAGCTGCTCAAAGGCATTTTCCCCATATGGATTTTATATTCACTATCATTTAAGATACGTTTTGTTAATATTTAGAAACATCAATGGATTCACGACTTCAAAAGATACATGCAGAAATTAAAAACTCACTCAAAATCGACCACCTTGTGAGTATATTGTGCTAATACCATTTGTTTCTGAAAGCTGACAAAAGTGTGTGTTTGTGTGTGTATTGTTAAAGTGAATTAAAAATGTATATTCTTACGAAACAACTTTTTGGTTTGGCCTAGTGGTGTCCTTTCCTGACTTAGTGATATACTTAATTTGAGTTGCCTTGGATTAAATAAGAGAGATGGTGTTAACTGTATGAAGTTTAGTGTGAGGATGCAGAATGTCAGATTAAAATAGTTTGCTATATACACAGTGCCCCAAGAGAATAGTCCATTTTCTGTGAGTTAAGCCCATTCAGTTAAAATATTCCTGCTGTAAAATCACACTGAAGTCTTGTGTGTTTTTAATTTTACAATGTTTACAATGTTTTGTCCAAAATCGTGTGTAATAGTGATGTTCCCTCCACCCTCATCCTGAGATTTAACATTTGGGTTTTCATATATTAGGATGTAAACAGGTGCATTGAGGCATTGGATGAACTTGCTTCACTTCAAGTAACAATGCAGCAAGCTCAGAAGCATGCGGAGATGATTTCAACACTTAAGAAAGTAAGATTGGTGGCTTTTCTCATAAAGAAATTATGAAGATTGTTTAGCCTGTTCATGAATCCTTTAATGTAAAACTTCTTTGTTTAAAAATAGTAGAATGCCGGGCAAGGATTGCAAAACTTAATTAGCAATAAAATAGACATGGGGGGGGGGTTGCAACAAAATGTTGATCCATAGGGTACTTTTCTTCAGGGTTTATCCTCTCTATTCCCCCTTCTGTTTTCCATTCCTGTCCATCTGTCAGACAGCATTCTGTGCTCTCATAGCTTTAGTTCTCAATGAACTGTTATAGGTGTGGGTAAGCTGGAACACTGGTATGCATTTGCAGCTTCATCAAAGTATTGGCTTCCTTCATTTGTTTTTGTGGGCAGCTCCAACTTCCATCTCTGTGGACATAGAAAAATAGGTCCTTGATATGAACCAGGAAGTAACCCATCCAAGTAATGAGATCATTATTTCTGCCCTTTCTAGATTTGTGTCTCTTCCTCCATCCTCCTTTTCCAACCACTCCATTCCCTCTCCCAGCCCAGTTTTCAGTACCCACCCCACCCCACAAAACCCCAGTCAGTCAATATTCAGTTGTCAATGAGCAAATGCAGTTCTCGTGAAGCTGTTTGGGGTGGCTTCTCAACTTCTGCAAACTTCAGGGTTCTCACAAGCCTGTTAATACTTTGTGCAGGAGAAAGAGGGTAGGGTTTGATTATGGCTACATAAGCACAATTTCTTAGTCTTGATATCAGTGTTGGTATATAGATGGTGACTGTTTCAGTAAATACTAGATGGCTTTGAGCAACTTGATGATATTCTCATATATTAACTGACCTATCTCCTCCCTCCCCCCAAATATCTATGTATCTATCTATCATCTATCTATCTATCTATATCTGTCACAGATACGGAAATTCAAGGTCAGCCAAGTTATCATGGAAAAATCATCTATGCTCTACAACAAATTCAAAACAATGTTTCTCGTTGGAGAAGGGGATTCTGTTCTTTCACAAGTATTGAATAAGTCGCTGGCTGAACAGAAGCAGCACGAGGAAGCCAACAAAACCAAAGAACAATGGAAGAAAGGACCAAACAAGAAAGCTGAAAAGGACAAAGATCAAACAGGTGTGTGCAGTTCATCGAGAATATTTATTTCTTAGCACAATTTAACTGGTGCATCATTTCCTGTTATATATTCCAGTTTCGGATAAGCTCTGGAATTCTGAATTTAATACAAAGCACTCCTTTGCCAGTGCTTAGTCACAGCACACTTTAGCTGTATTGGTAGCAACAGACTAGGTTTCATGGTAAAGTTTTCATGTTGTAGTTTACCATGAACACACAGAACTCCTGCTTTGCTTCTCCCCTAGCAGGACCAATAAACCACAATCCCTACCTCAGGGTTGTGCCCAGACCTGTGATGGTTGCTTGTTTCACTCTAAGCTACAATTGGTAAGCCAAAAACTTTGGCTTTCCATTTGGTTCATAGCAAAACAAACCACGATCCCCAGTTTGGACATAATGCTAGACCAGGGATTATTCCTCATGCTGACTCTGCATGTCCAAAGTAAACTTAACTATGGCTTAACCATTATATGCAAACAGTGAATGAATTTGAGAAGATGTTACATCTGTGTTCAAGAACCCACAAATTTGGAAGCTATGGCTCTTATAATAGTACTTGCATGCTTTTTAAGTATGTGAAGATAACAAAATAGTATGAAATCTTGTTTTGAGTACAGTACCATTTTGGTAGTTACAGGTTTCTGCACTAACAGTGCAGTTTCCCGTGTTATAACAATGCCACTGGCGCAGCTGTTGCAGAATTAGCAGTTTGTTGCTGTTTGCCTATTTTAAAACAAGACTGAGACAGAGCAACATTTCTGTTTTGTTTTTCCTTTTAACTTTAAAGGCACAAAGATAGTGAATGGTGCTTCTGACACACAAGATGCAAACCAGTCACAGCAGAATGGGGACAGCACAGAGGAAAAGAGAGAGAAGCTTGAAGCTGGCAGTAAGAAAAAGTAAGGGGTAGTTTCCAATCTTGAAAAGATGTAATAACCTGAGGTAGAGGACAACAGAAGGTAGTCTGGGATCTACAGATGGGTCTCTGGGTAGCTTGCAATAGGTTTTCAGAGATTTCCGATTTCCAGTTGTTTAACAGTAGCAGAAACACTCCTCCCACTGCATCCCAAAAATTAAGTTGCTGAAATAGAGAAAGCTTTGGGAATGCGAACCAGGAATAGATTTTGTGTGAAAGGGCTGTGAACTCAGTTCTGGAACTGAAAACAAATTCTGGGCTGGGATGCACCAGTGTGGTGCACCAGGTGTTCCTTAACTGTAAGATTATGCCAGTGCTGCTTTCTAAGCAACTATTTTGCATTAGCCTCCAGCTGATAGCCCTTTGGGTTCTTGGAAAAAATAAAGTAGATCTCATGGAAGTCCATTCTCCTCTTCCCTAAGGAATATTTCAGCGTTTATATACATGGTGATTCCTCAGTTTTCCATGTAGTTTTAAAGAGAACAAAAGATATATTGGTATACTTGTTTCCATCACTTATACTTCTCAGTTATTTGTTAAACAAATGTCTCTTATTTTAAAAAAATATTCCTATTATCACAACTATTATTTACATCAGGCATAGGCAAACTCGGCCCTCCAGATGTTTTTAGGACTACAACTCCCATCATCCCTGACCACTGGTCCTGTTAGCTAGGGATGATGGGAGTTGTAGTCCCTAAACATCTGGAGGGCTGAGTTTGCCTATGCCTGATTTACATTATGGCCTACAGTGTTGCAATACAGTCATAAAAACTAGCATTGGTGATTGCCTGTTATTAAAGGATAACTGTTTCCTTGTACTTTCAGCTTTAAAGTTATAGGGAAGTTAGCACCCCACTTTTAACCATTGTAAATGGAACATGCCCCCTTTTTGCTCTGGGAACGTTCCTGGGATTGCAGAATTGGGGTGGATCTAAGATGGCAATTCCCCAATAGAACAGCTCATGCAAAAACTGATTGAACTCACAGGAGTGTTCAGCCACCCAAAAGAGAGGGAGTGCATAGTGCCTCTTCAGGACTCACTGCGCTTGACAGTCTTTCTTAGTAAATGATAAATTCTGCCACATTACCTTGGATGTAATTTGCATCATTCGCTTATGCCTGATATATAGATGCAGCAGTTTTATCTGCCACGAGAAGTTCCCAGAATAGTGATTTGTGCACAAGCACAGAGGGAGGCTTTTTAAAAAGCATTTCATTCTCACTCAGACTAAAAGTATGCTTCAGATATGACGTTTGGGATGTTGACAATGCTAGCTAGCTGAGAAAGTGGGATGGTTGCATTTTAATTTTCTATCTCACCTTACACTATAACTGCAGGCTGTCTCTGACTCCACCCAACCCCCCGGGACTTTATACAAAAGCAGTTGTAAGATTATTGCATGTCAGTACAATAAAAATATAGCTGAAACGTGTTAGAAGTATACATTGGTACTGTGCTTTTCACTAGGACATCGAGTGATGGAAGAGAACAGGAGAAGACGAAGAGCGCAGCCTCTGAAAATGAGTGAATGCAGCCTAATTTTTGTAAAGTACATATTAAAGAGGATTATAAGGGTTTGCATTTGAAAACTAGATCGCGGAAAGTTTAAAATAATTTTATAAGCATAGTATTTTAATGTGTACAATTTTTGTGGAGTTGTGAAGAGAATCTCTTTAACGTTTGTCTTTAAATATTTAAAATCCTGATAGCATATGGCCCAGTATTAACAGGCAATACTCACTTCATATATAAAGACCAAGTTGATTTAGAGACTGAACAGTGCTTGTATGTTTTGAATTAGTACCGTAGCATATGTTTACCTGACTACTGTATGTTCACTTTTTAGTTAATGACAGAAAAATAACATTCTTTTAGAATTGCCAAATTGCTCCACTTGTATAAATCTATTTTCTTCCTGTTGTCTGTGCATAGTTTTCAGAGTTGTTGTTTGCCAAAGTGTCTGTTCACTGTGTTTTGTAAGAAGCCAAGAGCATTTTGTAGCAGCTAAAATGTTACGTACGAGTATATTCAGTCAGTCCTTTATAAAGAAGTTGGTTTTGTTCTTGAAAGCTAATTGTGCCAATTTAATATGCTCTGACTTTCTGTGGTATGCTTTTGGTATTGTAGATATCTTACTAAGGAAACTCAAGTTTCCATTGGAATTATTGATGCACATTTGTCGCAAACACTGTCTTGAAGCATTTTGTTTTTAAAAAAATAAAGTTTATGCAGAAAAGGCAGCTCTGTATATTTTAATGAGAAATCTTCCCTTTAGTACAGAGTGAGAGAGACTGCTCACTCAGTGAAAGAGGCTAATTTACCTATTTAACTGGTTCCTCATCTTTCATAGACTGCTATTCAAAAGGAGCCCTCAGAGGCACACATTCCTGTGTTTCGTAGCCGAGGTAAGGATTTGAACACGGTCTTTCTGGGCGTTGTGAGACATTCTAACTACTATAACACTTTAGCTCTCATTTGGCATTTCTTTTCACAAAACTTAATATTACTGAAATAGTTCTATATATCAGACAGTTAGAAGAACTTGATAGGAAAAAAATACATGATGCAAGCATGTAAAATTACAAATCAAAATTCAAGCTAGAATGGAGGTTGCTAACCTTTTTGGGCAAAAGAGCATTGGTAATTTTGAGGAAGTGGGTGCTAGTAACAAGATGGCTACTGTAGGGTGTAGCAGAACACAAAACAAGTGTTGTGGCCATAGAATGGTGCAAGCATTGCCCTGGTCAGTGGAAAGAAGAGCCTACAGCTGCTGCTGCTGCTGCACTCGCTGACAAAGAGAAGCTCTTTGCACATCTCATTGCTTCAGAACAGAAGAGGTGATTGGTGCCCAACCAGTGAACTGTGGGCATTGCACAATCATTAAAAAAAAATGTTTAAAGGGGGTTGTTCAGGGTTGGAGGGGCTGAGGCAGCACAAAAGAGGAAATAAATATTGAGAGCTTTTGTGAGTGCCATAGGAGGTACCAGTGGGCGTAAGGTGCCTGAAGGTCCTATAAAAATAAAAGGTAAAGGACCTGTGCTGGTGGCCCCAGCTTACAGAGCCATCTATAGGAATCCCAAGCTGAACACTTAGGTCTGGATTCAAAGAAGTTGTTGCACTAGCAGAAGCCTGCACAACAAGTGCTGTTAGCACAATGATACATTTACCATATTTTTCGCTCTATAACACGCACCTGACCATAACACATAGTTTTTAGAGGAGGAAAACAAGAAAAAAATATTCTAAACGAAACAGTGGATGTATGATTTTTGTGGTTCATGCTGTGGCCACAGACATGTGATCTGACGGTGAGTTTGGGGTAGCCCAATGCAAAAATCCTGAGGATCCATGTGGATCCATGCTTTGTAACCATGTTTTTGCACCATTGTGGCCCCATGAAACAGTGGGTGCGTGTGTTTTTTGGTGCAGGCTGTAGCCATGGACATGCTATGTGATCTGATGGTGAATTTGGGGTGACCCAGTGCAAAAATCCTGAGGATCCATGTGGATCCGTGCTTTGTAACCATGCTTTAAGTGGGGAGGGAAGGAAAAGCACTCAAGGGACAAGGAGCACGTGGGGGGGGGTGGAGAAGGATGCTGCTAATAATGCAGGAGAGGCTTCTCTCCGGCTTTGCTCCTTTAAAACAAGCAGGCTCTGCTTCTCTCCCTCCTCCCCGGCAAGGAAACCACGATAGTAACCAAACAAATCAAACCAGACAAATCAAGAAAAATTGTGACCAACACTCCCCCAACAAGCACAGTGAGGTCAAAACACACACACAGAGAGAGAGAGAGAGAGAGAGAACTGGCCCTAAAGTCGCAGGGCGCTGGAAGTCGCAGGGGCGCTGGGGGAGTGAACAGGAAGCAAGAGAAGGAGCCCTCACACAGACACACAGAGTGTCAATTCTAAAGTCGCAGGGGCGCAGGGAGAGTGAACGGGAAGCAAGAGAAGGAGAAGGAGCCCTCACAGACACACAGAGTGTCGATTCTAAAGTCGCAGGGAGAGTGAACGGGAAGCAGGAGAAGGAGCCCACACAGACACACAGAGTGTCAATTCTAAAGTCGCAGGGGCGCAGGGAGAGTGAACGGAAGCAAGAGAAGGAGGAGGAGGAGGAGTTTGGATTTCATATCCCGCCTTTCACTCCCTTTAAGGAGTCTCAAAGCGGCTAACATTCTCCTTTCCCTTCCTCCCCCACAACAAACACTCTGTGAGGTGAGTGGGGCTGAGAGACTTCAAGGAAGTGTGACTGGCCCAAGGTCACCCAGCAGCTGCATGTGGAGGAGCGGAGACGCGAACCCGGTTCCCCAGATTACAAGACTACCGCTCTCAACCACTACACCACACTGTCAATTCTAAAGTCGCAGGGGTGCTGGGAGAGTGAAGGGGAAGCAGGAGGAGGAGAACGATAGCTCAAGCACACACACACACACAGCCCCTACAGTGGCTAATCCAAAATCGGACAGCAAAAAACTGCAGGCAGGGACAGAGAGCAGGGGTTGTTTTAAAGCAGCCAACTCCCACTCTGCTTCTCTCCCTCCTCCCCGGCTCCGCTAGCTGACAGGAGCCGCTTACACCCGCTTTGCTGTTTCAAAGCGAGCCACGGACTGCTCACGACTGCAGCAAATTCCCCCGCCATCTGTAGGCATCCGCTCCATAACACGCACAGACATTTCCCCTTACTTTCTAGGAGGAAAAAACTGCGTGTTATGGAGCGAACTTTACGGTACTTCCTCTTCTGCAACACACATCTCATCTGCTCTGGAGAATCCCAGAAGAGCACATTGCTGATTCTGCCCGGCAAGCTGAAATGCTTGTGCTGATGGAATGATCTTACCATGACCCCAAATCATTCCAAGGCTTGAGTAAACAGCTGTGATTTAGGCAGACAACCAAATGAAGAGTGTCAGGTTTAGTTCAGTGTGCATGAGATTCCACAAGCACTGCAACCTCATCTGCCCTTCCTGGTGACCTGATCCAGTGGCTTCATTTTGCTCAGGTGTGGGGAACCTCAAATGAAGCTCTTGCCCAGCACTGACTGGACTCAAACTTTCCTAGCTTCATCAAGGTTACTGTTTCATGTAACTTCAGCCCATCTCCTACAATCAATGTCTGATAAACTTGTTTCAGGAAACATTCTAAAACAGGGTAACCAATATGGTGCTCCCCAGATATTGTTTGGACTCCCAACTGTTATCTTTGTTGATGCCGGCTAGGACTTTTGGGAATCTAAAAAAAGTTCTAACAACTTTTTGAGATCCACAGGGTCCCCAGCCCTGATACAGATGTTAAATACTATGTGCATATTGATCACAGGTATCCCTTCAATATACGTTACCTTCAGCCTGTAACATGTTGGGGCACGTCATACATAGGTCTACATCAGTGATGGCCAAACTTGGTCCTCCAGCTGTTTTGGGACTACAACTCCCACCCCTAGCTAACAGGACCAGTGGTCAGGGATGGTGGGAATTGTAGTCCCAAAACAGCTGGAGGGCCATGTTTGGCCATCACTGGTCTACATGCTGTGAAAAGAAAACCTTGGCTAAAAGAGATTAAAACAAAGTAACATTCACTTGGGATAACACAATGCTCATCTTACAGTTAAAATCCAGTATTCTGTTTTTATTTGAATTATTGTGATGTAGAAGTTGAAACACTGAGAAGAAAATCAAAGCTTTAGGGTTTAACAAATATCAAAACTTTGTGATGCCTGAAACCTTGGATATATTTCATCAATGCATTCTGAACAGGATTATATCCTGTAATGATATATAGTCGTACCTTGGATCTCGAATGCCTTGGCTCCCAAACGATCAAAACCAGGAAGTAATTGTTCTGGTTTGCAAATGTTCTTTTGGAACCCAAATGTCTGACGGGGCTTTCACAGCTTCCAATTGGCTGCAGGAGCTTCCTGCAGCCAGTCAGAAGCTACACTTTGGTTTTCAAACATTTTGGAAGTCAAATGGACTTCGAGAATGGATTCCATTCGACTTCCAAGGTACAGCTGTATTCTAATATTGCTTCTGAGACAGCAGGTGGCACCATTACATTATAAGAAGTCTGTGCTTCAAAATACACACCCAGTGCCTTGAAATAGCAGCCATTTAAAGTAATTAAAATTTCCAACAAAGCTTGATTGCAGGTCAGGTTTTGTCTTCTCATCTCTAGTCGATTGCAGATGGTTTACTTGTCTCAGTACTCCATGGGTCTTGATGGATTCTAGGTTAGCCTCCATTTGTATAGACCCCAGCCCGTAATTGCATTGCTTATGGAACCATGGAGCCTTGATTTTATGCATAATAGACTAGTGAAGAATATCCAGTGGCACTTTCTAACCTAGTTTTTCCAAGGCTGATGGTTCCAGCCCTGTTATCTCTGTCTAAATTCTTCACACCTTTCTTCCATTCACTACATATTATGCTGCCATGGCCACCCAACTTCTATGTATGGAAGAGCAACAATGCTCCTAGAAGAGGTCTGTTAGTGTCGCAATTTCTCCTCCAGCCACACTCCAAAACTAAGCAAGGCTGGCTGTTTCAAAAACCATGCAGGTGAATGCTTAAGGGATAAAACCAACAGGTGCAGGAGGGACTAAGCACTCCTTACTGCCCACTGAATCTCTCTGCAAATGCCCACCTTTATAGTGACTAAAATTTGCACGTCCTACAATTTCAGAACGACCAAATTTTTCATCAAACCCCTTTTATCTTTCAATGTTACCTGTTAAAACTGAATTTACCTGTTACTTTCAGCAACAAATTCTGCTTAATAGTCTGCATTTTTTGGTGATTTCGCACCTCTGCAAAAAGCAACTGTAGTAGAACGTTACAAGAGGAAGAATAAACATTGCCACTTAACAATTCCAGGGATGCTTATCTGCAGCTAGGTGTAAAAATGCATAGGCAATTACTGCCTAAAGCTGGGGGCCGAATGAGTACTTCCATTGGCCTGGAAGAGAGACTTGTTATCTATTTCCATGGCCAGCATACGCAGAATAAATGGTGAAAACTATAGAATCATAGAAAAGCAGGAATCTCAACATACCATCCCCAATCCAATTTGACACCATGCATGTCTTCACAGAGCTCTGAGATTATATAGCTCTTTGGGTATAGAATGATTTGTAGTGAGAGGACACTCAGCCATGATTATGAACAGCCATAGTTGTCAGGTAGACAGAGAAAACTAAACTGACAGTTCTTGATGAACCCAGAATTTATTTATTTTTTAAAGGTGCTATTTCCCCACTATATGGGCTTTGACTTTGTGACCACTAAATGGTCATTAAACAAGTAGCCAAAACATCAGTACCCAGCTGGTGTGAGAGAAATTTAATTAGAACCTGGCAGCTGGGTCCAATACCAGGTTTGACTCGGTGGACTCGTTCAAAAGAAAATACTAAATGAAAAACAGACCCATCTGTCCTGCAGAAGCTCCAGGGATTCATGGAATTAAGGGAGCAATGTTTTTCCCCTGTAATTTATCATTCATTGTGTAAATTCAATATAGCACTGAAGGTCACCGTATCTGAGGTGCAACAGGCGCAGCAACAAAATATGATTTCAGTAACATACCCCTTTCGCCTTTAGGTGATGAACGGTCCAATACAAGTGATTCTTGCTCAGCATTCTAATGCCACGATTTACAAAACGTAGAGCGAGCTTCCCTGCAGAAATGTATTTTTGCCTTTTCCAGGTTTCCGATTTGAGAGGCAACTTGACTGGACTCAAGATGAAGAGACTCAGAATGTAACTTGAAAAAAGAGACACTGCACATACTTTTGTAAACCAAAAAATCTTTAATAAAAATATGTTAAAAAAAGATGATGTAGATTCTTCCAGGTTGCGTAGCAATTCTAATGGTAACTACTAGCTGAAAAGAACAACAGTTTTAAGTACAGCACTTGGCTGGTCCAGCAGCTACAGAAGCACATCACGACGACGCCTGCTATCTTCCTTCTTGACAAAGCCTTAGTTAAAAATCCCTGGATCAACATAGGGATAAGCAAGGAACTCTCCTAATTTTTTGCCCTCGGCATCGTAGTGCAGCATTCGGAAGCAGACGTCACAGAAGAAAGAGGGGTCTTCTGGAGCGAGGCTGTCATCATTAGTCACCCATCTGTAGGTTCCAAGACAAAAAAAGGTTAACAGGCAACCCTGGTTACTGCCACTCCCTGAAATTAAATTATGCCCCCAAAATTAATAAAGAGCTCCTGAACAGCCAACATAGCTGAATTAAGGACAAGAAATGAAGGCAGTACCTTCTTGACGCGGGTGGCGATGTGGGTTAAACCACAGAGCCTAGGACTTGCCGATCAGAAGGTCGGCGGTTTGAATCCCCGTGACGGGATGAGCTCCCGTTGCTTGGTCCCTGCTCCTGCCAACCTAGCAGTTCAAAAGCACGTCAAAGTGCAAGTAGACAAATAGGTACCACTCCGGCGGGAAGGTAAACGGCGTTTCTGTGCGCTGCTCTGGTTCGCCAGAAACAGCTTAGTCATGCTGGCCACATGACCCGGAAGCTGTACGCCGGCTCCCTCGGCCAATAAAGTGAGATGAGCGTTGCAACCCCAGAGTCGGCCACGACTGGATCTAATGGTCAGGGGTCCCTTTACCTTTACCTTCTAGACACAGAAGGTACAATTGCAAAATTTATAAAAACTGAACCTGTTAAGCTTTTGCGTTAGTTATTCATGGCACTTGTAACTTAACTAGAAAACGGAGCTTTAGCTGATGCAGATTTCTCCTGCCAGCTCAAGTGGTGATTATAATGAGGGCTCTTAAATATCTAACTCAATAAACAAAAGTGTTAATTCCTTGATTGCCTGCAAATTTTGAAGCAGGGGTCCCAAAGGACTGAAGTGCCAGCCGCACTGACTTTGCCCACAACTCATACCCCTTCCCACTAAGGTGCAGAATCTTCAGCCGCTGAATGTGGTAAATACGTAGCACTTTTTGTAACCTGCAGCTAGCTAGAGAGCGAGGCCACAGCTCCACAGGTATAAAACGAAAAACGTGGTGTATGTATGTATCCTATATTAGAAGCACTAGTGCAAATAGTGTAGTGATCAGGTGGGATTGCTATGAGGTATTATAACAAATATAGAGTAAGCCATCTGTGTCAGCAATGAAAGCATTGCGTTGACGGGGTATAAACTATTTTGATATGATTCTTGATCAATCCACACCTCTGCATCCCTGTTCCATTTCTCTTTCTTGACCAGTCACGTCCATTGCCACAGTTGCTTGCCAGGAAGGCACCCTGGGCCATAAAGATAGTGGGCAAGTTTCTTTGATGTAGCTTTTCTAATATGTTAATCTTAGGATGTTAATCTTAGGGCCAGGAAACAGATCTCACATGAAGGTGATAATGATCGCTGTCCTCCTGGCCATCCTCCTCATCATGTACCGTATATTGCTTGTTTATTACCTCTGGGGTTGCCAAATGCTCTCCTTTGTAGTTCTGTTCTTTGTTTACCCCAGAAATATGTGTGCTTAATTAGTTTTGGTAGTTTAACTTTGTCCCCACGTGGGTTTGTTGAAATGCTCAGAAGAAATCTGATTGGTTCTTACGAACACTCCGTAAAAAGCTCTTTTGTGAATAAACGACCTGGGCCAGGGGCTGGAGAGAGACAGAGAGACAGATTATTATATGCACCCTTCCCAGAGTCTTGCTGGTTCAAGCCTCTGGGTGTATTCTTATTAATCAGAGTTCAATCCTTCCTTTCCTTTGGGAACGCCTCAAATAGTTATTTACTAGCCATAGTAAATAACTGCAAAAAAAGATAATGGTTTGTTTTATTTGTTCTGGCACTATCAGAAGTCTCTAGCAGTTGTCAGTGGTATTAAATGAAATGAGCAAAACCTTTAAAGAACGCCGTGATCGAAACCTCGTGCCTCAAGGTGAAATGTACTTCTGACCACTTACCTTGCTGTGTACATCTTGCACACAAAGCATTTCTTGGTCCAAAGCCAGTGTTTCTTGGTTAACAAAGGATAGAGGCTCCTATCTAGGCAGTCGTCCCGGTGAATAAGCCTTGTGCAGAGAAAGACTGTGTTATGGGCCGACTTAGAACACAAACACTCCATTGGTAACTATGTCTCCTCCCCATCTGCTATCGTGCTGACTGACTCCAGCTACAAAAGCTGAGGCTGTTGAACAGATTCTTGGGCTGGAGTATTGTTCACGGGAGGTCGTGAGAGCTGATATTATTGTTGTATCTTTAGTTTTAGATCTTACAATTTACATGGAAATTGCTACCATTTGGTTGTGTAATTTTTGATGTGTTTTATTTATTGTTTATGGCGTCTGTTATGTTTGTATTAATGTAAATCATGTTATGTTGGAAGCCGCCTTAAGCATAGTTTCAACTATGGAAAGGCGACATACAACTAAGATGATGATGATGATGATGATGATGGTGAAGTGACAACAAATTTTATGGAGCACAAAGCTGGAGAAAAAGCATATATTATGCCTCAGGCATAGGCAAACTCGGCCCTCCAGATGTTTGGGGACTACAACTCCCATCATCCCTAGCTAACAGGACCAGTGGTCAGGGATGATGGGAGTTGTAGTCCCCAAACATCTGGAGGGCCGAGTTTGCCTATGGCTGTTATACCTGCTCCTGAAAGCATCTAAAAACAAAGCAATGACAAGGTGGCTCAATTGTAACTGTTATTCTGCTGTTGCTTTAGTTTAGGAAACGTTCTTTAGTAAGTGAAGCAACCTAGGAGCTAATTCCTCACTTTTCATGAGATAATCATAATAATAATCAAAATATATTTAAAAATAAAAAAAATGTCCAGTGGCACCTTAGAGACCAACTTTATTCTTGGTATAAGCTTTCGTGTGCATGCACACTTCTTCAGAAACTGAAAGCTTTTTTTATACAGTCATACCTCGGGTTACAGACTCTTCAGGTTGCGTTTTTTTCGGGTTACGGACCCTCCGAAACCCAGAAGTACTGGGACAGGTTACTTCCGGGTTTTAGGGGTCGCGCATGTGCAGAAGCACTAAATCATGCTTTGCGCATGCGCAGAAGCGCAACCCGCACATGCGCAGATGTGCCACTGCAGGTTGTGAACGCGCATCCCTGACCACTGGTCCTGTTGATGGGAATTGTAGTCCCAAAGATCTGGAGGGCCGGAGTTTGCCTATGCCTGGCCCAGTCTATGGATTGCCACTGGCACGCAACAGCAGCCTATACACCAGAATCTCTGCAACGCCAACAAACTGGAATACATGTGTATGGGATAATTATTGCGGAAGATTATTGTGATTTCGAGGAGATAATGATCTGACACGGTCAGCTCCTCCTGTCCATCTCTTCCTGGCTCTGTTTATCTATGTGTATTATCTCCCTATCCTATCCTTTGTGAAATGTCTTGGATAGATGCCTTTGATGTGTGGTCTGGTGGCAAATGGCTAAAAACATGCACTGACCAGTATTTGTGTTTGATGAAGGGCAGGGTGGCTCATCGCTGAGCCAGCATCTAAAAAATACCTAGTTTTGAATATTTTAGTTGGGAGTCTGCGCACAGGCTGTTGGCCACAGAGCTGTGCAAAAAGAAGGCTGTCGGAGGGGGGGTCACTTCACCACATCTTCAGGACTTCCCCGTGGCAGACTGAAGTGCTTTGCTTAGTAATGTATACAGTGGTACCTCGGGTTAAATACTTAATTCGTTCCGGAGGTCCGTTCTTAACCTCAAACTGTTCTTAACCTGAAGCATCACTTTAGCTAATGGGGCCTCCCGCTGCCGCCGCACCGCCGGAGCACGATTTCTGTTCTCATCCTGAAGCAAAGTTCTTAACCCGAGGTACTATTTCTGGGTTAGCGGAGTCTGTAACCTGAAGCATCTGTAATCTGAAGTGTATGTAACCCGAGGTACCACTGTATACTGTTTGCTGTTTGGAATAAAATCTGTAATCTTCTCACCGCTTGCGTTTGTGCTACTTCTGAATCTAATTTTAAAAGAACCACCTTGCATTTGGCAAGACATCATGGGATGGAGAAAGCAAGCTAAGGTATTATTACGAAGGGAGTCCCTAGCTGAAAGTGTTTCAGAGGCCCTGGAAATGAACGGTGATTTACCTGATATCTGTGATGATGACAATGTGCTCACAGTCTCCTTGGTGACAGAAAAGGTACGGGAAACCTATTTTGATGTTCAAGTCATTAAATGTGAAGTCTTCCATTTTAGCGGCCTGAAGATTCTCATAGCCTCTTTCACGAGATTCTGCCCACTCAATGATGGTCCTGGAAATCACGGTAAGCCAGTATTACTTCTGTTACATCAATGATATGATGCTGTCGGTGACAGAAACCATTTCTCTCAAGATACAAGGCGGGGCAAGTTCCCAGAATCCTTTTGCATGCTAAATAAGCCCAAGACCATGAAATCTATGCACCGGTTAGGCAGAGGGGTATGTGCACACATTTATTAATAATGGCAGTTTTGTTGTCTTAGGGGCAGACTCTGTATGACAAACCAAAAGCCCTTTGGGTCCCATCTCACTCCAAGAGTCCATTAAATTTTCTCCACTGCAATATATTCTTGTGCTTTCAGAAACTGCTCGGGATGAATTCAGAGAGGCACTTGCTGATGTGCCTGGGTCATTTTATAAATAATATCAGAGCCAGACACTGGGGAAGGGGACAACATTTTCAGGGAAGATTGGAGGGAAGAAGAAGTCTGCTGTTTAATCCTTCTCCTGTGTGCTGACTGCTCCCTATAGATGTCCTCTTCTGGGGTTAGGCAAGGCAACCTCAAAGTAGGATGGGGCAGAGAGGATCCTACCAGGCAAGCGCCCCCATTGCTCCCTTTCCCAGGTCTGTTGCATCGTTGGTCAGGATGACATCTAGTTCTGGCTGAGCTTGGAAGCGTTCCAACTCCTGGCATCTCCTCAAGTCAACAAGTCAGTCCTACAAAGGGTCCTACATTCTGGGCCCTTGAGAATGGGATCTAACATATGAAAATGCAAATGCTCTACCTGCTTAAGTCCCTGCACTCGGGGTACCTTCTGTCGTCGTAAAAAACACCTTCAAAATAAAAGAAGGCAGACTTGTAGAGGTCCTGAGGGAAAGGGAGAAATACAAAGAGAGAAGAGGGGAAAGTATTAGCTCGGCAACCAGCTTAACCTCAAATACCACATCCTTCCTTATGTCTCATCTATATTCTCAAATACCACTTAAGCGCATCATCTTAGCTGGGGGTGGGGAACCTGCGTTTCTCCTCAGGTTGTTGGACTCCAGGTCCTATCGGCTTCATCCAGCATCGCCCGTGGTCAGCAGGGATAGGAGCTGGGAGTCCAGCTATAATTGGAGAACCGCAGGCTCCTCATCACAGCAACACCTACAGCTCAAGTTGCAACCGCACAACTTTTCAAATATATTTTCTGTGTTGTTTTATTAGGCCCTTTCTAACCGTTCATTTCGTGGTGACAGCAGCCATGAAATTAAAAGACGCCTGCTTCTTGGGAGAAAGCAATGACAAACCTAGACAGCATCTTAAAAAGTAGAGACATCACCTTGCCAACAAAGGTCCGTATAGTTAAAGCTACGGTTTTCCCAGTAGTGATATATGGAAGTGAAAGCTGGACTATAAAGAATGCTGATCGCTGAAGAATTGATGCTTTTGAATTATGGTGCTGGAAGAGACTCTTGAGAGTCCCATGGACTGCAAGAAGATCAAACCGATCCATTCTGAAGGAAATCAGCCCTGAGTGCACAGTGGAAGGACAGATCCTGAAGCTGAGGCTCCAATACTTTGGCCACCTCATGAAAAGAGAAGACTCCCTGGAAAAGACCCTGATGTTGGGAAAGATGGAGGGCACAAGGAGAAGGGGATGACAGAGGACGAGATGGTTGGATAGTGTTCGCGAAGCTACCAGCATGAGATGGACCAAACTGTGCGAGGCAGTGGAAGACAGAAGTGCCTGGCGTGCTCTGGTCCATGGGGTCACGAAGAGTCGGACACGACTAAACGACAACAACAACTGTTCATTAAGATTATGCTGGTGTTGTTGGCAACTAGCCCACAATTATCTGCCTCCCCTTCCTCAGGAAAGCTACCAAGGGGCAAGGCTGAGAATCCCTGGCGACAAAAGATCCTGGAATGCTGTGTTCAAAATTAGCCAGGCCCCAGGCACACTCTGACCACTTGCGACCAAGTGAAGATGCCCAGGTGCTAGGATGGAGCCTGACATCTCCAGCATCTGGAGCTGCATGCCTGGGCAATCCTTGGATCCTGACCAAAATGGGTTTTTTCTGTGCAGCCCGAGAAGGAACGGTGAGCAACTTTATATTTCATTGTTGTCGCTTGTCTTCACTTGCGTCGTCCAGCTGCCCTGCTCACAGTTGCGAAGAATATTCTTACGTTATGAATGGTCTGTGTCACCATTAAGAAAAAGAGGTCGGAGTTGGCCAATACCGTATTGGCCTGAATATGAGCCTCATTTTTTATTTTTATTTTTTCAAATTCCGACCGTGAAAAGTTAAACTGCGGCTGAAATTCCCGACCTTACAAAAATCAGCTTTTACAATATCGCTGCTGAAACAGTCATACGGTAAAACGGAACGGGTGTGAGTGCCTGCGAAATTTTAAGGGAGCGGCTTATATTCGGGTATTGTCTCCCCCCCCCCCCTTGAATTTTAAAGGTGCCGCTTATATTCGGGTGCGGATTATATTCGGGCCAATACGGTATATATGCAGACTGTCCCGGGATCAAGTCACTTTTCTTCTTTAAGTTCTCAAAGTTCTTAACCTAGCGCAAGGTAGTCCTCTGCACTAGCCAGGGGTTTAACTGAGACTCAATCGCAGTCAGTCTATCATTTGAAAAATAAAACTTTACAGCCGTCTTGCCCCAAAATGGCAACTAGACCTTTTGTTTGGCAACTGCAACCTTGGTTTAAGGAGCCATTTGGCACCTAACTTTTATATCTGCGTTTCTAATATTGCTGGAACGCATCCCTTAGATTGTGCTCATTTCAAATGTATATACAATGGTGTGTGTGCAGGATATCTGTTCTAATCCAGACAGAGTAACATGCTATGGTCAGTAAAAGATGGAAAGACCCTGGCCCATAACAAATAAAAGAATTTGCTGGTGTTTCTAAACCAGAAGACTGATGCATAAAAACTGTGGCCTGTATGACGCAGCTGCAGTTCTGTAAGCACTGTACAAATATTTCACAATGTGGAGTACTAATAAGTAACCGTTATGTAAAGAGAACTGTACAAACACGTGCTGTCCTTGCCACATCTGGAGCACTGAACTATCTTAGCTAACCCTTTTTTATACAACGGTAAAGATGTTCAATAAACTCTAAACATCATTTTCTGTTGTACAGTGGTACCTCAGGTTAAGTACTTAATTCGTTCCAGAGGTCCGTACTTAACCTGAAACTGTTCTTAACCTGAAGCACCACTTTAGCTAATGGGGCCCCCTGCTGCTGCTGTGCCGCCGGAGCACGATTTCTCTTCTCAACCTGAAGCAAAGTTCTTAACCTGAAGCACTATTTCTGGGTTAGCGGAGTCTGTAGCCTGAAGCGTATGTAACCTGAAGCGTATGTAACCCGAGGTACCACTGTATTACTATTAATTTTAAATCTAATGACACCTTAGGTATTGAAGCTAATAAAAGTTCCAGTTCTTTATTCCAGTCCTCTTATAGTTTGCATATTGAACTTGAGTATTGTTAATAGATATCTATAAAAGGGAATTGCTGGATTTTTGTTTTTGAATGAGTTGCCCAATTACTCCAATATCTCAGGTATCTCGGAAGCTGAAAGGGCCAACGGCCCAAACACACTTGTTAGGAGATGTTGTAATTGAAGATATTGCCACTGGGCTGAATTTGATAGATATTTTTGACTTAAAACAGCAAAAGTATAACATTCATCTTCCCCATCTACCAGTTGGTCCAATGTCAATACACCTGCTTCTATCCAGTTTTTTCATTTCACCATCTTTTTTGCAATTCTTAGTATAGGGTTTCCCCACAGAGTAAGTTTAGCATGTGAAAATGGATCAAATTAGTTTTTATTAGCCAATATATTCCATATTCTTCTAAATGATTTAATTGTTTCCAGAGTCACCTGAAAGTTCAAATATTTCGATCCTAGTATTGTCCAATCAACCAAAGGTGCCATGTACATATATTCTAGGGTTGCCCACATCAGGAAATTAGGGCCAACTGTAGGATTCCAATATTTAGTACTTGACAGTAAGGTAAAGGTAAAGGGACCCCTGACCATTAGGTCCAGTCGTGACCCTGGGGTTGCGGCGTTCATCTCGCTTTATTGGCCGAGGGAGCCAGCGTACAGCATCCGGGTCATGTGGCCAGCATGACTAAGCCGCTTATGGCGAACCAGAGCAACGCACGGAAACGGCGTTTACCTTCCCGCCGGAGCGGTACCTATTTATCTACTTGCACTTTGACGTGCTTTCGAATTGCTAGGTGGGCAGGAGCAGGGACCGAGCAACGGGAGCTCACTCCGTCGCAGGGATTCGAACTGCTGACCTTCTGATCGGCAAGTCCTAGGCTCTGTGGTTTAACCCACAGCGCCACCTGCGTTACCTACTTGACAGTTGGTAAGCATAATGATATAATTCCAAATTGGGGATTCTGAAACCACCTTCTTTAATTTGTAGCTGCTTTCTCTTCAAGGATATTCTTGGTGTTGCTGAGCCCCAAAGGCATTTCCTAAACCGTTCATGTGCTGTTCTTAGAATCATATCTCTGGTTTCAGTGTGGAGATTTCCGCCAATTAAGGCCAAGAAGTACTGTGGCCGTGAAGAGGCCCACCCTGTCCCACCCTGGAAAGCAAATTTTAATCTTTCTATCTGTTTAGTAACTACTCATGAAGATTCTGTTGGTCTTTAGTCATGGCCGCAACACATAACACGCATGCTTTCTACATACGTCAGCACTGAAATACATAAAGCACTTAGTGGTTCCATGGAGTTTCTTTGTGGTTCCCACTATTCATCATAAAGTAGGCCTTTGTATAAGTAAAACTAGCTCCATTATCAAATTATTTTGCAATCAACATGGAAACCACAGTTTCCAAAGCAATCAGTTTTCCATTCGCCATAACTATCAGCCTCCAAAGCCTGCGAAATCTTGCGGTGGCTAGAAAAACACTCAAACTAACCACTGAACATTCACGGTTGATATTCCATATTCTTCTAAATGATTTAATTTAGAAGATTGATTTAGAACGTTGATACTGAAAGTCAACGCTCTAGAGCAAAGTTGTTCCCATTTTTCGCCTTCACAAACAAAGGAGCTAGGATGAAGAAATCTGATGAGAGGAAGCCACAAATCATTGAAAACGTTGTGCCCTTTCCACCGTGGCAGGCAGCAAATGAACGCTCAGAAGGAAAGATTCAGTTCATCAGTCCTGATGCAAAGGATTGCCCACATATATGCTTGTTAAGATGGGACTAAAATATTAGCAACTGCTAAAGGATTTCAGCTGATGTTTAGCCTTGCCAAATGTCACAGAACTGTAGAAGTAGTACATAGTAGAAGTAGTACAGTGGTACCTCAGGTTAAGTACTTAATTCGTTCTGGAGGTCTGTTCTTAACCTGAAACTGTTCTTAACCTGAAGCACCAGTTTAGCTAATGGGGCCTCCCGCTGCTGCCGCGCTGCCGGAGCATGATTTCTGTTCTCATCCTGAAGCAAAGTTCTTAACCTGAAGCACTATTTCTGGGTTAGCGGAGTCTGTAACCTGAAGCGTATGTAAGCTGAAGCATATCTAACCTGAGGTACCGCAGTACATAAGAAAATGGAAATTTTCCTACCTTACTGATGTTTTCTGGGGCCTGATCAGGATGACTGCTGAACTCCCCGCCAATCTGAAAGTCACTGACGCAGGAAATGGAGTCTCTCAGCTCTGTAAGTTTCTGGCTGCCTAGAACCAACATGGTCTGATAGGGCTTGCGCAGCTTATGCTGTAAAGGACACAAAGAACGAAGATCAGCTAAAAATTGAGCATTTGTGGAGCTGTTGTTGCTACTGAATACCTAAGCGTGCAGCGGGCATTAATGTTCCAGCCTAAGTAAAAATAAATAAAGGGTGATCTCTAAAACTCGTGCAGCAAGGCACTTAGCCAAACCTTAGGCCAGGCATCCCCAATCTTTGGCCCTTCAGATGTTTTGGACTACAATTCCCATTATCCCTGACCACAGGTCCTGTTAGCTAGGGATCATGGGAGTTGTAGGCCGAAACATCTGGGGGGCCACAGGTTGGGGATGCCTGCCTTAGGCTTTAGACTGGGCTTTTACTGGCTAAATACGTCCAGCTTATCTCTTCCAAACTAACTTATTTGACATATACTTTTTAAGGAAACCAGGTAAAATCTTCCTTCTAACCAAAGCAGCTCCACTTTCTTGCAGAAAGTGCTCCAAGGGGAGTTTGACTTCACTAGTGAATGATGTCAAGCCACCCAACAAGGACATGAAAATAAGTAAAAGAAGCCACCAACCTTCTGTAATATAACAGGGTAGAAAATATTCAGGGTTAAAAGCAGCTGTCCCTCCTTGACTAAGTTTTCTGGTTCCTTTGGCCTCTTTCCAATTGCTTGGGACTCCTGGCAAGGCAAAATGTTAGAATATTATTCTAAAGCTTGCTGAAAGCTCTCAAAGCAACTGAAGTTTATAATCACTGGGCACAATGCTAGTCATGTTTGACATAGACTCATTGAAGTCAACAGGCATAACTATCTTTGCTTCATTGATTTCAGTAGGTCTATTCTGAATATAACCTAATTGGGATACAACCCCGTTTACCTCGCTAGCTTTAGAACTGGCCCATCTTGTTTCGGCAGAGTTCCCCTGAATTTTACTTACAGCTATCGATAAAGAGAGGTGGAGTCAAAGCATCAGGATTAGGAGACGTTCAGACCAGAAAGGGATTACCAGAAGGATGTTCCTAAGCCATGGCCAATGAATGAACACCCCTGTTGGAGCAAACTGAAGGACTATCTGGTCCAGTATCCCATGTCCCATTGTGGCCAACCAGATGTCTATGGGAAGCCCACAAGCAAGACACAAAGGCAATAGTTATTCCACAGCAACGGCCTCCGACCCTGGAAGTATAAACAGCCATCATGGCTGGTAGTGAATTACAGCCTTATCCTACCAGATTCAGGTAGGCAGCTGTGTTGGTCTGACACAGTTGAAGTAAATAAACAAATTAAAAAATTGTCCAGTAGCACCTTAGAGACCAACTAAGTTTGTTCTGGGTATAAGCTTTCGAAGAAGTGCGCATGCAAGGTATCTGAAGAAGTGTGCATGCACACGAAAGCTTATACCCAAAACAAACTTAGTTGGTCTCTAAGGTGCTACTGGACAATTTTTTAATTTGTTTATTTATTTTGAGCCTTATCTACCATGAATTTATCAAAGCGCCTTTGAAATCTGTCTCAGTTGGTGACCATTGCCACACTTTGTGGCAGCCAAGACAAGGTTCAAATGTTCTATGTGAAGAAGTTGTTCCTTAAATCATGCAAAGGATTGCATCGTTAGTGGCGTTAGCCAAAAGTGCACTCAACAGTGGAGAGAGAGAGAACACACAAAGGTAAAAAAAAGATAAAGAACCCCTGGACAGTTAAGTGCAGTCAAAGGCGACTCTGGGGTTGCGGCGCTCATCTTGCTTTCAGGCCAAGGGAGCTGGCGTTTGTCCACAGACAGCTTTACGGGTCATGTGGCCAGCAGGACTAAACCGCTTCTGACGCAACTGGACACCGTGACAGAAACCAGAGCACACGGAAATGCCGTTTACCTGCCCACCACAGCGGTACCTATTTATCTACTTGCACTGGCATGCTTTCGAACTTCTAGGTTGACAGAAGCTGGGACAGAGCAATGGAAGCTCACTCCGTCACAAGGATTCGAACCGCCAACCTTCCCATCAGCAAGTCCAAGAGGCTCAGTGGTTTAGGCCACATAGTGAATTTACCAGCAAGGAAATGAACAATGTACAAACAATGTCAGACTAGCAGACATGCTACTGAGGCGCCGACCCTGCACTTGATAAGATGATTTAAATGCAAGCCCAAGAGGTTCAGTCATTTAGACCACAGCATCCCTAGAGAGAACAAGTACTCTAGGATGAGAGGGTGAGAAAAACCTCCCTCTTTCCATTGTGACTTGTTGAGTGCCCTGTTTGCCAATGACACTAATGGCAGTACAACCGTATGCAGGTCTAATAAAAAGCAAGCCCCACTGGCTTAAATGGGGCTTTCTCCAAGGCAAGTGTGTTGAAGACTGCAGCCGTCGTGTCTACTAAACTGCATCGGGGTGCAGGGCAGGCTAGCGATATTTCTACTAATCTTGACTAACCTGAACGCTAGCAGGCACACATGCCAGTGAAATAATTCTGACGCAAAGAGTTGTGGATCTCAGTAAACAATAAAAGGCATAAGTATAAATGCCTTATCAGAAGTTTTGCAGGTTTTAAACATTGTAAGCATTTTGCCATTTTAAAGGCATTATTGGCAAAAACAACACTGGGTGGGATTTTCCACTAAAGCTGTTGTACCTGTTAAGTTGATGGTCTAGACCACACTAAGTCCAAAGCACTCCAGTTTATTGCATTTGCCAGTTTGCCACATTATATTGACTGTTTTACTGTATTTTTTGCTCTATAGGACGCACTTTTTCCCCTCCAAAAATGAAGGGGAAATGTGTGTGCGTCCTATGGAGCGAATGCACGCTTTCGCTGAAGCCTGGAGAGTGAGAGGGGTCAGTGCGCACCGACCCCTCTCGCTCTCCAGGCTTCAGGGAGCTATCAGCAAGCCTTCAGAGCGCAGCGGGAACTCACACCGCGCTCCGAAGGCTTGCAGATAGCAGCCTGGCTGGAGAGGTTGCGCGTGGCTAAAGAGGAAGCCAAGACAGCGAGCAGGATGGATCCCGCTCGCTGTCTTGGCTTCTTTGCTCTTTGGGGTTGGGGAGGGGGGGAATTTTTTTTTCTTTATTCCCCCCCCCCCCAAAAACTAGGTGTGCCCTATGGTCCGGTGCGCCCTATGGAGCGAAAAATACGGTATTTTAGTATTAGTATACGGATTTGGAAATTCTTTGTCTATAAATGATCAAACTCTCTGCTTTTTTTAAAAAAAAAAAGGCACTTGCAATGGTTTCTTTGCTAGTAACCAGTACAATACTATCAACTCCCTTCTTTTCAAACAGTATATATTGAAAACCAAACCTATTACTTCACCCACAAATCTGCACAAATTGTTACAACACCATCGCCCTAAAAAAGGCGGAATGAAGCAATATCAAGAAGAGCATTCCCATCATCTTCAAATTACAGAAGGCTCAGCTCATGAGAGAATGGGGAAATTTGTTAACAGGAGAGGCAGAACTCAAGTGATACTGGGAATATCTCTAATCTGACGTGGCAATCAACCTGGACAGATGAGGCATAGGGAGTGGCAATCCATGCTTTCCATCATTATCCAAAGTCCATAGCAGAAATTTCATTCTTGGCTAAGTCAAATAAAAAAAATGCAAAAAATAAGGGAGGGCAGGCTTTGTTTTTTGTGTCAGTTCTACCAAAGACATGGTAAGAGAAAAGAAAAAACCTGGTTAGCAACCCCTTTGTAGGTGGAATGACCTCTATTAGGACCAAACTCTGCAACCACTGGCCTTGAGCTCCATTTTCAGCGCATAAAATAATAATAATAATAATAATAATAATAATAGTTGTTGTTGTTGTTATTTATACCCCACCCATCTGACTGGGTTTCCCCAGCCACTCTGGGCAGCCTCCAACCGAATACAGTGTTACCTCTGGTTATGTACTTAATTTGTTCTGGAGGTCCGTTCTTAACCAGAAACTGAAACCTGAAGCATCACTTTAGCTAATGGGGCCTCCCGCTGCTGCCGCGCTGTCGTCATACGATTTCTGTTCTCATCCTGAAGCAAAGTTCTTAACCTGAGGTACTATTTCTGGGTTATCTGAGTCTGTAACCTGAAGCGTCTGTAACCCAAGGTACCACTGTATTAAAAACACAATACAGTGGTACCTCAGGTTACATACGCTTCAGGTTACAGACACTTCAGGTTACAGACTCCACTAACCCAGAAATAGTACCTCGGGTTAAGAACTTTGCTTCAGGCTGAGAACAGAAATCGTGCTCCAGCGGCGCAGCGGCAGCGGGAGGCCCCATTAGCTAAACTGGTGCTTCAGGTTAAGAACAGTTTCAGGTTAAGAACAGAGCTCCGGAACAAATTAAGTACTTAACCCGAGGTACCACTGTACAGCATCAAACATTTAAAAACTATCCTGTGATGAGTATGAGTTACTTGTGCGTAAACTGGTGCCTCTCTAGGCTAATTTGCCTTGTTAAACCTTTCTGACTGCACAGCCCTTTCTGATCATGACTGTCTCAGTCACTAGCAGAATCCGTCAGTGGGCGTTTCTTGAATCTCTTCCAACATAAGAGTTGTTTGACACCCAGTCTCCTCCTCCTCTCACTGCGCGGGAGTCTTCTGCGCAGGGAGGGCGTGGGTAGCGGAGGACCTGTCCCCTCCTCACTGAGTTCCAGTGAAGAGTCCTGGAGCCCTCTCTCCGATTCCCCTATCTGCCCATCTTTATCCCTAGTGTTGCGCTTAAATGCTTCCCCCTCCACTGAGCTGTTTCTCCCCCTGCTGCTGGGTCCTTCTCCAGCATCATCTAGGAGCCTCCCCTTCGCCTCTTGCTCCGATGTCAGTTCCCTGACACTTCCCTAAACAGCTCTACAATCCATGCAGCCCCACAGGTGTAGCAAGTATTCTCCACATGCACACAGCCTGAAAAGAGACCTTCGCTTATGATATGTCACCATTATTCTACATGAGTTTGTCCGGTCGGCTTGAGTGTGTCGGCTGGGTGACAGCGAGGTGAGAGAAGCCTTACCATCTCGTAAATAAACGTTTCCTGTCTGCATGCCCGATCGACAGTGACCGTCTCTTTTCTCCTGGTCAGAGCTTTCTGTCTAATCCTATGGAACAAGGGAAGAAAAGGGAGACAGGGAATGACATATTGGAGTTGTATCATCCTGGCAGCAGACGACAGAAACTTCTGGCGCCCACTGAATACCTTTTTATATATTCCAGCAGGCATTTTTAATTGAAATCTGAGTTTAACGTTTTGGGGGGTTTTTTGCCTTTTTCTGTATTGCCTTTCTCGTACGCCACTTATGGGACAACTGTAGTTAATCCCACTTGGCAGAGGAAGTCACATTTGGCCATTAAATAAAGTTGAGTGTTTCTCAACAGTTAGGAACTGAGACAAAACACTCAGCGCCCCCAAGCGAGGCTTTGACATCCTCTGTCCCAAACAGGAGCCTGCAAATTGCTGGCTGGCATTTCAAAGCATTCTCTGAAAGCAATAAAAAACAAATAACCAGGAAGTCTTCTATAAGCACCCACAACTCCTTGAGCACAGCTAACTAGGCGCTGCAGATCCCTGCCCAGATATGTCATTAAACTGGTTCAGAGTGGATGGCCAGCATATCTAAGTTATCTGTTGTTGTGTACTTCCTTAGCAAAGTTAATGAAGCATTCTAAACAGGAACAGGAACTCCCGAGAATATGAATGTAAAATGGTAAAATGCGTAAAATGCGGTCTTGACTATGCTACCACTCAGTGGATTTGTAACTGGCTGACTGACCAAACCCAAAGGGTGCTCATCAATGGTTCCTCTTCATCCTGGAGAAGAGTGACTAGTGGGGTGCCACAGGGTTCTGTCTTGGGCCCAGTCTTATTCAACATCTTTATCAACGACTTGGATGATGGACTCAAGGGCATCCTGATCAAATTTGCAGATGACACCAAACTGGGAGGGGTGGCTAACACCCCAGAGGACAGGATCACACTTCAAAACGACCTTGACAGATTAGAGAACTGGGCAAAAACAAACAAGATGAATTTTAACAGGGAGAAATGTAAAGTATTGTACTTGGGCAAAAAAAATGAGAGGCACAAATACAAGATGGGGGACACCTGGCTTGAGAGCAGTACATGTGAAAAGGATCTAGGAGTCTTGGTTGACCACAAACTTGACATGAGCCAACAGTGTGACGCGGCAGCTAAAAGAGCCAATGCAATTCTGGGCTGCATCAATAGGAGTATAGCATCTAGATCAAGGGAAGTAATAGTGCCATTGTATTCTGCTCTGGTCAGACCTCACCTGGAGTACTGTGTCCAGTTCTGGGCACCACAGTTCAAGAAGGACACTGACAAACTGAACGTGTCGAGAGGAGGGCAACCAAAATGGTCAAAGGCCTGGAAGCAATGCCTTATGAGGAACGGCTAAGGGAGCTGGGCATGTTTAGCCTGGAGAAGAGGAGGTTAAGGGGTGGTATGATAGCCATGTTCAAATATATAAAAGGATGTCACATAGAGGAGGGAGAAAGGTTGTTTTCTGCTGCTCCAGAGAAGCGGACACGGAGCAATGGATCCAAACTACAAGAAAGAAGATTCCACCTAAACATTAGGAAGAACTTCCTGACAGTAAGAGCTGTTCGACAGTGGAATTTGCTGCCAAGGAGTATGGTGGAGTCTCCTTCTTTGGAGGTCTTTAAGCAGAGGCTTGACAACCATATGTCAGGAGTGCTCTGATGGTGTTTCCTGCTTGGCAGGGGGTTGGACTCGATGGCCCTTGTGGTCTCTTCCAACTCTATGATTCTATGATTCTATGAAAGCTCTGTGCGCCTGGTTACTCGCCGCAACATCAGCCCAGACTAAAGGATTTAGGGGGGGCAAGGAGATGTCGCTGCAATTCATAGAAGTCCGTTCTCTCTCACTAGACAACCTCTCTTCTTCACTATCTGAACAAAGTTGTCTCCCGTGAGATGTTGGAAGAACTCAGGTCCTGGGTGACTTTGACATCCATGCTGAGGACATCTGAGGAGACTAGCCTCCATCTGTCTTGGACCACAACTTCCAGGCCAATTGTCAGGAATAATGGAAGTTGCAGCCCAAAGCATGAGGGCTCCATATTGGGGGAAAGCAGAGCATGAGCAAGCACATGTGGTGACAAGCAGTCACAGTTCTGATATGACGCTAATGTATCAGACAGCTGCCTTTTGGACTAACTGCAGTTCCTGAACTTCAAAGGCACCCACAGCCATAACTACAGATTGATGTAATTACCATAAAAGGGCAATTTTCTCCAAATTTTATTGCTGTGCTTTTCAAATTTTATTGCTGTGCTTTTCAAATTTTATTGCTGTGCTTTTCAAATGGGCAGCACAGGGTTCCGTAACCTGAATGGCCTAGTTTATCTTGATGTTACGTGATGTACTCAACTTCACGTTTTCACTTCCTGAAATGCACAGTACTCAAAACTTCCCATTTTTAAGATGAGACCCAAAGGGACGGGGCAGGATGTGAACTTTGCAAGAGGATCCCAAATTGATTGGATTTGCTTCTAAATAGATGGACCTAAAAGAGAGGTATTCAAGTCAATTTTATCATAACGCTACTGATATACACACGGCAATCATTTTCCGTGTGTCCAGTTGATGCATGACTGCCAACGCAGGGATCACTTTGGACCCAGAAGAGGGCAGAACGGGCTTACGAAAGCTCCGGTGGCACATGTGGGGGACAGGAATGGGACCTCCATGCAAAATGGCTGCCTCCTGTATTTTATAGAGGGGAAATTGGCTAACAACACTTTTCAAAGTGCATTTACTTGGAGCTGAACCTCAGAGCAACTGCAGTATTTTGTGAATCCTATAAAATGCTGTTAACCGTTTAGCTAAATTTTTAAAATCTGTTTCATTAATAGTGTTTTATAGGCAGTAGTTATTTTGCTGACAATTTGTAATTGTTCTACAGACGGTTTGTTACTGTTTTACTGACGATTTGTTAATTATTCCACAGGATTTATGCCGTGTTTTCGATGTCCTATTATGTTTTTGTTAATTGTCTGTTTCCGTGGCTTTGCAATTCACGCGAATGAAAAGCAGCATACAGATATAATAAATTGAATCAAACTCCAAGGACTGTGTTTCAACGCATTCCAAACTCTTTATGAGGACACGAAAGGCTTACTTAAGCGCGGATTAGGAAATGCCTCCATCACTCCTCCTCTCCATCAACTCCAGGGCTGACATATCTTGAAGAGCAAAAAAGAGGACAGCCCGAGCCGCTGCCAGCCCGAGCCAGGGCACGCCTCTTTCCCTGGCTCGGGCTGGCAGCAGCCACGGCATGCAGAACTGCCCGAGCCCAACCAACCAATAAATAAATAAATACCTTCTTCCCCAAAATCCCGGACATTCCCTTTAAAATGTAAAAATCACCCCAGATGGGCCTGTTGCCCCCCCCCCAAAAAAAACAGAACATGCAGGAATGCGGCAGCTAGATTGGTGACTGGGAGCAGCTGCCGAGATCACATAACACCGGTCCTGAAAGACTTCCATTGGCTCCCAGTACGTTTCCTAGCACAATTCAAAGTGTTGGTGCTGACCTTGAAAGCCCTAAATGGCCTCAGTCCAATATTCCTGAAAGAGAATTTTCCACCCTCATCGTCAAGCCTGGACAGTGAGGTCCAGCTCTGAGGTGGTTCCTTCACTGAGAGAAGTGAGGTTACAGGGAACCAGGCAGAGGGCCTTCTCAGTAGTGGCGCCTGCCTGTGGAACACTCTCCCACCAGATGTCAAGGAAATAAACAACTATCCGACTTTTAGAAGACATCTGAAGGCAGCCCTGTACAGGGAAGTTTTTAATGTTTGATGTTTTATCGTGTTGGGAGCCTCGCAGAGTGGCTGGGAAAACCCAGCCAGATGGGCAGGGTACGAATAATAAATTATTATTAATAATAACATTTCCTGGACGTATGGCAACCCTAACCAACTCAGAGCTGTGCAACATCCAGCACGTGTTTTCTTTGGAGAGCACTAGCCTTGTACAAAAGTGCCAAGGGAGGAATCTAGGGAGGACAAACTGAGAAAGGAGAGCTACCAAGGAATGGGAAGGGAGAAGAAAAACAGGGTGAACAAGGGCAACAGGCAGTGCAAAAGGAGGTGTGGACGAGGAAAAGGAAAGAGAGAGAGAGGAAAAAAAGAGGGCATTCTACTTTTAGAAGGTGTGGGGATACTTTGGTCTCCCCAATATTGTTGAGCTGCCATTCCCACCATCCATTGCCATTGGCCATGTTTGCTGGGGCTGATGGGACTTGGTAGTTCAGCAACATCTAGACGGTGGAAAAGAGAAAAAGGAGTTTCCGTGGGGTGCAGCGGATCGGGGGGGGGGGACGAGAAAAAGGGCAGCGACAGATGGAGCGATGTAGTAAAGAAATAATAATCATTACATGGTAGAAGGGGAAAATAGGGGATTTGAGAAAAGGGATTCTAAAGACGCACAGAAATGTATCCTTTTTTCCCTACAAATTTTAAAACATTCCTGTTTACACACAGAGTTAAAAGCCGCCATGGCATCTTCTCCAGACATTTGCTAAAAGAACGCCCTAAACAAAATTTGTTCGCAGCATTAGTATAGTTACCAGAATTTTTCAGGATTGTGACTGTAATAAAATTCAGTATTACCTAAGAGTTATTAAGCTGGTGTCTTTGGGTATAACTTCTGTGTCTTCTTTCCCAGAACTCTTTAGTGCATCAATTCTAGAAGAGAAACAGAAAAATAAAAATCCCAGGTCTATTTCCATATAAAAAATCATCATGTAAAAAACACAGGAAGAGCTAGTCTTCAAGAAATAACTATTTGTGGGCTAGGATGGGAGTAAACAAAGACAACTGCAAACAAAATGTTTTCAGGTCCAGGTGTTCGATTCTTCTCTCTACTGCAGACTTTGTATCTTGCAAACATACATTTTATTCGGGCTACAAGCAGAACTACAGCGTAGTTATCACTAAGAGCCAACAAGGAGGTTTTTAACATAATAGTAAGATAATGCGGGTGGCGCTGTGGTCTAAATCACAGAGCCTAGGGCTTGCTGATCAGAAGGTCAGCGGTTCGAATCCCCACGACGGGGTGAGCTCCCATTGCTCGGTCCCTGCTCCTGCCAACCTAGCAGTTTGAAAGCACGTCAAAGTGCAAGTACAATGATACCTCGGGTTACATACGCTTCAGGTTACATATGCTTCACACTCCGCTAAACCAGAAATAGGGCTTCAGGTTAAGAATTTTGCTTCAGGATACGAAAGAAATCGGGCTCCAGCAGCGTGGCGGCAGCAGGAGGCCCCATTAGCTAAAGTGGTGCTTCAGGTTAAGAACAGTTTCAGGTTAAGAACAGACCTCCGGAATGAATTAAGTACTTAACCCGAGGTACCACTGTAGATAAATAGGAACCGCTCTGGCAGGAAGGTAAACAGTGTTTCCATGCGCTGCTCTGGTTCGCCAGAAGCGACTTAGTCATGCTGGCCAGATGACCCAGAAGCTGTCTGCGGACAAACGCCGGCTCCCTCGGCCAGTAAAGCGAGCTGAGCGCCGCAACCCCAGTCGTCCACAACTGGACTTAACGATTAAGGGTCCCTTTACTTTTACCTTTAAGATAATTGAAGATAGAAAATTAGCATGCAAGGGGAAATTATTTTTACTTAACTCAACTCTGAAAGGCTAGCTTTCAACATGCAGAGTTGAGTCTGTTTGATTCCCCGCCCCCCCCAAGGAGCAGTCAATAATGAGTTGCAATAACAATCTGAAATAGCACAGTTGAGAAATAGGACTTAGCTACAGTGGTCAAAAAACAGTGTTCTGAATGCGTTATAAATATGAAACATCAGGTGGCGGTGGAGAGTAAAAAAAAAAATCTATGCAGTTTTCCATACTGTTCCCCCCCCCCCTTTTGTTATAATGATTTAATTTCTGACTTATTTATAGTGTGTGGTTTTCCCCCCTGTGTGTAGATCCACCCTCTGTATAGACCAGGGGTCAGCAAACTTTTTCAGCAGGGGGCCAGTCCACTGTCCCTCAGACCTTGTGGGGGACCGGGCTATATTTTGAAGGGGGAAAAAATGAACGAATTCCTATGCCCCACAAATAACCCAGAGATGCATTTTAAATAAAAGCACACATTCTGCTCATGTAAAAACACACTGATTCCTGGACCGTCCATGGGCCTGATTTAGAAGGCGACTGGGCCAGATCTGGCCCCCAGGCCTTGGTTTGCCTATCCATGGTATATACACTACAGGAGCCAACTAGACTACAATTCCAATGAGCCCCAGCAAGCACGTTCTGGAGGAAGCCAGGTCAGTGAAGGTGCTTGGCTAGTACATTGTTCCCGCTTGGTTATTACAGTGCTTGCCATTCCAAAGAGGGGAATTGTTCTTGCAGTGTCATGCCCCTTGGCATAATCTGGATGTTTGGAAAGACGGGGGACATACTCACACCCCCTGGTGGGCCCCACATGCTAGTAAGATGCTGACCATCTTCCATGAATGAAAAAGCATAGGCAGGCATCAAAACCCTAAAGTTTAGCACCGTTTTGTGATGCATTCCTAGAAACAAGAGAAGACTGGTCTAGGGGTGAGGGTAAAGTACGTTATGATTGGACCGAGAGAAGCAACGAAGAGCTTTTTCTAAGAAAAGTGGTGTTCTTGTAAGATGTCCTTCTTGCATAAGCGTGCAATCCATGACGGATCTGCTGAAATAATATAACAATTTGTTTCATTCGCTGGAGAGGACATTCATATTGGAGTAGCCCTTTATTAGAATCTCCTTCGAGACTGGAAACAAATGCTGGATTGGTGAAGCAGCTATGATTTTGCACCAGTGGGAATGAAAGCTTGCAACCAGCACCGTGTCTAGACTGGGGAGCCCTTCGGTCCAGATGCCCTCTTCCCTTTGGCCACTGCCCATTCACTCGCTTCTCCTTCTGGACCCAATGTGCATCTGCTTCTCACGAGGAGAGCACGAGCTACGAGAAGGCTCCCACTGTGCTTTCTCCTTGCTAGCGTAGCATGGGTTGCTGGTGCCCCAGGGCGGGGCACGTGTTGTGCTCCCCCCGTGGACTGGGCAGCGGTCAGTCCCCTCGCTGGCCAGCGTCTAACCAAGTGAGCATCTCATTGCAAACCAGCCCCAAACCTGGGAGCAGAGAGTAGGCAGAGAAACTCAAAGCCAGGCGCACCACTGTGTCGCCTGGCCCTCCCGTCCTTGCAGCGAGGTCCATGTGGCTCCACCACTGCTTGTTTACTCAAGGGGGAAAGTAGAGGTTGTAGGGACATAAGAGAAACAGGGCCTGGTAACCCCCAAGGAGCAGTAGGAGCTGCCCACTGGACCATGGGCCCAATGATGCCAACCCAACCCAAACTCAGGTATTATGTGTGAAAATAATCTCTCTTCTTTTGGCGGGGGGTGGATAAACTTCAAAAGGCCTGGGTAGAGAGTAGGCGCCCATAACTTTGTAATGCAGCAAGTCCAGCGCTTGTTGCAAGGGCCAGAGGTATGGATCCAGCAGCTTTAGATTTCCCACCCCAAATCACCCCTTCCCTGCCCGGGTTGCTGTAACAGGCAGCTGACTGCTCCCTCCAACTTCCTCTCCGTTCAAATTCAGTTGCGGGGAACAGGACTGTTCTCCTTGAAGGCCAACAAGAAGCTGTGTTGAGATTTTAAAGGGTCCCTATTTAAAGGGAGAAAAGCAATGACAAACCTAGACAGCATCTTAAAAAGCAGAGACATCACCTTGCCAACAAAGGTCCGTATAGTTAAAGCTATGGTTTTCCCAGTAGTGATGTAGGGAAGTGAGAGCTGGACCATAAAGAAGGCTGATCGCCAAAGAATTGATGCTTTTGAATTATGGTGCTGGAGGAGACTCTTGAGAGTCCCATGGACTGCAAGAAGATCAAACCTATCCATTCTGAAAGAAATCTGCCCTGAGTGCTCACTGGAAGGACAGATCCTGAAGCTGAGGCTCCAATACTTTGGCCAGCTCATGAGAAGAGAAGACTCCCTGGAAAAGACCCTGATGTTGGGAAAGATAGAGGGCACAAGGAGAAGGGGACAACAGAGGACAAGATGGCTGGACAGTGTTCTCGAAGCTACTAACATGAGTTTGACCAAACTGTGGGAGGCAGTGGAGGACAGAAGTGCCTGGTGTGCTCTGGTCCATGGGGTCACTAAGAATCGGACACGACTAAACAAGAACAATGAAATAAAACCCACAGTAAAATAAAGACAGAGAGCAGAAGCACTTGTTGCTAAGGATAAGGGGAGATCACCCACTGCCTAGTCACAACAACAGCCAAGGCCACCAGGCCGCCATTCATTTGGACAGCTCCATGGCAACCGGACATTCAGCCTACCTGCAGCCTCTCTAGCCTTTTGCATTGTCTGCCTCCGTGGGTCTGAGCCATGATTCTGGCTTTAAGCTTGCAATTAGGGTTGCCACCTGTCCTGTATAATACAGGATTATCCCGTATTTCAGTGCAAAATGCTAAGTACTGTAGCATTGGTACAGTTTTGTCCTGTATTTCAGGTTCTCTTTCTCTCTCTCTCTCTCTCTCTCTCTCTCTCTGTGTGTGTGTGTGTGTGTGTGTTTGTGTGTGCCAAGTTAGGGATCGTCTCCAAATGCATGTGTCAGAAAAGGCGTGTGCAAGGCCATGTGTTTAAGCTCTGGGTTGTCAAGCACAGGCAAAGTTGCACATTTGTGTGTGTGTGTAAAAGAGAGACAATTTCCAGAGGGGCCACAAAGGGTATCGAAGGGGGACTGGGAAATGTTTGTAGAATATATGAAGAATCACCGTAAAACGTTAGCAGGGTGAGAGTAAATTCAGCAGCATAAATCCTGCCGAGATAAAACAAGAGAGAGGTTATGGAAGGACTAGAATATGCAGCAGCAATGGATAGTTGGGGGGGGGGGGAGGAAGGCAATGTTTAATGTATTGTTTTCATGACTGTAAAGTACCTGTAACAGTGAAAACCATAAATAAAATTTTAAAGATTTCAAAGGGGCCATCCTGTTAGGCTGCAATAGATTGCAATGGATTGCTTTGATGTCACGGGGGGGGGGAGGTGGCCACCCTAGTTGCAATCCTGTTTTGGAACGCTAGCAAGACTTCTTTCTGCAAGGGGGTTCAGTGGGGTTTGGGAAGGCTGTGCGCACCAGAGCCGGATTGAGGTTTGATGAGGCCCTCAGCTCCTGAAGGTAATGGGGCCCTTTATATGTCCAGCTGTCCTTTGTCAACAACAAATGGTCACTGTTTTTTTGTGTTGAATATATACTATATGGTCATTTATGGACCGAATAGGTATCTAAAGCCATCTGCACATGCATAATGTAGGTACCCTCTATACAGAAATGAGCAAACCAGGGATATTTTAGGGAGCAGGCTAGCAGGTGGGGCCCATGACTTATATCATAGGAGCCTACACAACACAAAACACTCTTGCCGTTATGTAGGTTTTATTTTATTTGCTTTTTATCTTATATTTTGGAAGTGTACATCCAGTTTTTCCCCCCTTGAATTTTTTTTGGGGGGCCCCCAAGAGAGTGGGGCCCTTAGCTATAGCTTGTTTAGCTTATACGTAAATCCGGCACTGGTGCGCGCCCTAGAGTCCTGCCATCTCCATGCGGGGTGAAAGACGGGCCGAGGAACTTTGCAGCCCAGCTGTTCGGGGGCCAGAGCCCCGGACCCGGCCGTCCCACCTGCACACGGCCCTCAGCTCGGCCGCGACCTCCGGCGTGCAGCCCAGCTCTTGCACCAGCGCGGCATCGTCCTCGTCTGCGGGCGCCTCGGGCTGCAGGGAGAGCTCCGCCTCGCGCAGCCGCTCCTTCCAGAGATCCCCGAAGGTTCCCACGTGCAAAAGACGCGTGTTCAGCTCCGGCGTCTCGTACTCGGGGATGTCGCTCCTCCGCGAAGCGGATCCGTTGCTGCTGCTGCTGCTGCATCCAGCCATCTTTGCAGCAGGAAGCAGGGGACGGAGAGAGAGAGAGAGAAAGGCCCGGGGAATTAAAAAAATAAACAAAGTCGTAAAGCAAGAGCGCGGTGGCTTGTGGGATTTGTAGTTTCTGATTCTTCCAGCGCCTCCCAGAAATAAAAAAAATGCACGCACGGATGTTGTCTGCTTTTGCACGACTCTCCCTTGCTTTTGCAGTGAATTGCTAAGGCAGCCAGCTCGCCGAGATCGCATTCCTGCCATAAGGAAATTAGAAATGTGTTTTAGTGTAAGCGTAAAGGCGCACCCAGATTCCAGCGCACACATTTACGGCTTTGAACTAGGGGAGGCTGGATATTTTTTTCCAGGAGGTGGGGAGCTTGTCATTGCTTGTTTCATTCTAATTTGTTTTCTGTTTTATATCCATTTAAGCCGTCCTGATTGCCCTAGGGCTATGAGAGCCATAGAAATATTTTATAAATAATAATTGGAAAACACAAGCATCCATTAATCCATGAATCGCACTTTGAGGAAACGGTTGTTTCATTCTGTGCATCAAAGGGGTAAAAAGGTAAAGGGACCCCTGACCATTAGGTCCAGTCGTGGACGACTCTGAGGTTGCAGCGCTCATCTCGCTTTATTGGCCAAGGGAGCCGGCGTACAGCTTCCGGTTCATGTGGCCAGCATGACTAAGCCGCTTCTGGCGAACCAGAGCTGCGCACAGAAACGCCGTTTACCTTCCTGTCACAGCAGTACCTATTTATCTAATTGCACTTTGACGTGCTTTCGAACTGCTGGGTTGGCAGGAGCTGGGACTGAGCAACGGGAGCTCACCCCATGGCGGGGATTCGAACCGCCAACCGCCGACCTTCTGATTGGCAAGCCCTAGGCTCTGTGGTTTAACCCACAGCGCCACCCGCGTCCCATCAAAGGGGTAGTATCCTTTTTAACCAAATCAGAACATAAGAGCTTCTTCCTTTGCTCTTGAAACCTGAAAACTAAATTAAATGTAATATTTTTGTTCACTTTTTTTTTGTTAAACATGTTTACAGGTTTGAACAATTGAGTTTTTTGTTCCTAATACCACTTCATATTTATTTCACACTGCTTCACTGTGTGGGGGGTTCTCAGAATTCTCTACGGATCAATCTCATTTCTTTGCTTGCTTATTTGGATTTGGGATTGTGCTGTTAATATATAACACATTTTTCGCTCTATAAGATGCACCAGACCACAAGACGCACCTAGTTTTTGGAGGAGGAAAACAAGAAAAATAATAATCTGAATCTCAGAAGCCAGAACAGCAAGAGGGATCGCTACGCAGTGAAAGCAGCAATCCCTCTTGCTGTTCTGGCTTCTGGGATAGCTGCGCAGCCTGCATTCGCTCCATAAGACACACACACATTTCCCCTTACTTTTTAGGAGGGAAAAAGTGAGTCTTATAGAGCAAAAAATACGGTATATATATATTTAAAAATGATGGAGGTGCAGCTGTCCTCATAAGCAAACCTGGTGCCCTGCACTAGGCGATGCAAAAACTTCAGGAAGCTCATCAGCTCTGGAGAAACAAACACATTAAACGCCTAGGTGTGGCAAGCCAACAGCATTTCCAAAGATGGTTTACTCACTCGTGAAAAGGATTAAAGAGCTGGCAAGTCTTCTGAAGAAGATGTGGAAAACTTCCTTTTGCAAAGGACACGCAAACTTGACCAAGACCAATTTAATTAGTTCGTAAAGAACAAAACCATTCAATGATGTTACAAGTCATTAAACGCTGGCATAATTTGGTTTGCTCAATAACCAAGGCAGCAAAGAAAAAAGGGTGTGAGGAAAGCAAAGGCAGAGAGATTCTAGGGTTGCCATATGTCTGGAATTTCCTGGACATACACGGAATACTGCACCCGCAAGCAGTGTCCGGGTGGGAATAAGCAAAAGGTCTGGGAAAATCCAGCCGTATGGCAGTCCATGTCGGAAGTGTTGCTTTTGCTGATTTCCCCAAAAAATAAAAAAAGCTCAGCAACTTTTCTTTCCAGATTTTGAAATATGGCAACCCTCCCAGACGCAAAATTCCATTGGTTCACAAAGAGCGACAAGAGTCACACATCATGCCAAGCAATAGTTAAACCAAGTTCTGTGAGCAACCAAGAAACCATGGCTTAAGGTTGTGGTTTGGTGGCAATAAATGAACTATCGTTAAGCCTTTGGACAGGGCTCAGGCTACCAATGGAACTATGATTTAATAAACCATGGTTTAGCATTATGTGCAAAAAAGGCCTATGGATATCTGCCAACCTGATGAAATGCCTAGCATCTCTACCTCATGTGCAGTCGTTGATGGAGCTGCCAAGCTCAGATTCTGAGTAGCGGTAACAGGGCCAGATTTAGGTTTGATGAGGCCCTAAGCTACTGAAGGTAATGGGGTCCTTTATATGTCCAGCTATCCTTTGTCAACAACAAATTGTCACTGTTTTTTGTGTGAGATACATGCTATATGGTAATTTATGGACCTCATAGGTATCTAAAGCCATTTGCACATAACAAGATACGTATTTTATCAAAGTACCGTATTTTTCACTCTATAAGACGCATCAGACCACAAGACGCACCTAGTTTTTGGAGGAGGAAAACAAGAAAAAAAATATTCTGAATCCCAGAAGCCAGAACAGCAAGAGGGATCGCTGCGCAGCAAAAGCAGCAATCCCTCTTGCTGTTCTGGCTTCTGGGATAGCTGCGCAGCCTGCATTCGCTCCATAAGATGCACACACATTTCCCCTTACTTTTTAGGAGGGAAAAAGTGAATCTTATAGAGCAAAAAATACGGTAATTGTTTAACTGAAATACAATTAAGAATATATTATATTAATAGTGAAATAAAATTAAGAAGAAGTACAGTGGTACCTCGGGTTACATACACTTTAGGTTACATACACTTCTGGTTACAGACTCTGCTAACCCAGAAATAGTGCTTCAGGTTAAGAACTTTGCTTCAGGATGAGAACAGAAATCGTGCTCTGGTGGCGCGGCAGCAGCAGGAGGCCCCATTAGCTAAAGTGGTGCTTCAGGTTAAGAACAGTTTCAGGTTAAGTATGGACCTCCGGAACGAATTAAGTATTTAACCCGAGGTACCATTTCCAGAACAGATTAAGTTTGAGAAGCAAGGTACCACTGTATATAGAAATGAGCAAACCAGGGATATGTTAGGGAGCAGGCTAGCATTACTTACATCACCATGTCTTACATCATAGGAGCCTACACAACACAAAACACTGTTGCTGTATGTAGGTTTTTTTATTTGTTTTTTATCTCATATTTTGGCAATGTACATCCAGGTGTTTTTTCCCCTTTAATTTTTTGGGGGGGCCCAAGAGAGTGGGGCCCTAAACTATAGCTTGTTTAGCTTAAACGTAAATCCGGCACTGAGTGGTAATGTCAAAACATTGGGCAGGGGGTGGGGAAAAAATACCCCATGTCTGAAATTAGTTATGCAGTTGCTGGAAACTAATTAGAAGGCATGGAAACACGCAGGTAATATATCCCATAATAAAAGTAGGGCATACATCACATCTTTGAGCCTGCTGCAATCATCTGGGGTGTGGTTCCCGGAAACATCAGTAGGGAGTGTGACTGAAAAACAATGCAAACAAAGGCTGGATCTGCCTAACAATTGCAGTTGAAATTGAAGATGTGAGATTGACAGAAACTGAACATGAAATTACATTGTAGTAAGGAGTGGTGACTCCTGCCAACCTAGCAGTTCGAAGTGCAAGTAGATAAATAGGTACCGCTCCGGCGGGAAGGTAAACAGCGTTTCCATGCACTGCTCTGGTTCGCCAGAAGTGGCTTCGTCATGCTGGCCACATGACCCGGAAGCTGTACGCCAGCTCCCTCGGCCAATAAAGCGAGATGAGCACCACAACCCCAGAGTCGGCCATGACTGGACCTAATGGTCAGGGGTCCCTTTACCTTTTTAAGGAGTGGTGAGGTCTTTCTCAGGAGAATTTTGCTAGCCGTGGATACTGAAGTCTGCTCTTAGAAGTCTAAGACTGCACCGCTCATATTTTTTATTTATTTTCAACACCTGGGTGAATGGAGAACTGGGCGAGAATTAGGAGAAAGCTTTCCCATAATTCCTTACTGAGTCCATCCCTCACCTGAAACAACACAGGTGTTGGATTGCAGCCTGAAAGTTTGCGAAGTAAACTATTGCCGTTCTGAAGTTAAGCAAGCCTGGTCCTTTTAAGAGAAGTGGGAAGGTTGCCTGGGAATCTTACACACGATTCCCTCAGCTGTTGGGAATTAGGAAACAGTGGGGTGTGTAAAAAGAGCTTAAAACGTGGGATAAATCAGCCTTGCACAATATAGAGTTAAGTAGCTGATGAAAGCTTGGATCTGAATCATAGAATTGTGGAGTTGGGGTCATTTAGTCCAACCCCTGCGATGCAGGAATCTCAGCTAAAGCATCCGTGGCAGATGATTCTCTAGAAGAGAAGAGAAGAAAGGAAAGGAAAAGGCTGTGCTACCCACAAGGGATGAGGGTGAATTTTATTTGTGCTGCCTTTTCTCTTCTGCTTATTTTTAATCTTATGAACTTATCACTTCAACCGCAACACCTATCTCTTTCATAGCTGCAGATCCAATGGGATCAAGCTTTATTATGTGAGTGATAGAAACCGAGATATGAAAGCTAGGAGCTAAATGGCAACTTAAACCTAGGTTATGGGTGCAACAACAGAATGTCTAGGTGCACTTTTTATATACAATGGTACCTCTAGATACGAATGGGATCCATTCCGGAGCCCCGTTTGCATCTAGACGCAAACGTAACTAGCGACAGCACGTCTGCCCACGCGCGCGTCGCTTTTCGCCGTTTCTGCGCATGTGCGTGATGTCATTTTGAGCATCTGTGCAAGCGGCGAAACCCGGAAGTAACTTGCTCCGTTACTTCCAGGTTGCAGCGGAGCGCAACTCGAACGCGCTCAACTCGAAGTGTATTCAACCCGGAGTATGACTGTATATATATATATCAAGAATACAAAGCTGAAAATGAATGAACTGCAGCTAAAATATTATGTTCGTTTTTCACACAGTCTAGGCCAGGGGTCAGCAAACTTTTTCAGCAGGGGGCTGGTCCACTGTCCCTCAGACCTTGTGGGGGGCTGGACTATATTTTGGAAAAAAAAAATAATGAATGAATTTGTATGCCCCACAAATCACCCAGAGATGCATTTTAAATAAAAGCACACATTCTACTCATGTAAAAACATGCTGATTCCCAGACTGTCTGCAGGCTGGATTTAGAAGGCGATTCAGCCGGATCCGGCCCCTGGGCCTTCGTTTGCCTACCCATGGTGTAGTCCTTACCCTGCTCACCCCCCTAATATTCTTAATATTCTTCTCCAGTCTTCAGAGAGTAGCTGGAAGTGGGGAGGCAGAAAAAGGCCCTCCTTTCCTTCCACTCTGCAGTTTTAATCTGAAATCTTAGGCGCAGTACTGCACCCAGATCTCAGAAACTCCTCGTGCTAATGAAATTCTCTGTTGCAAAATGCGCCCAGAGCAAGGGACGTTTTGAATGCTGGTGAGAGTCTGGTGCAGCTTGTAACAAGGCAGGGAAGGCCCAGAGGAGGGAACCTTAATGAAGATCCCTTTTTTAAAGACCTGAGAATTCCACACAGCCCGAGAGGTTCTGCTCTGGCATCAGTTTGAACTTTGAAGGACATAAAGAGCAGAAGCAGGAGGGGATCAATCCAGGGCAGCTAGCATTTAAAAATCCCAAGTGCAATATTTCAAACCACACAGTCTTTCTCTAAATTGGAAATTAGCATTTTAGATATTCGGTGGTCTCTCTTGTAAATATTGGGTCTCTTGTATGGCATTACGGAGACCATTAAGAATTGCACTGTAATCTTAACATATATATTTTGTATATGTTTTCACAAACAGGCACACTCCTACATTGACGCAAATTAAGATCATTATGAGGCTGCCACCAAAGGAATACACAACCCGCGCAAACTGCGCCGCGCTTTCCGCGCGCCTATAGGAAGCAATGGCGGAGCAATTCTACAGGCCGGTCCTGCTCGTCATGCAAATGAAGTGGGCGGAGCCGACATGGGCGGAGGAGTCGAACTCGGATGCCGGCAGGAAACCCACGACGCGCTTCCCCTTCTTCTTTTTTTAAAGGGCACGGTGGGCGGGGCATGATTTGCAGATAACGAGCGCGGGGGCCGTTTCTATAGGTCGGTCCTGCCCGTCATGCAAATACAGTATGCGGAGCCGGGATGTGTGAGTGTGTGTAGAAACAGAACGTCGGTTGCCGGCAGGAGACAGACGAAGCGCTTCCTCTTTTTTTTTTTTTTTAAATGCACGGTGGGCGGGGCGTGAAATGCAGGCGGACGAGCGGGTGCTTCCATTGGTCGCTCCTGCTCGTCATGCAAATGTAGTGGGCGGAGTCGACACGAGGCAGCGCTCGGTGTGCGTATGTAGTAGATAGAACGTCGGTTGCCCCCACTTTTTGTGTGTTTTAAATACGCGGTGGGCGGGGCGTGATATGCAGATAACAAGCGGGCGCTTCCATAGGTCGGTCCTGCTCGTCATGCAAATACAGTGGGCGGAGTCGACACGAGGCGGAGCTCGGGGTATGTGTGTAGAACGTCGACTGCCCCCACTTTTTGCGTGTGTGACTTTTAAATACGGTGGGCGGGGCGTGATATGCAGATGAGAGCGGGCGCGAGCCGGGCGGGTAGGAGGACGCCGGCAAACAGCCGCCTGAGGTGGATTCAGTCAGAGAAGAGTCGCCGCCGCCAACCGACCTGACGGACTCTTAAGCTGGAAGCGAAAGGCTGAGGGAGGGTCTTGCTGCCACGGCGCTCCTGGATCCCCTCACATCCTGACCCGAGAGGGAGAGAGCCTCACCGCCCTTCACACGAGACGAGCCCGGCCCCGCGGGGAATATGGCGAGTGTCAGAAATGGAACCGAAGGGACGAGCGCAGGAGGAGGAGGAGGCGAAGAGGTAACGCCGTGGGCGCGGAGGGAGGGGGAGAGGGGGGCGAGAGTTCCGTGTCACACACGCGTGAACGTGTGAACGCTGTTACGCCAGTGCCGAACGCGTGAATCCCTTCCGTAGGTGATGGATGGGCAAGGCGCGTCGGGTTGTTCGTCGAGTTTCCGATATGGGTCGAAAGGTCGGTGCGGGGGAAAGGATGGAGATGGAGGTGGGGGAGAGAGAAGGTTTTCTCCTCCTCTCACTTTCTCGCCTCCTGGCGACCAACAGGTGCTGCTGTGTTGGATTTACGTAAAAGCTAAACAAGCTAGAGCCTCGGGCCCCACTCTCTTGGAGACCCAAAAATAAAGAAATAAAGAAATAAAAAACAAACCTGGATGTACATTTCCAAAATATAAGATAAAAAACAAATAAAATAAAACCTACATACAGCAACAGTGTTTTGTGTTGTAGGTTCATATTTGTTATGTGAAAATGGCTTTAGATACCTATGAGGTCCATAAATTACCATATAGCATATGTTCAACATTAAAAAAAACAGCGACAATTTGTTGTTGACAAAGGACAGCTGGGCATATAAAGGGCCCCATTACCTTCAGTTGCTTAGGGCCTCATCACACTGAAATCCAGCCCCGATGTGATCCCATAAATATCAAATGGTAAGTTCAATAATGGTAAATTCAAATCCCACCCAAAAGGATGGGGGGGGGGGGATAAAAAGACAAAACAGAACTCTTGCATCTTTTTTTTTTATGTGATGGTCAGCAGCGATGCTGTGTTGCAAAATTACATAGAATCATTCAGAAGTGAGCTTTCATTATCCCTCGAGGTGCTTTCGTTATTTATTAGGTGTACAACACCCTTCATGTCATTATCATAATTCGTCTAGGGGTGTAGCCAGGATTTACGTTGGGTGTGTGTGTGTGTGTGTGTCACGGGCAGGACACCCACCTGTCATCACCCTCTGTCTGGCTCTGTCTTAGCAGATTCAAAATGAAACGTCTCGGCCACAGTTGTTTTATTTTCTTTTGAGCCCAAGTGCTCAGGGGAAAAAAAACCCCTGTCAAGATCTTCCTACCGTTTCTACATTTAGTTAAGTATTTTTATTTATTCATTTGATTTAGCCCAGGGCAGCTGTCCCCTGAATTCATCTGTTCAGGAATTGCTTTGAAGCGCAGAAAAGAATTCCAGAGCTGCATCTTGCAAATAAGTGATAGCAGTAGTTCATGATACAAAGCTTGCAGACATCATGCCCAAGTTTCTTCGTCTCTTTTTATTATATTTACCATTACACATATATCCCATCTTACTTCCAATGGGTTAAGGGTAGCATGCATGTTTTCTCCCTCCTGAATTTTATCTTCCCAACAAATCAGTGACTGAGAGACTGTGACTGGCTCAATGAGGATTTGAACCCAGGTCCTGGTTCAACACTTTAACCACAATGACTCCCACAGTCTCTTCTAACCTGATATGTTTGTGGCTGTCAGAATGCCCCTTATCTGGGAAGACCCCAAAGGTAGATCAGAGAGAATATCTCTAGCAGCCTCATGTTAAGTTGTCACTATATATGATTCCTGAGGCTATTTTAAGCTGAAGTCATGGTGTTGCTTTTATGTTTTCGAAAGTAGTCTAGAGTGGCCCTTTTCCATTGTACATTTTATTTCCTTATGGGAAACATGACGGCAATATTTTAGGTCATTTAGGAAGTCAGTGCTCGTACCATTGAAATTCTACACCCTGTAATAATAAACCACCTACATATGACCCCTGTCACCCAGATACTGTGCTGTAAAGAGCAGGAGGAAATAGAATGCCTCATGCTAGAGGTGCTTGCATAATTCAAAAGAGAGTTTAGTAAAACAATCCAGATGAGCAAGTGGATAAATGATGCAATATGAAAAATATGGAACCAGATATAGTAGGCATCTATCCTGAATAGGAGCAATGAGAGATGAATTTTAGTTTACTTTTATATTATAGCTGGATTTCTGTGTGTTTTGTCTGAGCTTTTTATTAGTTTTAACCTGGAAAAATGTAATTAATGGCACTATGTACAACCTGAAGTTGGTACTGGGGGTTTGATGAAGGAGATGGTTCTTATCATGGATCATGCATAGCAGCAACACTTGTGCATGAGATCCTGGCCTGCTTGTAAACTGTGCCCTGCCCAACATAGGTACAACATTGGTATATATCTAGATTTTTGTCAAGACTGTATCAGGGGAAGAAAGGTGACTCAGCAGTCATGCCTAAGCAGCCTTTGTGGTGGTGCTGCAGGCTTCCTTTTCACTTGGCGAATTGCTTAATATGCCAATTCTACTATATCCTAGCCATTTTATTGAATGAGGATGGCTATTATAACTGTTCTGACTGCTTTTTAAGGGCTATCTCATCACATAAATTTCTTTGCTTCAATGAATCTTTTAAATATTGCGGCATATAATAACACTAAGTAAAAAGTAAAGGTAAAGGACCCCTGGATGGTTAAGTCCAGTGTGACTGTGGGGTGTGGCACTCATTTTGATTCAGGCCGAGGGAGCCAGAGTTTGTCTGAAAACAGCTTTCCGGGTCATGTGGCCAGCATGACTAAACCACTTCTGGCGCAATGGGACACGGTGATGAATGCCAAAGTGCATAGAAACGTTGTTCATCTTTCCACCACCCCAGTGCCTATTTATCTACTCGTACTGGTGTACTTTCAAACTTGTAAGTTGGTAGAAGCTGGGACAGAGCAATGGGAGCTCACCCCATCATGTGGATTCGAACCACCAACCTTCCAGTCAGCAAGCCCAAGAGGCTCAGTAGTTTAGACCACAGCACCACCTGTGTCCCTTTAATAATACTAGTAGATCATTTAGGAATATGAAGAGAAGAGTAACAACGGGAGTATTGGTTATTTTAAAAACAGTATTTTATGGATACTGTCCAGAAAGCTTCAATAAATTGTCTTTTCCTTCTAAATCTGTGCAACACATATTTTTCACTTTGTGAAGTTAACCATACTGTGGTGTTTTGTTTTGTTTTAACTTTCCCCCTAATTTACCATTTTCTCTGGGATTCTATTCTATGTCAAGCTTCCCCTTCAGGTCTCTTGTAAGTTTGTCAAGCTATCCAGGGAGTGAAAGTTCAGCAACTTGCCTTTCTGCATATCTTCTTAGTCAGAATCCATTCATATGCTAGTTTTTGGTAGGCAGTTTTATGATGCTCTGCTGGAGTAGACAGTGGTCTAAATGTAGCTCTTTAATGTTAATTTCTCAAAGCTTGTTTGTAGCTCACCCTAGATCTCAGGCCTTTTGCATCTTCCTATAGGACAGACACCCACACTTAGAAACTGGTGGACTGCCTTCACCTGGGCTGGGCTGAATCAATATAAAACAGGATCATGGTGGAGTAGACCGCCGTTTAAAGCACTGCACAGGCAGGAAAGCTGTACCCTCACCACAATATGAGTTTTCTTGTTGAAAACACTTCTTCCAAGTTGTCTTTTTTGCAGATGGGATTCCCAGACTGGAAGTATCCGCCACTGAGGGGAAGAACAGTTGTCTCTGCTTCCCTCCCTAAACCTGCCGCAAGTTGAAAGTTTCACTCCACATCCCAACTGCCTATGGAATACTTAAAATGTACCCAACCACCAGTCTTATACAAATTAAGACCTGGTTCCTAGACCACATTTGGATTACCGTGTTTTTCCGTGTATAACACCCCCCTCTATATAAGACACCCCTTGTTTTTGGCGACTCAAAATTAAGAAAATGGGGGGGGGGGGAGATTGCCCCAGTGTATAAGACTACCCCCCTTTTAAAATTATTTTTAGTAAAAAACAACAACCCTAGTCTTATACACAGAAAAGTATGGAATATCTTATCTCAGTTGAATAAAATGAGATAGGCTTGTGACTGTCTTTTGCCATTGTGATGCTCCTTTCTTTCTTGCAGTAAGCCAGGAAGTGTTCAGTTAGTCATACTTCAGTGGTTCCAAACCTGTTAACTACTCCTATCGAGTTAAAAACAAGGCAGGATTCCCAAATTGTTCCGAAGCTGGTAACTGTTGTTTTTTGGTTCAGATATAATGAGAAACTATGGTTAATTGAAGAGTTCCAAGTATAATTGCAGGTTTCTGGGAGGAGTCTGCATATGTAGGCATGCATGACGCTGATTCATGGCCATGCACACAATTGTGATTCCATAATGTCTTATTTGCCTCTTGGCTTTAATGGTGAAGCAGGTAGAAAGTAGGCTGCAGTTCCTTCTTTTTTCTAAGAACGCTTTTGACTGGAGAAATTGAAAGATGTAAGGATTGGTTATTGAAATATATTATTTTGTGTGTGTGAGAAAGAGAGAGAACTTGAGTCTTTGAAGTCCTCCCCCCCATTTAAGAGTTAATTAATGTGAGAATTGACAAAAGTATCACTAAAATGAAGTATACAGGATGTAGTTGCCTAAATTAAACTTATTTTGACTTCTGGACCTTTTGGATAAAATGGTGCCATGAACATTTCTAGGTCCTGAATGTTAACCTAACCCTGAAGCTAACTTACACAATTTTTATTCACTTCTGTTTCTCACAGAGATTACATATATCAACTTGCACAACACATTGAACAGTGCAGGCAACACTGGATCCTTTGGTAATTATTACAAGGCTTATGCAAGAGTAGTGTGTGAACCTAGCAGGAAGAAAAGGCAGCCATGGGGAGACACTTTGAGCAGAGAAAAATGTCATGGCTAGGGAGAGTGTTAACCACCACCCCTCTTTCCCCTCCTTGTCTGTTCCTCTTATCATTATTTTTAATCTAGGCTCTGCTACATGCATTTTCATATAAAATGTAGTTAAAAATACGTTTTGCTTTTTAGGAAATGCATGTAATAAAGCCTTGGCTATTTAAAAATAAAAAGTAGCAAGGGGCTATCAAAGAGAACAATAAATGTCTACCTTGCATTACTACAATATATAATACAGTGTTGATTATGTCTGTTGAGCATAATACTAAGGAGTACATGTTTGTGACATGCAATTGGTGTCCAGGGGACAACATAAAGATTCCTCCATCTTTAAGAAAACTGAAGCCTCTTGATGGAAGCATTACATATCTTCAAGTCAAATTAGAAAGCAAATTAAAATAGCCTTTTAACCTTGTGCAATGCATCTATTTGTCCAATACCAAGTTGACTTGCCTGCTATGAACTATTTCCTACAAATTAAATATCATGGAAGACACAATCAATAGTGCCAAGGTCATTTGAGGAAACTGCCCCTTTGAAGTTTTAAAAGACACCTTGTGTAATCTGTCTTTAAACTTTGTTTTCCCCTGTTACAATTAACTAGCTGCTGCCACCAAGCAGGGGAAATGCTCATGTCCATGAATCCTGGACTCATGTCTTATTATCACAGACACTATGTGAACATAAATATGTCAATCTTCTCCTATTTGCTCACAATACATTTCCAAGGCAGTTCCCGGTGCTTGGACAAGTTGAAGTTGAATTTAAGCTAGATGGTCATAAAATTGTCTGGATTAAAGAGAAGGCTCAAGAGATGGAAGGCAGACATAGCATCTCTTTGCATAATGACTTGGATCTGATGCTCTACATGTGAATAAGAACTCCAGAGGAAAAAATGTATGAGAGAACAGCTCTAAAGATGTCTCTCCGTTGGAGTAAAGGTTGAAGTACACAAGATCCTTTCAAAATGAAGTAACTGGAGAACAAAAGCGGATGGAACTGGAAAAGTAAAAAGGCACATTTTCATAAGGCTCTTGGAAATGGTGTCAAAGGTAAAATGATGACAAGGCTGAGGAGAGTATCCTGAGCTTTAGAAAGGAAGAGGAGTCATTTATGCACAGTATAATTTGTGCATAAATGCACAAATTTGTCTTTCTCTCCTAAAGTGAATTTTTAATGAAAGACAAGTAGACTGATCTAATGTTAGCATGAACACTTTCTACCTTTCTGCTTACCATTAACCAGTTTGCACACAACGCTAAGCCAAACCATGGCTTAGCTCAGAGTCGCATTGCAGCAGGAAGACTGGGGGAGGACTGAAGAGGTTGTGTTTTTTGCTGGGAGTACCCACACACGCATTCATGCTTTGCTGTAGCTTGGTTTAGAGTTCCTTGGTTGATTTTAATGCCTGAAATTGGGAAACAAGATGTGCTTGGGCTGCATAAATTACTTTGAAGTGGAAGTAATTCTACTTGCAGAATAAAGTTCAAGACCAGTTTTGCTACCACACTCCAGTTAAAATATGATGGTTTAATGGCAAGCATAGGACTCCTTCCCTCCTTTCTAAAATATATAGTAAATCTGCCAAAAGAACCATCTTTTATGCTGCTCTTATTTTATATTCTTAATGTTGTTTTATTTTGCTAATTTTGGTAAACCGCCCAGATAAAATATGCCGGGTAACTGTAGATCATAAACACATAAACAAAGAAAGGTTTTCATTCATATGTCTTAAACTGCCAAAGGGTTGGTTTTATTCAGATTTCATAACTCGTGGAGTCTATAATTAGATTAATCCTGAAATTATGCATCTGTATAAAAGTGCTCTAGCAAACATCCCTATGCACTGAAGTGAGAAATGGTCTCAAGACAGCTGGTCATACCCCTTTGGCACTGATGTACCATTCAACCATCAGCTGGCAACTCCATCTTCAGCCTCAAAGAAAACAGGCCCTGTGCATGAAGGGCTCCACCATGCAAAAGAAAATCCTGGATTCCCCTTCTACACCTGTAGGGCCCATTCTCCATGTGGCTGAATATATCTGTGCAACTGAATATACAGCCATCCGGGTGTGTCTCTTTTATAGGAAATGTACACTTTTTGTGCATTCTGCAACTTCCATTTCAAAGTGATAACTCAAATAGCAAGGAACACCAGTTTTGGAAAACTATATAATTTTATCCTGCTCTCCCTTAAAGTAGCTGAAGGTGATTACGTAGTATTATCCCAATAAGCTTTATTGGTGAGGGAGAATTTAACCTGGTCATCCCTGCTTTATGTCCCTTATTCTAACACTTCTCTTAATGTAATAGTTATTTCTTTTCTAGAAGGAAGTACAAAAAAATATTTTGATGCTCCAAGAATGTATTTTGAAAATGTCAGCCAGCACATTGCAGTTTATTATGCCAATGTGTACTATGCCAGTGTTGTAAGGGAGGTTTCATGTGGCAATAATTGGCCACTAGGGGATTCTCTTGTGGTGTAACTGAGCAGCTTGATATAAAATAATTGGAAGCCACAGAGAACTTGTGTAGTTCAGCCTTGGTTAAAATGTACTGCCTGCTGGCCTCTGTTGAAGGCTATTAAAGGATATTTTTGGTCCCAGTTTTTGTTTTTAACTAAAGAATGTTCTACATGGTGTCATTTAAACACAATATATGTCATTTAAGGCTCTCTGAGTAACAATCTCTGAAAAGTCAGAACTGCGTGAAGCTTCATATTTTGCAAAGGTTTAGTAAAAACTAAAAAGTAACTGTCATAGAATCGCAGAATTGTAGAGTAACCCTCATAGAAACATAGTATTGTGGAGTTCAAAGGGACCCCAAGGGTCATCTAGTCTAAACCCCTGCAATGCAGGAATCTCAACTAAAGCATCCATGACAGATGACCATCCAACCTCTGCTTATAAACCTTGTACTTTGTATTTTGGGTCTATGGGCCTCAATAAAGCGTGTGTGTGTGTGTGTGTGTGTGTGTGTCTTAAAAACCTCCAGTGAAGTGGAGTCCAGTCCACCACCTCCTGAGGGAGACCATTCCACTGTCAAACAGCTCTTACTGTCAGAAAGTTCTTCCTGATGTTTAGTCAGAATCTCCTTTCTTGTAACTTGAATCCTTTAGTTTGAGTCTTAGCTTCCAAAGCGGGAAAAAATAAGCTTGCTCCATACTCCGTTTGACAGCCCTTTAGATGGCTATCATATTTCCTTTCAGTCTCCTCTTTTCTAGGCTAAACATGCCCAACTCCCTCAACCATTCCTCATAAGACTTGGCTTCCAGACCCTTGATCTTTTTGGTTGCCTTCCTCTGCACACATTCCAGCTTGTCAATATCCTTCTTAAACTGTGGCGCCCAGAACTGGACACAGTACTCCAGGTGTGATCAGACCAAGGCAGAACAGAGTGCTACTATTACTTCCCTTGATTGGGACATTAGACTTCTATTGATGCAGCGTAGAATAGCATTAGCTTTTTTTTGGTGCTGCATCACCCTGTTGACATGATTAGACTGGTCTTGAGAAGAAGGATTCTAGGCCAACGCTGCAAATTCTATGTTATACCTTGTTTCAATTAAAATGACGTTTGTACTGCCTTTTTTGTACTAACCTTATTTTAAGAACCTGTTAAAGTTGCCCTTATTTCTACTGCTTTTTGACTTCACACGAAAGTGCATTAATGTACAAAATGTGGAATATAGGATTTTCCATTACAGAAACAGTGTTCTTCTTACGTTAACGAGTACAGAATATTTGATTCCAAAACTGCTTCAGCACACTGGGCTTTTTATTTATTGAGATGAAGCCCAACTTATTCCTGTATTCATTTATTTATTATACAATATGTAAACCTAAAAGAGGTAAGAAATGTACAGTATATAAAACAAGTAATGAAATTGTTCTGACACTGCTTTGGGACTGGAGTTATACGGTGCCTAAACGAGAAGCGTGGCAAGATTCTCACAGCTGCATTTTGCACTAGCTGTAGCGTCTGAACTGTGTTCAACAGCAGACCCATATAGAACACATTGCAATAGCTCAAACACAAAGTTATTAGAGCATAAACACAGTGACCAAGTTATCCCTGTCCAGCAAAGGCCATAGCTGGTGAACTAGGTGAAGCTGGAAATCACGTGCATCTAGTAAAATAAAAAGCTAGATCAAAACATTACAGAGCAGGTTGAATATTTAAAAATCATTTTTTGGGAGGGGGGGAACCCATGAACCTCACTCTGTTATTTTTTATCCATCTGTTACTCCAAAAGGGGGGCTGCCGAGAAATTGTGAGGTAGCTACATTGCATGGCAAGTCCTGACCCCCCCCCACTTGGCTGAATAAAGACACATGACTCAAATATTTAAGGTTAATGGGCTAAAAAAGGCCACAACTTTATTGGTTACGGATGATGAGCGGTATTGGCTTAGGCATTGGATCTAACCAACCATATCTGACTCCAGCCTGTCTGCAGGGAGTCCGGGAAGGGTTAACCACCAGTAGGGGGAGTCCTGCTGATGCACATCAACTAGGAGCTCCCCTGGGGATCACCGATAGGGGTCGTGCCTTAGGCCCTAACCTCCCCAGGCTTCGGACAGGGCCACGCCCCCCGGAATCCTTTAACGGAATACCCTTCAATAAGTGGGGCAGGTGATGGCGCTACCTCCTCTCTTCTCTTCTTCAGAAATATTCCAATGCCTAACCACCAAACCTTAAAAAGTTGTGACAATTTGCTACGAGGAAGGCGAAAACCAAGTGGCTGGTGCCAATTTGCCAAGTGGAAAAATTCCTACCAGGCCCCTCAACGGCGACCAACTGAAGTCCATAGCAAGGTCAAAAGAGATGAAAACCTTAAGGGTGGGAGGGTGGGAAAACCGAAGCAGCTGGAAGCCAGAAAGAGAGAGATCTCCTGGCTGCGTCCTGCCTTTATTGGGCAGGCCACACCCCCAGACCAACCAGATTGGTTGGCCTGGCCAGTGACGCAGCCGGGAATCCCCCAGTCGCACAGGGCTGGCCACCCACCCCCTGTGCACGCACGTGGAGGGGTTGTGAGAGCCCGCAACACCACCACCTCCTTAAGGTGTAAGTGGCCTTGCAGTTAAGCACAAAGGCTCATATGAACAAGTTTCTAGAGCAGCATGGCCTATGGAGATCCAAGGGACGACAGGAAGGAAAGATGCTGATAAGCCAACATGAGGGTTTTGGTTTGTTTTGTTTTTGCAACATGCAATACAGTGTAGTGGAAAGAGAGGAGCAGAAAACAAGCTATGCAGTATTTCATGGTCTCCAAAAAGTCGTTCATTCTCTCCTCTATGCAAACAAGCACCCAGAGGATATTTTTGCATATCGCCATGAAAGTTGTCTGCTACCCAGCTCAGAAAGGATCAGATGGAATAGTTCTCATGCAAACCAAACACAGTGGCAAGAAAGCCCCTTAGTAATATTTAACTTCTGTAATGTCAATGAATAATCATATCCTTGACTAAACATTGCATGTTTGGAATAGAAAAAAAGCTTTTTGCATAACCAACCTGCAGTGTCTACACTGAAAATACCCCAAAATCTGTAGTACTCCCTGTGGCTTGGTTCCAGATTTCATATATTTCAAGACAGGAAAGCTTCCCTGCTACCATCTATATTTTCTTTTTTATATATAACAGGCTGGCTGCGGCTGATAGGAATTGCCCAAATTATCTGGAGGGTAACAGATTGGGAAAGGCTGCCCTACTACAGTACAGAACTGACCAAAGTTGTCCATTAAATAGAGCCAACTCCCCATTTACGGGGGGGTTGCATTCCGAGGCACCGCACACAAAGGTGGGATGCGTGTAAGCACCCGCCTGCTTCTGGGGCCAAAAATGGTGCATGTGTCAGTGGCCACATGTGGCTTGAACACGTGCAGATGGTAGGTTGCATGTATTCCACATCAATCATCAGTCTGGCCATTTGATGTACTTGGATTGAGGTGGTCTGACTTTGGTTCCTCTCTAACGTTCCTGCTCCTCTCTGCTCATTCTCTGCACAAAGACTGGGGAGCACACATGAGCCTGTTTTTTTGCCCAGCTCCCAGTTCAGCAAATGTATAACATAAATGTGTGGTTGTCATCTTCCTGTGCAACCATAAATCTATTTAGAGATTTTTTACTACTGGAGGGTAGAAGACAAGTCTTGTTGTCATAACAGCTAAAGAAAAATGTGGATAGAGCTAGAAACAGATGACATGTATAAATAGGCAGTGAGCTAAAGTAAAACATGCGAAGACAAATGAACTTCTGCTGTTTCTCTGCACTCTCAGACTGGCCACACTGAATCTGTGCCAAAATCAGCTGGCTATTCTTTGCTGTTTCTTGACAAAATCAAAGCTGTGTCCAGATATAGTGCTTTAATCCAAATTACATTAAAAGACACAGACATTGAGCTGTAACCATCCCTTCCCTCAAGGTTTTAGAGAGACTTTTGAGCTTAGCAGAAGAGCTTACTAGTGCCAGCTACTTTAGTGTTAAGTGTCAATTAGTGGCACACAGGCAGGTAGGTTTAACTGGATTTTTACAGTTGCATATGCTCTTCATACAGATTGTCTTCCACTTGAAATGTCCAGACCACTATAACAAAATAATTGGATAGTAAATGGACTATATTCTAAGACTCAGAATTTAAAATTCAGGCTAATGTTTTGAAAACAATGATTTTAAGCAAAAATGATATACAGTCTATATTAATCTGAAAAACTCTTAAGTCGATTTTCACTGTGAACGTTCTTTAAAAAAAAGCAAAGAATTTAATCCATCAGAATTCAATCCAGTTTCTAAATCTCATTAGAGTCAAACGCATGCCTGAATTCATCCTACTCAAAATCAATGGGACTCAGAAGGTAAGATTGCAGTCCTAACCCCACTTACCTGGGAATAAGCCACACTGAGTTCAGTAGAGCTTACTTCTGAATAGACATGTTAAGGATTGCACTGTAAGTCCACAAAGGTCATAAATTTTTTCTAGTCCTTTTTCTGATAATGCATTATTGGGTTGGGTCACTGATGGCACATCAGTGGCTAAAAATCTGGACATTTCTCTCTGAACTGCCTGGGATTGTTCTTATTCACATAAACTAATAATAATTTGACTAAACCATTCCGAGGTAGTCTTGCTGGTACTGACTTTAAACATAAGGCAGCAAAAGAGGTTTAAAGACTCTCTCAAGGCAATTTTTTAAAAAAATGTAGTATAAACACCAACAATTGGGAAACACTTGCCTGCAAGCGCTCCAATTGGAGAACAGCCTTTACCAAAGGTGTCATGGGCTTTGAAGATGCTTGAACTCAGGACGCAAGGGAGAAACGTGCTAAGAGGAAGGCACGCTTAGCAAATCCACACCGTGATCAACTCCTGTCCAGAAACCTCTGTCCCCACTGTGGAAGGACATGTGGATCCAGAATTGGCCTCCACAGTCACTTACAGACTCATTGTTAAAACCGTGTTTATGGAAGACAATCTTACTTGGCTACGAGTGATCGCCAAAGAAGAAGAAGAAAAAGCCTTTAAAAAAACAACACCAACTGCTACATAGAAACATGAAAGCTGGAGTAGGTAGTACATGTTCAGTCTTTAAACTCTGTTAAAAGTTAGAAGATACCATTGGTGACTAATGATGCTTACTGATACTAGCGTTTGACGTTTGCACAATTTGTTTCCACACAGCAGTGAAGATGGATGGGCTCTGTTGAATGTGATGAAAGGAATGGGGAAGTATTAAAAATTGTCGTGTGAGTGCTGCAAAGGGCTGGTTCAGCCAGGCAACATTTGGGCAATTGTTGCACAAACACATGGAGTTACAGCGTTGAAAGTCTAAGTGCCTTAGGCTGACATCCTATGCACGCTTACATCAGAGTAAGTCTCATTGGACTCAATGGGCTTTACTTCTGGGTTGGCATGAATGTCAGTATTTAGTTTTACAACAGGTTGCTTGTGCCACAGTCCTCTGAGGGAGAAGTAAAAAGGTTGACCACAAGGGAGCACTCAATGCAAAAGGATTTGCTTCTAGTATCTCCGTAGTGGAACAAAGTTCACTCAAAGAAGGCAATTCATAAGCAATGAAACAGCATAAGAAACAGCAATTCATAAGCAATGAAGACCCATATGCTCCTCTCATGAAGATGGCAACACTCTTTAGATCGGGTGTGGAATATGTGGCTATCCAGATGTTGCTTGACCGCAACTCCTAGCATTGCTGACCATGCTGGGCAGGAGTGGAGGGAAAGGGAAACCAACAAATCAGAAGGCTCACGGTTTGCCCACCCCTGATCTAAATGCAGAAATGCATCTTGGATTTGAATGTTGTCTATGTCTGCAGTGGGGGAGGCTAACCTGTGGACCAGATATGACCCTGCAAGCTACAGGAAGAGACCTACCAGCGCCCACAGCTTTATTTCCTAATCTCAGTACTGTAGTGCTGAACAGTGAGATCAGAAGATAGAACTGCCTTCTCTTTAGAAATTAAAAGGCAGCACCCACCCGAGCATTGTTCCTGGAAAAACTCTCACCCATTTGGTCTAGTGCCTCAGACTGGATCCAGCTTCATCCAATTCCTTACCGAGACAAGACAACGATCCAGCACATCCGCTGCCTCACCTGAAGATGTAAAGCAGAAGTAGGCTGAAGAGCACTCTCCAAGCATCACCCTCTGGAAACGACCATCTAAGTAGGACCAGAACCATAGTAAAGTGGTGCCACCCACCGTCAACTCAGACAGCCGCTCCAGAAGAATACCATGGTCAATGGCAGTAATGAGACACTGCAAGCTTTTGACTTGCTCACTTGCAGCTCCTTGCAGCCACACTAGAGAAGAGTGGAAGCTTTTGCTTCTGATTTTCGACAACTCAGCATGTCATCCAAATCCCAGACAGTGAACCGCTCTGATTATTCTGTGAACCGCCCTGAGACCTGCCGGGTATGGGGCGGGGATATAAATTCAGTTTTTTATTCTTATTCTTATTAATGGTAACTGGTTTGTTTGAAACAAGCAATAATTAAGATTAAGCACAGTTTGTTGGTTTTGCATGATGTAAGCAAACTGCCAAAACCCCTTCAGCTGCAACCACACTGAGCTATCAGTGGTGTACAAACTTTTTTTCAAAGAGGGCCAGATGTGATGAAATGAAGGGTCGTGAGGGCCAACCGAAGGGCCAACCAAAGTTGTTGAGCTTTTAGGATTTTACCCCACGAAATAAACTGCCACAGGGGCTGAATTAAACCGACCGGTGGGCCGGATTAGGCCCCTGAAACAGACTTTGGACATGCCTGGGTGTGACACCTGAAGTGGGTGATTGGAATGATCTTTCATATTCCAGTTCAGATCTCCACTTATGTTCTCATTATTTCAGTTGGCTTAAATTTAGAAGATAGACTGTTATCTTAGACTGAAAACAGTTTTAGTTCATGTTTTTACAAGCAAGTAGTGTCTTCCTTTCCTCCCTCATGTAAATACTAGGTGCTCAAGATAAGTATTATTTTAGTCCTATATTTGGAAAGAACTGATTTCACTATAACAATTTAAATTTATAACAACACTGCTACCTAGGCTGGTCTCTGAAGATAGTAGAAGTTTGCAGTGGAGACGAAACAATGTAATGGGGCTGCAGCAAGAATTGCATCATAGCAAGAGCATCCATGAGGCATTATTAGTGTGTAGTGAGAAATGTGCATGGTAATAACATGTTCACTGTGTTAGTACAAGTAGATTTTAAAAATTGTATTGTATGGTTTTGTTTCTGCTTCATGAAAGAATCTATAATTATGGACTGTATGGACTCTCCATGGTAGCCAACTCTTTGTTAGTCCTAGGCATATTTTTGTAAATGGCACATTAAGATGATGCCGCCATCCCATTAAGAGGATACCAAGAAATGCCCACTGTCCCCTTTGGACATTAATGTATCGTGTTAGCCAGATATGGTGTCAGCATACCCTCAGGACTCAGTGGGTATTCCTGCCATGGGCATGGTGAGGCAACAAGAAGGGTAGATAGAGAACTTCATACATCATCGTTCCCTCTACATTTCCAAGAGTCTCGTCTGCTGAAAATTCAGAGATCTAGCTCAGTAAAGAATTCACAGTAAAGCCAATATAACTCAAAGGTGCGCATGACACTCTAGCAAAAACATTAGGATATTTTTAAATTGTTGCCCAATTTTGTTATGTATACCCCACTGAGAATACTGAGAGCTTTTCTTGAAAGGCAGGATATAACATCAGATAAACACATTTACAGACCCAGTTTTAAAAATTTAATACGCTGTTTCATCATAGGATGATGGAACTGTGGTTTGAATAAGTTACACAACTAGAACTCTTGCTAATTTCCCCACCTTATCAGGAAGAATAGTTCAACCCCAGTAATTGGAAATGAATCATTTGTTTCTGTTCTTCCATTTGATCTTGTGACACTGCACCTTTAGTTCAATATCCTGCTTGGTGCAGGGGTGGATGAAGTTTTTCAAGGAAGCTCGTTGCAACAGAGATTCCCGGACTTGGTGAGCAATAGCCCTGAAGGCTGCAGGTGTAACCCAGGGAGGGAAACATAAACCCTGAAAGTTGTATTTGGAGTGTTTTAGGGCCAAGAACAATTAATTTTTGTTAATAATACTGCTTTTTAAAAAGTGTGCATAAACTGAACACACTATTTGATGGAACGTAGCTATGTCTCTATGCTAATTTCCTGCCCCAAACTATCCCTGCACCCCATGCTGTATCTGATAGTCTCCTGGCAACAAAAGTTTATGACACAATAAATTAGTTTATTCTTTAAACTGTCACTTGGGTATTTTTTAAAAGCATCCTTGTAACTCTCTATGAAACCTCTTCTAGTTTTCATTATCCTTCTTGAACATTCCTGCCCAATATTGAATACAATGTTGAATAAATATGCAGTCTCAACACAGCAAACATAAATCCCTATGTATCTACTTTAATCATATAGCAGTAACTGGTACCTAGTTTGCATATAGAGAGCTTGCCAAGTTTAGAATTCTACTGCCAGCTACTTGGTAGCCAGTGTCGATAATTTCTTGTGACCCAATGGTGTGTTCCTACTAGGAATGTGAATGATATTTGTATTTTTCAAAATTGCCTATGAAATATTACAAAATTTGCTATTTTGTGTACACATTGAGCAAGATTCCGTGAATGTTTGTTGGATTATGATGCGTTGGTTCATATTATTTTCAAAAAGAAATAAAATGGGGGGACGACCTTTTTTTTTGTAATAATCAATCCTGCTACATTACTGTCACTTAATGCAAGTTATATCCTTTCCAAATGCACATACATTGTATGTCTGTAGTAAAATTACACAAATCAAAATATGTTATCAGTTATGTGGCCCAAATACATGTTGCATAACACACATAATTTTTGAAAGCAATTATGAAATTTGATGAAAGAGAATCAAAAGAGAATGAGCTGTGAAACAACATGGGCTCAGTAATTGGCAAAAAATGAAAAGTGAGAAAACATCACGAGTTACATCACTTGTCCCTACTCACTGTTTAGTTAGTTAAAATCATGAATTCGCAACAAAAGGCTTGAAGAGATGTACAACAACAAAAAATAAAAATACCTCCCCAAATAATAATCAATCAATCAATTAATTAAAAAATAACAAAAATACCCGAACATAAACATTACTTAAACATGTTTAAGTAATGTTGCCATAAAACTTTATTACCCATTGTTGTAAACATATATTCTTACATTTCTGTCCTTGGAAGGGAAAATTGTGCCCTGATTTAACAACAAAGACATGCCAAATGAATGAACTGTATGTTGCCCTTATGTGACACACTCATCCAATTGTTGGCACACCAGGGGATGGTATCTGTAACAGATTGTCCTGTTAGTCAAGTTCTTAGAATTGCTCCTCTTTTTTTAGAGCATCTGATCTAAGTTCATAAGAGGTGAAATGCAGTCTAGGTAACATAGCAATGCATTATCCTATTCTGCCTTTAAATACAAAAGCAAACAAATCCCAGATTACTTGTGTGTCCCCAGCTTGGTCTTTTTTATGAAGCAGTATTAAATCTAAGTGTCTCTAGTCTAAGACAATCAATACATTTATAAGCTGACTGCTATGTGTACAAACCCTCTGAAATTCAAGTTGAAATGGTTTAATAATTTGCAAGAGTGCTAATAACTGGCTGTTGTTGTGTGTCACCCGCTCTTGTCCATTCTGTCAATTGGGGGATAAATAAGATCCACAGATCTGATGCATGTTTGTGGCTTTTTTTAAAGAGAACCATCGGTATCAGTGTTAGAAACTGAGATATGAAAGCTAGGAGCTAAATGGCAGCTTAAACCTAGGTTATGGGTGCATCAATGGAATGTCTAGTTGTAGTTTTTTATAACAAGAATACAAAGCTGAAAATGAATGAACTGCATCTAAAATATTATGTTCATTTTTCACATGGTCTAGTCCTTCCCCTGCCCACCACCCTAATATTCTTAAGAGGATCTCTTCTCCAGTCTTCAGAGAGTAGCTGGAAGTGGGGAGGCAGAAAAAGGCCCTCCTTTCTTTCCACTCTGCAGTTTCAATCTGAAATCTTAGGTGCAGTACTGCACCCAGATCTCAGAAACTACTTGCGCTAATGAAATTCCCGGTTGTAAAATGCGCCTAAAACAGTGGGTGTTTCAAACACTGATCAGTATGCCACTCAGCTCTACATTTCTCTTTGTCATCTGAGTCTGGCATGGCTGTGAAGGTGCTGAGCTAGTGCCTGGATATAGGAATGGTCTAGGCGAAACCCAATAAACTACCGTATTTTTTGCTCCATAGGGCGCACCTGACCATAGGGCACACCTAGTTTTTAGAGGAGGAAAGCACAAAAAAAAATATTCTGAATCAAATGTTGCACTAAACTATTTAAAGCAGCAAAGCGGGCGGCTCCTGTCTGCTTTGCTGCTTTAAAGCGAGCCTCAGAGGAGGGTAGGAAGGGGAACCATGGCTTATCTAAGTCCAGTTAATAATGCTGAGCCTGATTTATGGCCATCGAGATTAGCCTGGCCTTCTCAGTGGAAATCTGGGGAGGCTGAGGTGGACTTTCCAGTGGTCAAAGTGTGGTTGTGTCTTCCTGCCCAGCATCTATTTCCTGCCCTCTTTGCTCCCTGCACCCCCGCACCCTGCTTTGAAGCAAGCCACGGAGGAGGGAAGGAAGCGGAGCCATGGATCCTCTGCTCGCAACTGCAGCGGATTCCCTCCACTTTGAAGCAGGAAAGTGGGAGAGGAGCATACACGAGTGTAAGCTGCTCCCCTCCCACTTTGCTGCTTCAAAGGGAGCCCGGGAGGAGGGAATCCATTGCATGGATCCCCTTCCTTCCCTCCTCCATGGTTGCTTTAAGCAGGAAAGTGGGAGAGGAGCTGCTTACACGAGTGTAAGCTGCTCCCCTCCCACTTTGCTGCTTTCAAAGGGAGCCCAGGAGGAGGGAATCCGCTGCAGCCGCAAGTAGAGGATCCATGGCCCCCTTCCTTCCCTCCTTCGTAGTTGCTTTGAAGCAGGAAAGTGGGAGAGGAGCCGCTTACATGGGTGTAAGTGGCTCCGCTCCCACTTTGCTGCTTCAAAGCGAGCCACGGAGGAGGGACGGACGGACGGAATCCCCTTCCCTCCCTCCTCCCCGGCTCAGGTCAGCAGCAGCGGCTCTTGCTGGCTTTACAGTGAGCTGGAAGAGCTGTGCAGAGCGTTTCAGCAGCAGCGGTTCTTGCTGGCTTCGCTCCGTAGGACGCACAGACATTTCCCCTTACTTTTTAGGGGGGGGGGAGAGAAAGTGCGTCCTATGAAGCAAAAAATACGGCATATATAGTGGTACCTTGGTTTAAGAACAGTCTTGTTTAAGAACGATTCGTTTTACAAACTCCACAAAACCGGAAATAGTGATCCATTTTGCGAACTTTACCTTGGTCTAAGAACGGAATCCAAACAGTGAAAGGGCACTGGCGGGGGGGAGGCCTCATTAGGGAAAGCGACTAAGAACAGTTACAGTTTAAGAGCGGACTTCCAGAACGGATTAAGTTCATAAACCAAGGTACCACTATATAGTTCCCAGATCCAGTGAATTGGTGTTCAGCTGGTTCTGAATGAGTCTGTTTACAAACTGAATGTCAGCTCGGGCCAACAAGAGTTTGAAATGTAGTGTAACCAATTTCAGCTTACTAACAATTTATCCTTACTAATTTGCAGGAAAGCTTTGAGGATGCCTTTGAAAACATCCCCGTGTAAGTATGATTTTTTAAAAACCTCATTCTCCTAATAGAGATGCTGGGAAGAAAGGCGGAAGTGAGAAGTATACATTTAAATTAAATGTAGTGTTATCCTTTCTGCTCTTCTTACATCACCTACTTCCAACGCTGCTTCTCCTTAACTCCTCATGTCCCCGCTACTTGTTTCCTTCTGTATCTGCAGAACGTAGTTAACCTACTGCTTCTTCCCTATTTCGCCAGCTTATTATTGTTATGACTTTTAACTTAGGGCTTATCAGCACGGTCCCAGAGAACGGTCTTTTCATCTCGGCTTGTGATTCAGGGAAGAGAGAACAAAAGTCACTTTATAGTGTCCATAGGTCTGTTCACCCCCTTTTAGGGGTGTGGCGGCCTTGTGGGATGGCCAACACCTCCCTCCTGCTGATGATACAGGGCTGTGTGTTCGGGTCTGATCCTTGCTGGAGTGTGAGCTTTGGCTCACACACCCGGCTTGAAATCCTGCTCCACATCAGCCTGCCGAATTGGCCAATGGCAGGGTGGCACGGAGGCTGGGGCCCTCCGGGGCGGGCCTGAGGGAACAATCAGGCTTCCCTCAGGTCCGCTCCCAGGGGGTTTAAAACAGCCTACGCCAGCCCCCGACACCCACTCCTGTAATTTTGCATTTACTCATTGAATTGACTTTGCTATGGCTGCGGTGGCCACTGTATTTTGGGGGCTGAATAGGAATTTGCCTATCAGGTGAATTGGCTATGCCCTGGAGGTTTTGCTTACCTTGTAGCAATCATCACAACTTTGGCAGTTTAGGCACTGGGTAACCTTAGTGTTTTTGGGACGCGGGTGGTGCTGTGGGTTAAACCACAGAGCCTAGGACTTGCCAATCAGAAGGTCCGACCTAGCAGTTCGAAAGCACGTCAAAGTGCAAGTAGATAAAAGGTACCGCTCTGGCGGGAAGGTAAATGGCGTTTCTGTGTGCTGCTCTGGCGAACCAGAAGCAGCTTAGTCATGCTGGCCACATGACCCAGAAGCTGTACGCTGGCTCCCTCAGCCAATAAAGCGAGATGAGCCCCGCGACCCCAGAGTCGGCCACGACTGGACCTAATGGTCAGGGGTCCCTTTACCTTTTAACCTTAGTTTTGGTTGGAAGGGTTGTTGTACTCTCGCTTTCCCCTCCAGAAACAGGTTTCCCCCTTAAAGGGATTCATGATGGAGTTGCTTCTGTCCATTTGCCCTTGCGGGGGCTTGGGCCTCATCGCTCCTAGAGGCGGCGATCCCTGTGGGGATCCTCCTATTTGATCTAAGTCATAGGAATCCCCGCTGCTGGGTTGACCCTGATGTCATTTCTAGCAGACGGACCAGAAATAAATACTAACCCAGTGCCTATGCCAAACCACTTCATCTGTAGTCAATAAAGGTGTAGCCCGATTTGATCCCATTCAGCTGTGTGGTCTTGTTTATTTGGTAGTTCATCTAAAGGGCACATTTGTTACTGTTCACTTTTTTGAATTGCACATGGACTGTATGCTGCTCATGCTTGCTGAATGCTTATCCAATACAGCAAAATAACTGTGAGCGCAGTGCTGTCAGCTACAATATCAGATTTCCTTACGCATCACAGCCAATATGGCAATCAAATAAACACTGTGAAAATAATGTCATCATTGCTAGGATGTGTCTGTCTAATTAGTGCATAAAGGTCTTTTGGAACAATATGTTTGTTAAAGATCTCAAGCTTGATGAGTTGTTCTGCCGTACGTATACAACTATGCAAATTTACTCAAATTGCCCCATTGACCTTGGCGAGTCTTACCTACACCATCTGAACTGCATAAGGTAGTGTTTTCCAGCTGATCTGCAGATGTCCATGTGCATATAATTCCCACCTGCTTTTCGCAACTTGTAGTCAAAAATGAAATATTTTGACCCCACCTACTGCTAAGGTCCTGCATTAGTAAGGAAAGAGTAAGGAGAGCATAATGGCTGTAGATAAACTTCAAGTTGGTTGAGGGTAGGCTCAGGCTTTTTCCAGCACTGTGGCTGCCTGCATGGTAGGTTCTTCCATCATTACTATCAGGAACCCTTAAGGGAACACATTTATCAACTTCCATTTCTTGCCTGAAAGTCAGTTCCTGACTTCCTTCTTTTACACTGCAATTCTGTGCATATCCATTCAGAAGTAAGCCACATTGAATTCAAAAGGGTGTCCTCCCAGGTAAATGAGGAAAAGGCTGTGGCCTAAGTTGCAATTCTGTATGTATGATGGACACCTGCAGGCAAAGTCCCTGGATCCAGTCTCTTCTCAGGCATAAATGTAATAGGTGACCTTAAGCAAACCACTGTTCTTACAGCATGGGGATAATGCTGAGTTCAGCTGGGTGACTATTGCATGGGAAAGATTGGTGTGGCTGTGCCTATTTGCGTTGTCAACCACTATAGCAGTTCAATGGGATGAAACAACAGGAAAGCTGCAGAGTGTAATGCTGTTGTTGTAAGCAGGGCCGGATTTAGGTTTGATGAGGTCCTAAGCTAGTGAAGGTAATGGGGCCCTTTATATGTGATATTTCAGGGAGCAGGCTAGCAGGCGGGGCCCATTACTTCCTACACAGCACAAAACACCATTGCTGTATGTAGGTTTTATTTTATTTTATCTTATATTTTGGAAATGTACATCCAGGGTTTTTTTCTTTAATTTTTTGGGGGCCCCCCAAGAGAGTGGGGCCCTAAGCTATAGCTTGTTTAGCTTATACGTAAATCCGGCACTGGTTGTAAGCAGCGGCAGGGTGTTGTGGGTGGAGGGGCACCTCACTTCTCAACACCATGCTTTGATGCCACTTCACTGAGATTGTGGTGCAGGCACAGTGGCAGAATTGGCTATGTCAACACTACACTGAGCTCCTGGAGTCTTGTCCCTTCCCCTTTCAATAAACAGCAGGGACATGCAGTGTTAGTAAGTCAGGGTAGCAAACACAGCCCCAACTGCTCCACCCACTGCTACAGGTTGTAAGGATTATTGAGAGTGTATTTGAGGCACTTCATGCATGGAAAAAGTGCCATAAGATGCTAAATATTCAGCATTAAAAATTTCAATATCAGTGGCTTTAAATTGTTTTTTATTGCATCTATACATTAAGTAGAAATACAGATATATCATAATTTTTTTTAAAAAAAGTAGAATTTCTTGTAAAATCACAAAGTGCAGGTATGAAGAAACATTAGAAGTGCCTTTCTCTCTCCCTCTCCTTTCCTCATACTGAAGTTGGATATTCTTAATCCTTGATCCTACCCAAGCTGCTCTGTGTGGTATTATTGCAGAGATAGAAGCCAGAAGTGTTTAAGAAAGGTTAGCCTTTTAATCTCAAAACTGTGGTTAAAGTTTTCACTATTATCTCTTGATAAAGGAATCCATATTAAGGTGTACAAAATTAAAATACCATCAAGAATGTGGAGTACTGTTCCATTACTGGTTAAAGTATTTGATAAGCCAAGTTGTGTTTGCCTGGTACTCAGGTTCTATGAGTGCGTGTTTAGCTTTTCTGTGTCTGGATTTATATTAATAAATGTTTGTGCTTATGGGAGACCTGGATGTGTTGCAGTTTGTCTAACCACATGCATAAGCTGCAGACATCATACAGAAAAGTGAAAAGAACCCATGTATTTCTTAATACTGTAATTGCATTTATATAACTGCTTTGATTTTTATATTTATATTTTTATGTTGTGCGTACACATTTGACATTTGTGTTCCATGTTGTAAACCGCCCTGTGATTGGCATCAGAATCTGCCTATCCGGTGGATCCTGCTGCCTGAAGCGGTCTCCTCACCTTGCCTCATGGTTGGGCCAGCCCTGGCTAGAGAGTTCAAGAACAGGATCAGGAGTCTGAGATTAGGCAAAAGCTTTGAAGATGTCACCACAAAGGGCATGTTTTGTAATGCCACCCTTACTTGCTGCTTGCTTAGTTTTTATAGCAACCACTTAACCCTTAACACCTTAACACTTAACTCCAGCGGGTGCAGAATGCCGCGGCGAGACTCCTTATGGGGTCCTCGCTGCGAGATCACATTCACCGGGTGCTATACCAGCTGCACTGGCTCCCGGTGGAGTATAGGATCAGGTTTAAGGTGCTGGTTTCAACTTTCAAAGCCCTATACGGACTAGGACCCTTGTACCTATGGGACCGCCTCTCCTGGTATGTCCCACAGAGGAACTTACAGTCTTCAAACAAAAACATCTTGAAGGTCCCAGGCCACAGAGAGGTTAGGCTGGCCTCAACCAGAGCCAGGGCTTTTTCGGCTGTGGTCCCGATCTGGTGGAACGCTCTGTCACAAGAGACTAGGGCCATGCGGGATTTGACATCTTTCCGCAGGGCCTGCAAGACAGAGCTGTTCCACCAGGCCTTTGGCCAGGGCACAGCCTGGCTCCCTCCTTTGGCAATCCTCACAGAACTTCTAGCCCAATGGTTTCCATTAATTTGATTAGAATTAATTTTAGAATGAAATGATTTTAGAATGTTTTATCATTTTACTGTTGTTAGCCGCTCTGAGCCCAGCTTTGGATGGGGAGGGCGGGATATAAATAAAAATTTATTATTATTATTATTAGTAGTAGTAGTAGTAGTAGTAGCAATGGCCCCCTGGGGGGACAACTGGGCTCAGCCCTCCACCTTCGTGAAGTGTTTCAAGGCTGCCAAATTTGCTTTGGTGGAGGCCACTTTCAGTAAGTGCTCCAACAAATGCTGTTATTGGGATTTTCCTTCCACCCACGCTCAGTGATCCTGCTATTGGATATCCCTTTCTTGGTCACATCATTCCTCTGCCTACAAGACTTAACATAACATGTTATTCTGGTCAACAAGAGTGAAGCTCACACAGAGAGACTTTGGCTTCACTTCTTCTTAGCACATTCCTTTTCTGCCAGACTTTCCTTTCTTGCTGTAATCTCTCTTCCAGCCCCAACCAGCAAATCTAGAATCATAGAATTTTAGAGTTGGAAGGGTCATCTAGTCCAACCCCTTGCATTGCAGGGAAAATCTAGCTCCATCACAATTTCCCCCATTAATTACTTGCCACTCCTTTTTCCACCATGACTGCCAATGTGGTGCCACCACCATAACTTGCTATTGTTGTGGGATGCAAATGCAACATGGGTTTACAGATTTGGGGCAGTACCAAATAGTATGGAAAGAAAAACCAATATGCATCTGCCCATCTTTGAGGAGAGCACATTTTTGGACACAATCATGCGAGAACCTAAAATGCTTGTAATGCAGCAGAAGAATCTGGAGCTTGATAGCACTTGAATCAAATACTTAACACAGGGGTCAGCATACTTTTTTCAGCAGGGGGCTGGCCCACTGTCCCTCAGACTTTGTGGGGGGGCAGACTATGGGTTTTTTTGGAGGGGGGAAATGAACGGATTCCTATGTCCCACAAATAACCCATAGATGCATTTTAAATAAAAGGACACATTCTACTCATGTAAAAACACGCTGATTCCCAGACCGTCCGTGGGCCAGATTCAGAAGGCGATTGGGCTGGATCCAGCCCCTGGGCCTTAGTTTGCCTACCCATGACTTAACATGGCTTGTGAAGACTTCTAGAAAGCTCACTTGCTCTCTCTGTAGTTTCTTAGGAGAGCATGAAGCTCTTAATCCCAGGGCCAATGGTTTGAGCCCCATTCTGAGTGAGAGATTCCTGCATTTAAGGGGGTTGGGCTGGACTCTTGGGGTCCCTTCCAACTTTGCAATTCTATGATTCTATGATCAGTGGAAGAATATTTCATACTGTTGGCTTCTTCAAGTTTCCATGCCCTCTCTAACATTTCTCCTTAGATATTGGTTGTATTGCATGCTATATAGTTATCCAACTCACTATCATGGATCATACTTAACACCTACTTAAGAGAAATTCAAACATAAAGTATAACAGACTGAATTTCCAGTAAATACCATTCTATACTTCTTGCTATACTATTTTTAGAACAGGCAATGAATTATTAAATCGCTCTGTTGTTTCTAGCGCTCTGTTCTGTTTAAATGCGGTGTAAAATAGCCTGGTTCTCCTTTTCATCAGATTTAAAACATTAATGTTAACTGGAGCACAAAAATCTGGAGCACAAAAATCTTTTTCATCCTTCAAACACAAATCATTGAGTTGCATTTGGTCTTCATTTCCCCCTTTGTAGTTAGGCAGTGATGGATTAGAATTAGGCTGCAGCATAGATTGGGAAAATCTCCCAGCATCCTCTTCCTGCAGAGGCATCATCTAGCAGCATTGCTGTAGCTGCAGCTATTTCAACTGACATTTCTTTTTAAATTGCAATATGGAGGGCTCCTGAGATGACAGCTGCTTCTGTGTGAACTTTTATATCTTTTTCCTGCCTGATAACTAATTAATAAGAGCCTCGTGAGTATTGAGGAATAAAACAGAGGAAATGGGATATTATCTAGGTGTTTTTTGCTGCCTTGTCTGGCTCTTGACGGAAACAAAACGTGCCTGAGAGAGGCTTATCTTTCTGTAGCAATTGCAGTTATTCATCTAAAGTTATCTACTCATTTAATTCTGTGAGTATATCATGTCTTATCTATGCTAAGTGGTTACTACAATTGATGGCAAAAGCCAGGGTGTAATTACAATAATTTTATGGGGAAATTGCTTTATGAGGTTGTCTTAATAAAAATTTATTGCATTCTGTAAAAAAAAGCAAGTTCAGCATATCTGTGAACTCTTTTGTAGGAGAGATTAACATTCAGAATTATTTCAGAAGCGATTGGTTTTCCTTTCCATTCATAGCTTATTTCTAGCAGTTATCACTGTGTTTCTGCTGATGCCAATCTTATAGGTTGCAGAATACTGCAAGGTGTGTATAGCAGGATGCATGCCTGAAATTGTCACACCATTAAAAAAAAAAAATCGGAGCTATCTATGATGTATGAGATTCATTTTGATTCTCAGGGAACTAATAGCTTCCGTTATCTGGTGACTTTGGTGTTTAGTTTTAATATAGCTGTTTATTTGTAATGCATCGGGGGGAGGGGGGGGAGAATAAGCCTGAAATGACTTTGCAGCAAATTTAGAAGGTGATTCACTACAATAAGATTCGGTTATAGTAAACTTAATATGAATTACTGTGAACTTGCAGGAAGCCATAGAAAAAGGATCATTTGGCCTTAATAAGGTGTCTGGATCTGGGCCAGCATTTGAATGACGCAGTCTTGGTACCAAAAACATCAGGCCAGATTGTGTTGACTTCTATGTAGGGTAACAGGATTTCCCCACCCCCACTCTCAATTTTAAAATGAGCTCAGCTGTAGGTACTTTCTTCCCAGCCCCAGCTGTTCATCAGTATAAAGTTGCATTAGTGGTTGTTGTTGTTGTTTTACATCAATTACAATATTTACTTTTAAGACACAGGACTACTTGGTCTCAATGGCATGTGCAGGTCCCAACAGGATGGCTACAGTATTTTGAAAGAATAGTTTAAAAGGTTTGGTTTTTCTCCTCCTGGCAAAATAGAAAGGAGGCAATTTGGGAACAATCTCAAGCAAAAGTTTTGCAACAAAAAACAGAGCACAATTTATCATGGAGATACCTCCTGCTCAGTTCTCAGAGCATTTGTGTTGGCTGAAGCGCTACCCTATGAAATGCTTTTGTGCCACAAAAATTCTCTGCGGATGTGCTTATTTTAATTCTTTCCTTTTCCTTTTTGTATTTTTTATATATTTTATTGATTTGTTAACAAAAAAGTGCATTTTTTTCTTAATTGGTGTACTATATACATATGAAGATATATTGTTGTGATTGTATGATTCTCACTATCACCTACTGACTGCTTCAGGGTGATAAGGGCTAGGCAGGGTTTCCGCAAAGAACCAAATCATCACTAAAAGAAGTGCCAAAGTAGTACTACTTTTATGTAGGCATGCTTGAGAAATCCAGTCTTTGTGAATTTCAGTATGGACTGACCTCATTCATGCCACCCAGACTCATGTGCAGTTCCGAACTTACTTATCCACCCTGCTTTTTGCAGGGTTTCAGAAGGTTTCAACGCAGCTCTTGGATCAAAACAAAGTGCAGATACATCCTCTCAAGCAGTTATCATTAGTGTGGATGGGAAACAATGAGACAGAGTTCAGTTGAAAGCACTCCTGTGGATGAACATGCACAGAAATGCACCTGGAAAAAAATGGATCTATGCAATCCATATGCGTATTAACACTCTGCCTTGGGCATATAGAGCTTTGGGCATATATCAGGAGAAAAGCAGATTTTACAAACATACTCTGGGGTACCCTACTGCCAGGGCTTGAACTGGGAGCCTTGGGTTTTCTTGTTGCAATGTGCGGTAAGCCACTTAACTGTATTTTGCAATAACAGCCTAAACAGTTCAGTGTCCTTGGGCCATGGACCAACCAAACCATTGGGTTCCACTGCATCACCAGCCCTCTGGAATCAGTTAAACATCTGGTTAACCTGGCACCTAACGTATTGATGTGTAGGCAGCTACTTTTTGTTTAAGAAGGCTTTCCCTGGAGTGTGAACCAGTCATTTCAAAGAATACCAATTGTATAATTTTATTATTGTTTTTAGAATAGGCATCTTTTGTATTTTATCTTACTGCATTGATTGCTTTGGCTGTGAAACAGTTGATAAATCTGATAATTAAATACATTACAGAGTTGTCATTATTCCCTCTCAACTCCACCCCTTTCCAACGCTGCGGCAGTCTTTAGTGTAGCAAAGCTGGGGTACTTTGTAGGGATGAGGTAAACCATGCTTTCTCAACCACAGTACCCCCTCCCCTGCAATATAAATATACTAATGATTTACAAAGTAGCACTAGCAATACTATTGTTGTTGTTGTTGTTGTTTAGTCGTGTCCAACTCTTGGACCAGATCACACCAAGCACTTCTGTCTTCCACTGCCCCCCGCAGTTTGGTCAAACTCATGTTAGTAGCTTCGAGAACACTGTCCAACCATCTTATCCTCTGTTGTCCCCTTCTCCTTGTGCCCTCCATCTTTCTCAACATCAGGGTCTTTTCCAGGGAGTCTTCTCTTCTCTTCTCATGAGGTGGCCAAAGTCTTGGAGCCTCAGCTTCAGGATCTGTCCTTCCAGTGAGCACTCAGGGCTGATTTCCTTCAGAATGGATAGGTTTGATCTTCTTGCAGTCCATGGGACTCTCAAGAGTCTCCTCCAGCACCATAATTCAAAAGCATCAATTCTTCGGTGATCAGCCTTCTTTATGGTCCAGCTCTCACTTACATACATCACTACTGGGAAAACCATAGCTTTAACTATACGGACCTTTGTCGACAAGGTGATGTCTCTGCTTTTTAAGATGCTGTCTAGGTTTGTTATCACTTTCCCCCCAAGAAACAGGCGTCTTTTAATTTAGAAAGTAGATAATGAAGACTATCTTGTATGTTTTCTGTTGGTTTGAGTTTTCAGTTTGCCAAAAGAGGTTATGAACAAGTTTCAGCAGCAGTGTGGAAAGTCCATTTACTTTGGTATTTAAAAAACCTGAGTATATCCAGCAATTGAGCTGTACCATGGCCTCAACTAGAGCCAGGGCTTTCTCGGCTGCGGCTCCAATCTGGTGGAACGCTCTGTCACAAGAGACTAGGGCCCTGCGGGACCTGACATCTTTCCGCAAGGCCTGCAAGACAGAGTTGTTCCACCAGGCCTTTGGTCAGGGCCCAGCCTGACTCCATCCTCTGGCAACCTGCACAGAACTTTGCTTAACGGTTGCCATTAATTTGATTTTAATTAATTTTTATAATGAAATGTTTTAGAATGTTGAATTATTTGATTGTTTGATTATTTGTTTGTTGTTAGCCGCCCTGAGCCTGGCTTTGGCTGGGGAGGGCGGGATATAAATAAAATTTATTATTATTATTATTATTATTATTATTATTATTAGTCTGCTAGTTTGAATGCAATGTCTGTGGTCACTTAGGCATAGTGCAAAATTCTAACTATTCTCCCAATCCTTCCATTAGGGCCACCAAGATGGATCTGAAGTGTTCTCTGGAAGAGTGCACGATGGCACTGAACTTATTTCTGAACAACAAATTCTCGGAAGCTCTGGAATTGCTTCGTCCCTGGTGAGGTTATTTTGTTTGGTAGAAGCAGTACAGGGAGATGCTATAAGGCATGCCATCTGTTTGCTGGAGATTAAGGCCTCTGAACAGAGTAGCTTTCATTATTTCTAGCTCTGTTGCCCTCCCCAAAGCAAGTCTTCTGCAACTATTTCTTTAAACCCTCTAAAGTGACCTATTTTTGGTCAGTGGCTTTTAGTTCAAAATTTGAGGTGTAATAAGAGCCGTTGTGCATGTTAACTTGAAGAGGAAAAATGTGCAGACCCATTTGTAATTTTATCAGAACTAGGTTGCAGAATAAGCATAATTATAGAAGAGATTTGAGGGAAATCATTTTATGTGCAGAATACATTGAAAGATGTATAGCATTTAAAAGTTACTTTTATGAAACATGTAATTTTGTGTTTAAAAAATACTAATTTTTTTAGTGGAACTACCATTTTGATTGAAATGCCCATTTTATTTTATTTTTCAAAACAGGTCTAAAGGTAGCATGTACCATGCCCTAGGGTATAGTACTATTTTAGTTATGCAGGCTGCTATGACCTTTGAGCAACAGGATATCCAAATGGGAATTGCTACAATGAAAGAAGCTCTACAAACTTGCCAAAAGTAAGCATGAATAATTTTTTATTTGTTGAATGCTAGGTATCGGAGGGTTGTGCAAAATCACGTGTATGTTTTTTCTTAGCAAGTAACAGGGAAAAAACTAGTAATGAAAAGAGATGTAGAGAAAAGTTATTTTTTTGTAATTTTGATATGCACTTACTCAATAGAGAATATGATCCTGGTCCTTGTCGTTTAGGATTACTAGAGCAGTACTCAATCAGAAGATATCCAAAGTTAGTCCGGCTTGCAGTAAGCCCATTGAAATCCATGGGCGTGACTAAATTCAGTTCATTTTGGTGAATCTGGGAATAACTTAACTGGATAACTGTTGGGTACGCATTATATAGTTTGGAATTGTGGTAGTAGCCATAGTGTCAGCCTAACATTTAAAATGGGTGTGCAGTTAGTCTTGCAAAGAAGAGCTTAATCCTAACCATGCTTACTCAAATGTAAGTCCTGTTGAATTCAGTGGGGCTTACTCCCAGGTAAGTGGGGTTCGAATTGGAGCCTGAGTCATTTGTGATGTCAGAGGATGTTTGCAGTCTCACTGGCAGCCAGAGGGCACCATGTATGTATGTATGTATATTCACACAGCCTCTGATGACTTCCATTGCTTTGTACAAGTTACCATTTCACTCAAGTCTCTTTCAGAGCCTTGTACCAGTTTTCCACTTGAAGTAATGAGCAAATCGTTAAAATTCCAAAGTCCAGCACCTTTTGCTAAATTAAAAAACAGAAGTCATGTATTCACACTAAGAGGTTTGGTTTGGGGCTAGATTAATTGACTTATTTTGGAGCCTGTGCTGGAAATAGACAGACTTCCTGACTGCTTCTGCAGTGGTTGCCTACAGAATATTATTATTAATATTATTTATTAAATTTCTATACCACCCTTCATCCAAGGATCACAGGGTTGGTTTACAATATGAAAACACAACAATACATTGGTAATTAGCCAAAGGCTTGGGAGAAGACGAATGTTTTTGCCTGGTGCCTAAAGATATGCAGACACCAGGTGAGCCTCCCACAAATGGGGGGCCACCACAGAAAAGGCCCATTCTCGTGTTGCCACTCTCCAGATCTCTCATGGAGAAGGCACATGAAGAAGGGCCTCAAATGAGGATTGCAGGGTCCAGGTTGGTTCAGACGTTATATCTGCTGTAGGAAGTAAGTGGGGGGAATCACATAGATTTATTCAGTTTGGCTGGAAGAATAGGTTATTTAGGCATGACCAGAATGATATCTAGAGATGTGACATACTGTATTCTTTGTTAGATGGAATTGCTGATAAGAAACTGATAAATATAATCTTTTGGCTTTGTAGCAGAGACATAGGATAGAATCTGAATAAGGTCTGCAGTTAGGGTCACCTTCATGTACTCGCTCCCTGGAAATGGTGTGATTTGTGCTAGATACACAACCATGGTGTGTGTTTTTAATTGAAACTACTTTTTAAAAAAGTGACCCACGCCTTTAAAACAACTGTATTATATAAGAAAAATTAAGAGGCTTTTATACACATGCATATTAAATTACCATTTATCTTAGAAAAGTTCACATTAATCTGGGATGCGAGTATCATTTGGAATACCTTCTTTGTATAGAGGAGAGAGGCCAGTCTGCACTGATTTTTGGTAGTTATGTGATCAGATAAAACAGGGAGGTAGTTTTCAGATATTCTCCTTGATTCTCTGTATCTGTTTCCTTGAAGAACGACCTTGTAGGTATGGCTAGGTACAAAGATGACAAATAACATTTCACATTTGCATGGAAGCTACGTGAATGGCCCTTTGGTGTTTAATATTTGCTTTTCACTAGCCTCATGCACTTCTAGGGAATCAGCTACATTCCCAGGGCAAGAGCCAGGGGCAGGAGGTGCTCAGTTCTTCCCATGTTTACTATGACAGGTGGGCTGGATGACTGAGTGGTTAGAGCCCTGCTTTCTGGACACTAAATTATTGGACGTTGTTTGTGCAATACAGTGGTACCTCAGTTTAAAAACAGCCCTGTTTTCGAACGATTCAGTTTATGAACTCTGCAAAACCGGAAGTAGTGTCCCGGTTTGTGAACTTTACCTCGGTATAAGAACGGAATCCGAATGGTGGAAGGGCACCGGCGGCGGAAGGCCTCATTAGGGAAAGCGCGCCTCGGTTTAAGAACAGTTTCAGTTTAAGAGCGGACTTCCAACACGGATTAAGTTTGTAAACCGAGGTGCCACTGTAATATTGTGGCCTATGGTATTAAGGTTCTGTAGATTGCATTCCTTTTCTCTCCCAGCTATGGCACAAATGTCTGATGTATGATTCAGTTTCTTTAGCTAAAATTAAATGCTTGTCTCTTTCTCTTTCATGTAGATTCAGGAAAAGGAACACAGTAGTAGAATCATTGTCCAGTTTAGTTTCGAAGCAGTCCGTAGATCAGCTGAATGAAGGTAAGAAGAATATGGGGTGGGGGTGTTTTCTCTGTAAGCTTATATACTCAGTGCTCATTTTTGTGAATTTATAAGCAACCTATTTCACAGTATTAGGGACAAAGAATTGTAGAAAGACTGTACAGCTTAATACATTGGGACTCAAAGAAGCACAGTGTTTTGGTTTCTCTTTTTTTGTTGTCTTCTCTCGGTCTGGAAAAAACTTGATTTTTTTATTTCCTCCAAAAGTACAGCCTCTGGTAGCAGATCAAATCATGTCAATTATGGGAGATATCTATTATCTTGACCAAGAGTGACCAACCTGGTGCCCATGGGCACCATGGTACCCGTGAAGGCTTCTGGTGGAGCCCCTGGGCAGATGCCCCAGATGCTGAGCTTTAGTATTTTATTTTTTAAAAGACTCTAGTTATGGGGCAAAATTTGCAGGAAAGTATTTGATAACATTTGTTCTTCCCATTCCTTTAGTACTATTCATTGCTACTATTTTAGCTTTGTATTAATTTGTTTTATTTTATCTTTAATAGAGGAAATGCATGCAGAAATCTGCTATGCTGAATGTTTACTGCAGAAAGCAGCACTGACATTTGTACAGGTAACGTACAAACTACCCTCCCCTGGAATATTAGCCAGACACTGTCTTTGCTATCTTTTTGGCATCCACTGAAAAACTTCCTCTTTCAGCAAGCCTTATAAGCTGAGATATTTGCCAGTCTGCATCTGTATTATAATGTTTCTAATACGTTTAATTTTTTTTATTTGTGTTTATCTCTTGGTTGTTTACTGCCCTGTGCTCCTTTGGAAGAAGCAGCAGAACATAAATTAAATTGATAAATAATGAATAACATTAGAGTCCCACATCAGCAGACTATGGGAAAATGGGGTTTTCAGTAAAGCTATGGAACAAGTTCATTTCACAAAAATCATGATTATTGTGTCTTAAGAAAGAAAGATGCACTTCCTGCCCCTCTCTTTCAAGACATTCCACTGTGTGCATTTGATAAAAATCCAGAGCCTGAAATACTATATTAATGAAAACTGTTGAAACTTGTGCCCGTGGTATATTTTATCTCCGAAGCAAACAATGATGCTGAAATTTGGTGCTTTTACATGTGTTTTAATGATCACACAGGAAAACCTTTCCCCACATCAATCAAAGTACATTACAGTACCAGTGTTCACAAACTAAGCTTTTCCCACCTTAAATGCCACCTTGTCGCCTCCAGTTAGTTCAGAAGAAGAAACTCCTACAGTTTGCCATGCAACTCGACTCTGATGTATTGTCATGGATCTCCTTCTAGCAGGCAGCACTGACTTTTCCTTTACTGCCTCTCGGCCCTTCGGTGACCCTGGCAAGATTGAGGAAAAGCCTTGTCAGTTTTGCTGACAGATTGTCAGATTGTGTTTTGTTTTCAAATGAAAGTATTACTCTGAACGTAAGCACTTGAAGGAAAAGACTAAAGAACTCCCATCTTCCTTCCATAGAGCAGCCTGAGAAATGGTGTCGGGGAAAGGGATCGGAAGATTAAGTTTTCCCAGCAGCAGTGAAACTGATAAGGCTTCACACCCACGCACACATACACTTCCAAAAAGGAGAATTTAAAAAACCCACACACTTTTCCAATTCTGTGAAAAATGGAACACAGGGGACTAAAAATACATTTCAGATAGAGTACTTACAGGCAAAAAATAAAATAAAATTATTTGCAATTGCAAATCCATTTTCCTGGCTATCAGTCTGTGTTAAAAAAATTATACAAGTATATTTAAAATCGTGTTTCTGTTTCAGACACACACCACCAAGAGCAGGTCAAAACACTCTGGTTTAATGTTTAAAATGATACTGGTTTACCACATGCAACTTTTTAAACATTAAGATGATGCGGGTTTTCAGAAGCATAAGTGGCCTCTGCTTCTAACTGTCTACTAATGTTAATTAGTATCTGCTAATGCATCCATGAGGTTCTTCCATTGGTCAGTAAAGGAAGAGTCTCAGAAACAATGATGCTATGTGCAATAATGTTCAAGAAGATCTATTTCCAGGAATTTCATTTTGCAATTATTGGCACACTTTGCCTGTTCAGTCATTCTGTTAAAAAACGATTTAGCAGAGTACCGCAGGTCTTTGCTTTTCTCTTAGCTTTAATTCATATGCATTTGTGCAGTAAATGTTGCTGTCTCTTGTTCCAAACATTATTTAATAAACCTTAACAAAGTACCGTATTTTTCGCACCATAGGGCGCACCGGACCATAGGGCGCGCCTAGTTTTTAGACGGGGAAATCAATAAAACAAATCTCCCCCCCCCCAGTCCCAAAGAGCAGTGTACAGGCTGCGCACAACCTCTCCCTGCCGGAGGGGTTGCGCGCGGCTATGTCACAAGCCAAGGCAGCCAGCGGGATGGATCGCGCTGGCTGTTTTGGCTTCCTCTTTAGCCCCACGCGACCTCTCCCTGCCTAGAGAGGCTGCGTGGAGCTAAAGAAACTATAGCCCCGTGCAGCCTCTCCCTGCTGGAGGGGTTGCGCGCAGCTATGGTACAAGCCTGCATTCGCTCCATAGGATGCACACATATTTCCCCTCAATTTTTGGAGGGGGAAAACTGCGTCCAATGGAGCGAAAAATACGGTAGGTCTCTAAAAAATGTTTTAGAAGACTTAGCTGTTTACTGTTATCTTTGCAAAATAAGGATCACTTAACATTTTCATAGATCACAGCTCTTGGCATTCTGCTTCCTATTGATAATGATGCATGCAAAGGCTGTTACAGTGGTGCCTCGCAAGACGAAATTAATCCGTTCCGTGGTTTTTTCGTCTTGTGAAGCACGGCTATTAGCGGCTTAACAGCTATTAGCGGCTTAGCGGCTATTAATGGCTTAGCGGTTTTAAGAAAAAGGAAACAAACTCGCAAGATGTTTCGTCTTGCGAAGCAAGCCCATAGGGAAATTCGTCTTGCGGAACGACTCAAAAAACGCAAAACCCTTTCGTCTAGCGAGTTTTTCGTCTTGCGAGGCATTCGTCTTGCGGGGCACCACTGTACATACCCCAGAGCCTTTGGTTTTAGACCTTCAATAAAACTTTTTTTTTTTTTGTCAAATCCCTGCCATATTCTTCCACATGATCTTGTACACAAGTACACTACTGCATGAAAAAGACTAGCATAGACTGGGCTGTATGTGTGGGGAACTGGCAGCCAAGTTCACAATTGTTGTTGAGAAAACTGCCACTGCTGTTGTGGAAATGGCTCTCATCTTCCTCTATACAGCTTCATTAATGCTAGCTCCGCCCCTCCCATATGCAGCAGTGCAGAAATTTTTAATAATGAGAATCAGCGCTACAGCTTCAAAAATCAGCTTGCAGGTGGAACTCTTGAGGAGGCTAGCTGTGGCATAGATAGCGAGTTCAGACCCATGTCAACACTAAAAGAGGTCAGCATAGCTATATGGCAAGGTCATTTGTTGCCTTTTTATGCACTCAGACGCACAGTCTGGCTAAAAAAGGCTGCTCAGCTGGGAACTAGTGTTTCACTGTATGTTACAACCTGGCAACAACTGAAATTTCAGGCAAACAATAGTATTGATTTAACAGAACTTGGGAACTTGTCCAGAGTATTAAAGGATTTTGCTCCTTTGAAGTGGCTGTTTAGACCTTATATTGCAAGGGAAACTTATTTAATGCACATTAACCACTAAATAAATAGTCCATTGCTATTTATGAATCATTATGCTGCGGTTTCCAGTCTCCAAATCATGATACAATACCTGTTGGAGATGTAGTAGGTTCCAGTATTCACACTGGAAGGATGCAGAAGAGTGCAGAACAAGGATGATGCATGCACTTGGTGGAAGCACTCAATATTTATTACGGTGGATGATGAAGTCTTCAGAGTGGGCTATTCCTCATTCAATTTTTGTGTACTGCAAATGTACCACTGTATGATTCCATTATTATCCCAGTAACGCATCAAATTATTGTTGGATACTTGTAGCACCATCTAGTGGTGTTTCTTCAGTTTTGCTTGATACATATAAATGCTTCTTTCCCGTGAAGTTTTGTTTTGGAAATGTTTGTATAAAGCATTTATATACAAATAGTGTTCCGTTGATTAAGAGTTGCATGCACAGCCTAATAAATACATTCAGCTTCATGTATACACATTTTGCATGTTTCCAGTGTTTACATTACACAGGTAAAAGTGTTCAAGTGATAGATGTATGATATACGCAATGGGTTGCATTAAATGTAACGCTAAGTAGTATTTTGCATCCCCTCATGTGCTCCCTGAATCTCTTATGGGGGCTTCTTCAACCCTCCACAGCAGATCTGGGGACAGCATTGAGGGAGGGAGGAGAAGGGGCAAAGTCCTGTTGTGGCAGCATTAATCCTTGCACTAACACAAAAACCTAGTTGAATATCACCTAATGATTTGTTTAATTTCATCCCCCCCCCCAGGATGAAAATATGATCAACTTCATCAAGGGTGGCCTCAAAATCAGGACAAGTTACCAAATATACAAGTCAGTTTCTGTAACATTTTTTAACTTGTGCTTTTCTGTTTATATATTTCAGCAATTTAATTCCCTGCTAACTGTTTAGACACAGGTGGCGCTGGGGTCTAAACCACAGAGCCTAGGGCTTGCCGATCAGAAGGTCAAAGTGCAAGTAGATAAATAGGTACCGCACCGGCAGGAAGGTAAACGGCTGCTCTGGTTCGCCAAAAGTGGCTTAGTCATACTGGCTACATGACCCAGAAGTTGTCTGCGGACAAACGCCAGCTCCCTCGGCCCGTAAAGCGAGATGAGCGCCACAACCCCAGAGTCACCCGTGACTGGACTTAATGGTCAGGGGTCCCTTTACCTTTTTAACTGTTAAGATATTAGAAAATTTGACACCAGGTTTTTAAAATCATTTGGCAATGAACTTCAGTCTTGCCTCACCCCGCCCCCAAAGAGACATGCTTCCCAGCAGGGGCATTAGCAAGATGGCAGAGGAAGCATGTGAAACAGCAATGGGAGAAATAAAAGTGGGAAAGACAGCATATTTACCTGCACTTATAATTCTTAGTCTGTAATCTTATACATGCTTACTTAGGAGTAAGTCCCACGGCTTTCTGTGATGTTAGAGACAGTATACAAAAACTTAATATATATATTTTTTAAAAAAATAATTTTTATTAACCGACCAATCAAATCAAATCAAATCACATCACATAAATTCCAAATTACAAAGCCGAATTTTAAATTTTGTTGAGGGGACCCATATTTCAAGATCCGAAGGGGGATTCTGATCATCTTCTTGCTATTGCGTTAATGTCCAAATAAGTCCAAACAAAGTTCATAATTCTATCCAATCTTATCTTGCTGTTTCCACATCTCATCTTAAAAACTTAATATAGAAGGTGGGGATTTGTTAACAGTGAGACACTGTTACAGATACTATATCTGTAAAATATCCCTGATATTGTGGAAGTAGAGGAGCAGGCAGATTGCTCTTAAATCCCTGCCCTTTGTTGTTAGTCTGTAAAGCACCATGCACTCTGACGCTGCTTTTAAAATAATATTAGGCATGCGAGGAGAAATACTTTTGGAGAGCCTTGTTTTAGGCAATATTGAATAATAAGCTAAGCCTCAAAATAATTGCAGTCAGTTGGAGACAGGTGCAATTCTGTTAATTTCCAGTTACATGTCATAGTAATTGCAGTACCTTTCATTCCATTTAACATGAAAACTATCCTTCTTTTTTTACTCAAAAAGAGAATGTCATCAGGTTCTTCAGATGACCCAGGGCAGCAAAAACAAGAATGAAACCTACTACCAGTTTGAAGGGGGCGTGCAGCTAGGAATAGGAGCATTCAATTTGGTATGTGTTTTTATAGTTTTTGGTGTAAAAATTGTGACGTGAAACATGGCCTGTAATGCTGTAATTTTAAAGAATAAAAAAAACTAAAAGCTGATTGTAATTTTGCAGACTTCCATCATAGCAATAGAAAATTTTTGTGGTTTTTATATACACATCTGCTGCAATTTATAATATTATTCTATCAAAGTTAACTTGAACACAGAAATATTAGACTGTTTTGTTATTATTTTATGCTGTTTAGGTTTTTAAGATATTGCAGTTTCTTTTAAATATTTTAGTGATTTTGTGTTGCTGATTTGTTGCAGATGCTGTCCCTTTTACCAGGAAGAATCCTCCGACTTCTAGAGTTTATTGGGTTTTCAGGCAACAGGGTATTAAAAGTTCTTTTCACCATTGATGTTAAAATGTACCTATAGCGTATATCATGGATTGGGGAAATATAGGAGCAGGCTGCTGAACGTGGAAGGCATTTTTGTAAACTTTTAAGTAATTGATTTCATAACTATTCAAGTGCCATGATTAATTACAGGCATAAGCAGGGGCAGCTGCCCCCCATCAAGTAAATAAAAAAAAATTAACTAAAAGAAATTGTAGAAAGATTTTGACACATTATTCTGAGCACTTGGGGTTGAAAGAAAGTAATCTAAAACAAATGTCATTGAGATCTTTCATTCTGAATCTGCTAGAGGGAGCCAGACAGAGGATGATGGCAGGTGGCCTCACCCTAACATAAACCCTGGCTACGCCCATGGTAGAGGGCATTATTCTGTAGCAGCCCCTACATTATGAAATTGCTTCCCTACAGTGGTGCACCAGGCACCTTCATTGCGCAGCTTTTATTGTATGCTGAAGGTGCATCTCTTCACCCTGGCCTTTGAATTTTGAGGTGTGTATTCCAGGACCTGGGATGCAGGTGGCACTGTGGGTTAAACCACAGAGCCTAGGACTTGCCGATCAGAAGGTCGGCGGTTCGAACCCGGCAATGGGGTAAGCTCCCGTTGCTCGGTCCCAGCTCCTGCCAACCTAGCAGTTTGAAAGCATGTCAAAGTGCAAGTAGATAAATAGGTACCACTCTGGCGGGAAGGTGAATGGCATTTCCGTGTGCTGCTCTGGTTTGCCAGAAGGGGCTTAGTCATGCTGGCCACATGACCTGGAAGCTGTACGCCGGCTCCCTCGGCCAATAAAGCGAGATGAGTGCCGCAACCCCAGAGTCAGCCACGACTGGACCTAATGGTCAGGGGTCCCTTTACCTTTTTATTCCAGGACCCACTCGGGTTGTGACTGAATTTCGTTTAAAACTGCTTTTAGTGCTGCATTTTATATTTCTATAACTGCCCTGGGACCTACCATATTGGCCCGAAAATAAGCCACCCCCCCCCCCGCAAATTATGACTGTGAAAAGTTCAAGTGCTGCTTAAAAACGCGACCTTACAAAAATTGGCTTTTACGATATCGCTGCTGAAACAGACATACGGTAAAACGGAACAAAAAAAATGTTTTGTTGCCGATTTGTGAGCTTGAGACTGTTGTGCAATTAATTCTAATGTTATTCATCGCTTTCCCTGTATTTTACAGTGCATTATTGATTCTTTATTTGCATTTACGGTTCTACGAACAGGTGTTTAAACCACTTGCGGGTCCTCTCTAGTCCCCGTAGGATTTTCTTCTACATTTGCCATTTATGGGTGTGAATGCCTGCAGAGTTTTAAGGGAGCGGCTTATATTCGGGTATTGTCTTTTTCTCCCCCGTCCCCCCCACCACTGCATTTTAAAGATGCAGCTTATTTGCAAGTGTGGCTTATATTCGGTTTAGGTACTGTTGAAGGGTGGTTAAAAAAAACCCCAATATCTTCCTCTTGCAACCCTTCCTTTTTTCTACATCTTGAAATAATTAGTACTAGTGCTGCATCTTATCTTGTGCAATCTTTGGTTGCTTTTAGGAGGTGGGTCTCCAGCAGTTACGGGAAGGAGCTTCTGGTGCCAGTCTGAGAGCCATACTGTGTACTTTCACCTTGCTGCTATATCACACTTACGTTTCATTAATCCTAGGTAAGAACTGAAAAATAAATTCCTGGGTGAGATACATGGGAAAACTACAGCTTTTAATCCAACCCCTAATATATTTTAATGGGGCATTTACATGTTTTCTTGCACTGTATTTTCATCATTGCAACCCAGGGGTTGGGGTCACCAAACTTGGGCTGCCCACTTGGCCATTTTGGGCAAGCCATGACCACCTGCCCTATACCTGGAGTCATGAATGACTTCAGGTGTTGAGTAGGTAAGAGCAGGGGATGAAAGGGGCTTTGCAGGCGCTGCTGACTGGGCTGCCAGAAGAGGTTTGCACGGAAGCAGAGGGGGAAGCCCTTCTCCTGTGCCTTGCTGAGAGTCAGGGCTTCAGAGCAGCAGAGCAGCTGATGTCATTTGTGATATTGGGTGATTGACAGGTGAGCAGCGCCATGAAGCAAATCCTGATAAGGATCTGGCCTGCAGAGCAAACGCGATTCTCTACCTCTGTTGTAGCCCAACAAGTTCACCGTTTGAAGTGGGTTTGAGATCTTGGATTAGTTAGCCTTAACAACAACAACAACAACAAATTACTTATTAATTTATATGCCACCCATCTGACTGGGTTGCCCCAGCCACTCTGAGCAGTTCCCCCCCCTCCCAAATAGAAAAAATACAACACAACATCACACTGAAAGCTTCCCTGATCAGGGCTGCCTTCAGATGTCGTTTGCGAATCACATAGCTGTTTATCTGTTTGACATCTGCTGGGAGGGCGTTCCACAGGGCAGGTGCCACTACTGAAAAGGCCCTCTGCCTGGTTCCCTGTAACCTCACCTCTTGCAATGACGGAACCACCAGAAGCGCTAGTGAACTGCTTTGCAGTATTTTCTCCTTTATTTAAAGCTTTTAAAAATAAATAAATCCTGCTCTTTGGAGAACCTTACAAATGCCAGTGAAAGGACGATCCATATCTTCAGGTTGGTAATTTAAAATATATACAGTGGTACCTCGGGTTACAGACGCTTCAGGTTACAGACTCCACTAACCCAGAAATAGTGCTTCAGGTTAAGAACTTTGCTTCAGGGTAAGAACAGAAATCGTTCTCCGGTGGTGCAGCGGCAGCAGGAGGCCCCATTAGCTAAAGTGGTGCTTCAGGTTAAGAACAGTTTCAGGTTAAGAACGGACCTCCAGAACGAATTAAGTACTTAACCTGAGGTACCACTGTAACAGAAAAGGAAAAGAGATTGGTAGAGAGGATGAAAAAAGCAAACTCAGAACACTTTATAATGACCAGGAGAGTGATAGGATTTCTAGAAGGGAATAGTAGTAGTAGTAGTAGTAGTAATCATCATCATAATAATTATTTTATATGCTGCCCTCCCCAGCCAAGACCGGGCTCAGGGCAGCTAACATCAAATATATAATATAAGAGGAGCTGGTTTTTCAGCCCACAGCCCCATCATTTCTATAAGCCTGATAGAATAGCTGCTCCAGGTGAAAGCTGAGAGAGGAGCCTGATGGAACTGCTCCACATTGCTCCAGGGAGGACTGAGAGTACACATTCCCAGGGCTTCTAATTATTTAACTGCATTTTGGTCAGAACCTGGTTGCACCAGCCCCTCGAGGATAAATAAGATAAGCATGGTAAAGAATGCAGAATTTCAGTGCAGAAATAATTGTATGTATTCTGCTCCATTTCTGTCCTCTTCATTTACTGTACAACTTATTGATAGCAGTTTAATATTTTTATTGTTTTGTTTGTTTATTCATTCATTCATTTCATTTCTATACCATTTTATATTTTTAAGAAAAATCTCAGAGCGGTTTACAGAATTTTAAAACATCAATAAAACATCAATAAACCAATAATATAGGTTTTCATGTCTTTGGGTATGCAGATTAACCCGCAACTTTGGGCTCTGATAGAGACTTTTGTTATTTTCACAGGAACAGGGGAAGCCAACCTTTTAGAAGCAGAGGCCCTCCTTCAGCCTTACCTTCAGAAATTTCCAAAGGTTGGTTTCTTTTATTTTTTTCTTTTACCTTATAACATGATATTTTTGTTGCAATTAAAAACATTCTAATGTGTTGCTTTTCTTTCTCTCAAGGGTGCCATCATTCTGTTTTATGATGCCAGAATAGACATATTGAAAGGAAATTTTGAAAAGGTAATAAATCCCCACTCTTTTTTAGCAGTAAAATTTGAGGTGCTGCTTTTAGCTTTTTGAGCTCGTTATATAATTCTGTTGTCTTGTATTCTAGCTTAACTGAAGCTTAACTGAAGCCAGGGGAAGCCTGTTGCCTCTAACGTGACTGTTAATTCATTTTTTAAAAAAACAAGTGTATGGGAAATTATTCCCTGCCAACCAGTGGGCTCAAGTCTGGTTACGAAACATGATGTAGACGTATTGGGCAAAAAGTAATCCTATTCTACAACACATTCACAATTCTGCATTTCTAGGGGTATTCAAGGATGCTAATAGCTTGCAAGAGCAATTCACAATGTACATGTTGAATTTAATAACCTGTTCTCTGTTTATTCCACACCTGGAATATTTTTCAAGTAAAGACAGCATAGTCCCCACTATGGCTATTAGTTCAATTAATATAAATTGGGGCAAGGGCTCCAAAGTTCATCATCTGTACAGAACTGCCTGTGCTATGAACATCTTGCTTATACTTTGAACCCGATCAATTTAAATAAACTTATGTATCAAACATGTAAGATCCTTGCTTAGGTTTTGCCAAGTGAATCAGAGTCTTTCATGTTGCTCTTCAAAACTCTTTGTTCAAGACCCTGTTGGATCATCAAATGGCCCTGTACTCTTCCTGCCTAATGTGCCCCCCTCCCCACTTCCCATTCACTCCAGTTTTATGAAGGCATGGGCTATTGCAGGTGTGGTGAACCTTTGGCAACGGACTGTGCTGGCTGCAGCGGATGGGTGTTGTAGCTCACCAACCCCTGGAAGGCCAAAGGTTCTCCACACCTGGGCTATTAAATAGTTATCCATTATTAGGCATAGCAAACCACACATTATCAAACAGACACCATATACAAATCGTGCAAAATACGAGCTCAGCATAACAAGGTTTGTCCTGGTCAGATCTTTAATTCCAGAGAAAATCAATTTGCACAAATAATACAATACAGCACTACCGAATCCCTGATCAATTAAGAATCACTAATTCTCTTTATAATGGCCCAGTCTTTCTACATGGACAGCACTCAAAAATTCAGCCACTATTAAAGTAATTTGATCATTCCTGTCCGAAAGCAGGTCCTGAACCGTTGGTGGCAAAGAAATGAGCCTATTGAGTTGTAAGGCCTCTAATAATTGTCTTCTGGCATAAATGCCAAAATCACAATAAAAGAAAATATGCTCCAAATCATCAGCTTCCTGTTTACTACATTTACAGAGACGCTCTAATTCTGGGAGAGCTAAATATCTTCCTCTCACTGTCATCAAGGGAAGCATATTAAATCTGGCTAACATAAACAGCCTGCACAATTCATGATTCTTCAGATTTGTCATGTATCCCTTTTGAAAATCTCTGCACAAAGGGAGATTTAAATAGAGAGGAGAGCAAGTGCTGTGGAGTGGAGACAACACTTTTTTCTGTAAGATTCTTCCTGATAATTTCCCAAGTTTCTTTGGGGTCAGAACACCTGGGCTATTGTCTTGCTGTTCAAAAACAAGTAGCTTGACAACTTCTGTAACCTTCTATTATCAAATAAAAACCAGAATAGGAGCAAAAGGCTTTGTGTCGAGCAGAAAGGCAGCCCTGTTTAGGGAAGCTTTTAATGTTTGATGTATTACGGTATTTTAGTATTTTTTTGGAAGCCGCCCAGAGTGGCTGGGGAAGCCCAGCCAGATGGGTGGGGTATAAATAATAAATTATTATTATTATACAGCTGCAACTTCTGTAACATATTTTTGAATTCTAGGCTCAGGTCACATTCCAGGAATGCATTGCAGCCCAGCAAGAGTGGAAGCAGATCCATCACCTTTGCTACTGGGAGCTGATGTGGTGCTATTCCTTCCAGCAGAACTGGCTTCAGGCATATCGGTATGCAGATCTGCTTTGCAAAGAAAGCAGGTGGTCAAAGGTAAATGGGTGATCAGATATCGTTATGAAGAGGCGAGAGCCCCTTCATAGTTACAGCTGATGCTTGCTTTCCCAGCATATGCCTTCTCTGCGAGTTCCACCTATTCAAATTGGGTGTTGAAATTCAGATATAGTGGTACCTCAGTTTAAGAACAGCCCTGTTTATGAACTATTCGGTTTAATAACACCGCAAAACTGGAAGTAGTGTCCCGGTTTGCGAATTTTACCTTGGTCTAAGAAAGGAAGTCAGCCCTGAGTGCTCACTGGAAGGACAGATCCTGATGCTGAGGCTCCAAAACTTTGGCCACCTCATGAGAAGAGAAGACTCCCTGGAAAAGACCCTGATGTTGGGAAAGATAGAGGGCACAAGGAGAAGGGGACGACAGAGGACGAGATGGTTGGATAGTGTTCTGGAAGCTACCAGCATGAGTTTGACCAAACTGCGGGAGGCAGTGGAAGACAGGAGTGCCTGGCGTGCTCTGGTCCATGGGGTCACGAAGAGTTGGACACGACTAAACAACAACAAGAAGAACAGAAGCCGAACCATAGAAGGGCACCGGCGGCGGGAGGCCTCATTAGGGAAAGCATGCCTTGGTTTAAGAACGGTTTCAGTTTAAGAATGGACTTCCGGAACAGATTAAGTTCATAAACTGAGGTACCACTGTACTCAGATGCTCCAGCCAGCAACTCTTAAACTTAATCTCAGCTACATATTTAACTCAGTACTGACCTGTGCTGAAGTTGGTTGAACTACCAACTGAGTTGCAACAACTGTCTGCTGAAAACAGTGGGAACAGACTGGAAATTGGCGTTGGGGCAATTGGAGGTTGTGTCTGCATGGTTCAGTGCACTGCTAGAAAGAGGGGGCCATTCTACCAAAATATCCCCTGTTAAATATTCCAGATCAACCCCTTACTCAACGAGCTGGCCTATTTTTGTAACCTCTTGTCCCACTATTTCCATTCTTTCTTGGAAAAACAGTTATTTTTTTTGCTGGGTGGGGGGGTGCAAAGGAGATGCTTTGCCTGTATTACAACCCTGTTATAACAAGTTCTAGAAATATAATTTTGTTTTATATCAATATAGCCAATTCCATTTACTTTACACTTAATAAATAACTTTTATTTTATTTTATTTTCTAAATACCTCTCAGAGTGAAGTGCTTTCACTAGTAGAAATCCAAGGCAAAACACAGAATATCAATATCTAATTTCTTAGCCGTAACAGTTTGTCAAGAAACAGATCCACTCTTAACAAGATGTCTGTTAAAGACTACTTTTAAGAAATGTCTTCAGCCCTGAAAGTAACGCAGTGGCAAGACATTTTAGCGTCCTTAGCTCTACTTGAACATACTTCTCTCGATGAAAGCTAAGGGCAGCTTTTAAATAAACTTCTTTTTTATGGCCACCAGCATGCCTATCCCCATAGCGGCATTTTAGGATTCATGACCTCCCCACAACACCCTTCTGCTGCAGACTTCCTGTCACCACACTGGAGAGGCCTTTGGGGGTAGACTAGGTGTGCACTTTTGTAAGGCTCCTCAGCTATCCTTCTGGAAGTGATATGAATTGGAATTGTATGGGAAGAAAATGTATAAAATAAATTCAAATCGTTTGTAAACCTTGCAGTATTTAAGGTATTAGGTTGTTTCATTTAAATATTGATTGGTGTACAAATGATATGAATAGGGTAGACACATCGACAAAATGTATAACAATAAATGATAAGTATTTTGATTGGTTTTTTGTTTGTTTGTTTGTTTTTTATAGGCAATATATGTGTTCCAGAAAGCTGCCATTTTGTGTATGCTTTCAGATGCTGAAGTGAGAACAACAGGAGAAGACATTGTAGCTTTGTTTAGGTATTTAAAAAAATAAAAATTCTACCTTTTTGTTATGTCATTCTCACAAACTATTCTCACAACGCGGGTGGCGCTGTGGTCTAAACCACTGAGCCTCTTGGGCTTGCCAATCAGAATGTTGGCAGTTCGAATCCCTGCGACTGGGTGAGCTCCCGTTGCTCTGTCCCAGCAATTTGAAAGCACACCAGTGCAAGTAGATAAATAGGTACCGCTGTGGCGGGCAGGTAAATGGCATTTCTCTGTGCTCTGGCACTCATCAGAGTGTCCCATTGCACCAGGAGCGGTTTAATCCTGCTGGCCACATGACCCGGAAAGCTGTCTGTGGACAAACGCTGGCTCCCTTGGACTCAAAAGTGAGATGAGCACTGCACCCCATAGTCAAGTTTGACTGGACTTAAATGTCCAGGGGTCCTTTACCTTTACCCAGTGCTTTTTTCTAAAAAAAAATAAATGTTTAGGGGCACTCTTCTTTTGACTCAAGAAAATCACCATTTTATAGTTCAAATTTGGAAAAACAAATACAAAAGGACAATGAACAAAAGTGCAAAGATTCACAAAATGCGTACCCCCAGAAGAAAGCACTGCCTTTACTTAATATTTGTGTCTCTTTTAAAAAATAAGGGGGAGAAGACACGCTATGTTCACCATCTTGTAGTCCTTAAAAATGAGATTAATTCATAAGCCTTAAAACGCCTTTCTCACCTCACCTGAAATTCCACATGCGTATTTATTGCTACGAAATCTACTAGTATATAGAGTTCAATTTTTAAGAAATAGTTACAGGTTTGGAACTTGCTGGTTTCATCAAAATATCTCAACAGTGGACCATTGAACTTCTGCTGTCAAAGGTTTGGTTTTCGTAATGAGAATTCCACGGTTCCGTCTCTTTCAGGCAAGTAGAAGGCCTGAAGCAAAGAATTGCAGGAAAATCCATCCCAACGGAGAAGTTTGCTGTGAGAAAGGCTCGGCGCTACGGAGGCTCTCAGCCCGTGAAGCTCATAGTGCCTGCTCTGGTATTTACAGCCAACTTACTTCAATCATCTGTTGCGTGGCAGAGTAAATATGTGTTTGTGTGTATGTGTTTCTGTGAATAATGTAGGCTGAGTACATTTCCACTTGACTTTTTCAAAAAAGCATCAGCTGTTTACGTTTTTACCTTTTCACCTCTTATTAAATGAAAGGCAGCTATAGACACCTTTGTCTATAGATACAGGCAGCCCTACCGAATCACGTACAGCATGAATGTGCCTTTGCTGGGGGGATTATGAGCACTTCGCAACAGCTCTGTTCTGGATATAAACTGCACATCAGTCATGGGCAGGCTTTTGGAATCTAGAACCCTGAGATCCACTAGCCAGAGCCATAATGGTGGTACCAGATCAGGGGCAAGATTAGCAAAATATGCTAACCACATTTTGAGTCCCCTGAGCTGGGATGAGCTGCAAACATTAAGCCCACATCAACATTTGAGATACTACAGCTCATAAAGGATTCTAGCAGAGGAAAGAAACATCCTTTTGTCGTTGCCCTTGTTAATTAGGAGTCGGAAGCACTGCCTGATCTCCTGCAGATCATCCAGGGATTGTTCAGACACTCAAGTCAATTGATAGCATACTATAGATATTTATTACTATATTTGTTTCTTATTCTTCTCAGGAAATGATGTACGTCTGGAATGGCTTTTCAATTGTTGGCATGAGAGCTGACCTCACCGAGAATTTACTAGTAACAATTGAAAAAGAAGAAACGGCTTTAAAAAATGAAACCAGTGAGTAATGTTTTAAATGAGTGATTTGAAAACTACAAAGAGGTGTTTGTAATGAATCCTACTGGGGCCTCGTAACTATATCCTGTAAAGGAAGAAGTGACTAATCTCGATGGATGTCTGTTCTGTGCAGCATAGTTTCATCAAAACTGCATTGGTTGCCATGATAAATAGAAAACTGTCCTTTCCGTATAATCCCAGTCCTCATATAACCCACAGAAATTCACACTCACAAATCCCCATGATACCATACATCCTTTGTTTGACAATATGCAATACTTGTGTGAAGTGAAGCTGAGTTCAGAACTTGAAGAACACCAGTCTTCCAGAAGAAGTTTTGTTGATAAATTCTCTTCATTCCTGCAAAGGATGTAAAATTTCAGTTCTGCTTTGCTGTCACTGTGAAACAGAATTCTGTTTATCCAGGGTAAAACAAGTGCTGGGGTGGAGGGGAGAGAGAGAAATTCTTAACAGTCTGTTAAGTTTCAAGATGTAAAGTACTGTAGTCTTATATGATAGACAGCCTCTATGTACAACAGGTGATTGGTCTCCTGAATTGTTGGTGCGTGTTCAGCCTCTTTTTCAGCTTCTTTTACTGTCCTTTGTAGCTGACAAAATTCAGTTGCCGGAAAATTCTCAATAATAATAATATTATAATAATAATTTATTATTTATACCCCGCCCATCTGGCTGGGTTTCCCCACCCACTCTGGGCTGCTCCCAACAGGTATTAAAAATACAATAAAACATCAAACATTAAAAACTTCCCTAAACAGGGCTGCCTTCAGATGTCTTCTAAAAGTCGGATAATTTGTTCCCTTGACATCTGATGGGAGGGTATTCCACAGGGTGGGCACCATTACTGAGAAGGCTCTCTGCCTGGTTCCCTGTAACCTCACTTCTCACAGGGAGGGAACTGCCAGAAGGCCCTCGGAAGTGGACCTCAGTGTCCAGGCTGAACGATGGGGGTGGAGACGCTCCTTCAAGGAGCTAGGTTTTGACTAAGTTTTTAACAGTTGCATAGATCCCTGTGAGGCAGTGCTATGAATATTGCATAGATAACTTTGGCATACTCATCAACATATCTATTTTCATTCCAGATCTGACATAATAATGAGTTATGTATATCTGCAGCTACTGTTCTATCATATTAGCAATTTTTACCAATACTGCCCAGGTTTCAATCAGTTAAAAGGCTAGAGTACAGGTTCCCAGGTTTCAATGAGTTAAAAGGCAGGTGGGAAATGTGGAACGATATATTTTACATTGCTATGTCAGAATATTGCTAAACAAGCAGTTTATTCATTTAATTGCTTTTGATAAGAAAAATAGATAGTTAAATATATTACACATTTCTGTTAGGTCCACTGTTGCCATTTGACATCTTTTACAGATGAGTCAGTAATTCCCACCCATCCCACATACACATCCATTATTGTTAAGTTTGCAATTTTAAATGTTGTGCTCCTTTATTTTCAGATCACAATGAATACTACATGGATGACATCTGTCTGCTACAACTGCTAAAAGGTCTCTGTTTGAAACATTTAGGAAGACGCTTACAAGCAGAACTCTGCTTCAATCAAGTTATTCAAAGGTAAAAACAGGAAGTTGTATTTTTGGAAACAGTGATAACCTGTGACATCAGAAAGCATCCAAGAACATTTGCTGCTTGCTTGCTTGCTTGCTTGGTTGTTTTGCACCTAAATTAAGGGTAATTGGATTTTGTGGAAGAATCTTACTTTAGTTTCTGAAATAGACAAAACTGATCTTCCCCATGTGGTTCAATGGTTGTAAATCCTTCTTCACTGTTTGAAGGTATAACACAAGCGAAGATGTTGAATAAAAGGAAAAGAAGACCCTCTTTCTCACATTCCATTGACTCCTCTGTGCTTTCCTGAAAAATGTTCATCTTTGATTCCTAGCAGGGTAGAGTGGGGTGGGGGCATGGCTTAGGGTTCCTAACATTTCCCCTGCCAGAGCTTCCATGCATTTAACAACTGTCAGACAAGCAGGAATTAAGCAGTTGGATTTTTTTCCTGGCATGGAGAGAAATATACATACAGTGGTACCTCTGGTTGTGAATGGGATCCGTTCCGGAGGCCTGTTCACAACATGAAAAGAGTGCAACTCGCAGCGGTGCGTCTGCGCACGTGTGGGTTGCGATTTGCCACTTCTGCGCATGCTCGTGATGTCATTTTGCACTTCTGCGCATGTGCGAGCGGCAAAACCCAGAAGTAACCCTTTCTGGTACTTCTGGGTTGCCGTGGGACGTAACCTGAAAGAACGTAATATGAAGCGGATGTAACATGAGGTATGACTGTATATGGGGAAAGTTTTACCTGCTAAACCCTAAAGCAAGGAAGCATGGGGGCTTTGGGCTTGCCTGGGTTCTGTTCTATATTTGGTTCCCCTGAATACTGACAGGATGTCCTATTGATTTCTTAGTGAGAAGCAGCTGAAGTATGATAATTACCTGATACCATACACGATGTACGAATTGGGTCTTCTGTACAAACAACAGGATGAAAGAGAAAAAGCAATAAGATTCATAGAAGCTGCAAAGTAAGTGCTGATAATCTTTATACAATTATTATACAATTATTAGCTCAAAATAGATGAGCTTATTTGCTTTAGCTCACTTATAGTTAGTATATCACACAATCATAGAATTGTAGAGTTGGAAGGGACCTCAAGGGTCTTCTAGTTTAACCCCGTGCTATGCAGGAATTGCATGTCAGATGGCCATCCCACCTCTGCTTTAAGAAGGAGAGCCCACCACCTTCTGAGGGTGTCCGTTCCACTGTTGGAACCGCTCATACTGTCCGAAAGTTCTTCCTGATGTTTAGTCAGAATCTCCTTTCTGATGATCCCTTTGTGGCCTCTTCCACCTTCTGAGAAATTGTCAGCGAGGCTCTTGAGCAAATTGTTGGACCTCGCAATTCCTGGCAGATTTTGAGTTCCAACAGATCTTGATGGGTAATTGAAGTCTCCAATGACCACTATATCTGTCCTTTTTGAATATTTGGTAATCTGCTGTCAGAAGGCATCATCCAAGTCTTCAGTCTGGCTTGGAGGTCTATAGCAGACACACACAGTAAGGTCATTGTTGTTTCCCACTCCTACAGCTTTTACCCATATACCCCCAATCTGCCATTAAACTCAGTTCTGTGCAGGAGTCTATTTTGCTGTTCAAAACAGCAGAACGCCAAATGCTTGTCCCAATTTCCACAACCCATCTGAAGGCGGGAACCTGTTGAAACTACCCATGGAAGGATCTGTTGGGAAAATGCCCTGGGGCTGCCTGCAAGCCCCCAGAACTCTGAGCGTCCTCCGGTGTGCACAGCACTGGAAAAGGCATCTCCCTTCTTCTCCAGGGTGCTCAGCGACATAAACCAGCTTGATTTATGCACACTAATCTTCTAGCATAACACAGCAAGAAGCATGAAACATCGTAGATCTAATCTACTATTTATTTACACACTATATACAGACTACAGCATAATGGCGATCGTTCTCTCCAGCTCCGAGAGAACAGACAGGAATCTAGTAAAAGTGAAAATACATTACATAGTACATACAGATAGGACTGTATCTGGTTCTCACGCATCTTCTCAGACAGGCATGTGAATTACACCAATCACAAAATGCAGCATCGGAGGAGTGAAATACTAACAGGATCTTCCATAATGTTAGCACACTAATAAGGAGATCTTAACCCTGGTGCCTGCCAGGCATGTTTCCAGTGGCAGCTGGTCAGACTCCAAGGCCACATGCTTAGTCCGTCATTTTCTCTCTCCATTTTTCTTCATTTATTTCTGTATGCTCAATGACCCCATGACTCGGGACAAATAGAGAGAGAGGAGCAGGAGAGCGTCTCCTTCTCCATTGCCTGCATTATAGAGACATTTGTATTAACCTGATTTCCCCACTACTCCATAAGTACTCAGGGCACACAGGACAATTCTATACCTCCCTGCTGCTCTCAGATACCAATCCTGCTACAACATACAACGTTGCTAGATTCTGCGCAGCAGCGCTCAAAATTCATCAGATGATGACCTGTGCCACAAACTAGATTTGTTGTTTAGTCATCTTGGTCGTGTTCGACTCTCTGTGACTCCATGAACCAGAGCATGCCTTGGAACCTCTCACTTTCTTCTCAAAGCTTCTCCTTTTATATGTCCATGGAGTTTTCTTGGCAAAATACTGGAGTGGGTTGCCAGTTCCTTCTCCAGGTGGATCACGTTTAGTCTAAACTTGGCCCTGCACGGCATAGCTCACAGCTTCTTGGGGTTATTCAAGCCCCTTTGCCATGACAAGGCAGTGATCCACAAAGGGGAAAAGTAGATTTAGTGCTCTGTAAATTAATAGTTAAAGTCTCATGTATATCAACCTTTTATACTCTTCCACACCTGCCCAATGCTCCTATCCCTTCTTTTAGCTTCTTTTCAATTCTTACAGACTTTTATATTCACCTTCTGTTTTAATACCTTTTAGCTTTCCAAAACGCTTCTACATTTTAAATGACTATCCCACCCTTTTATGCTGGTCTTTGACAGTAGTAAATTGAATTTTTGTATGTTAAAAAAAAAAAGCCCAGCAAAAAACAACAACAACAGGGAATGAAAGGTTAGTTTCCCAACTAACATTTTGTCTCTTACAGAAACAATTACAAGGAATATTCCATGGAATCTAGGTTACACTTCCGAATCCACGCAGCTCTTAATAGTATGAAAGTGACTCCTGCTCCGACACCTTGATGTCATTTGAGGGTGATGCACAACACAAGTGTCTACAAGTTACTGCTTGGAAGCCTACAGAAATCATGTAAATGATGTAACAAAAGAGATGTAGTTTATATTTTCTATCATTTGTGATATTTGAATGTTCGTCACCCCTTTTGAGCTGCTTCTTTTTTCTATGGCGCACTTCCATATCTCCGCTTCACATTTTAGAGGGAAAAATCTTATATTTTGTTTATATATGGATTAATTTAAAGCTTGACGTGAAAGGAGAGTATTTTATAAAAATAAAAAAAAAATTGCTGGTGCAATAAAAGAGGAATTCAAACATTTTATTTTTTTATGCAAAGACTAATATTGTTTATGTGCGGAACTATGCAGTGGTTCTGTTTGTAGTTTCAGCAGTCCATGAAGGCTTGAATGTCTGCAATACTTTTGTTATGAATTAATACTGAGAAAGTTGGCTGCCGGTAGCCATAGCTGTATATTTGGATTTAAAGCTTAGATTTACATACCAAAGACATGACTTTTCATATTGTAGCCAAAAGGTGAAGGACTTACGAGTCATTTCATGAATGTTAGCTTGAATTCTGTGCAATATACTGACAATATTCAGCTAAACAAAATTAGGGAAAGAGATGGGGGTTTCGCGGGGTTGCCCTCCAAAGCTGTGTTTTTTTGCAATACACAAAGTCAGTTGTGTAGAGTTAAAGGGGGGCAACCCTTGGATAATGGTAGCAATTCAGTCATTTCCCGCATATCTAGATATATTTAATTAAGGGATGTCACTGGGAGTGAACTGTACGATGAGAAAATACATTTCTACTGTCCTGTGGACATTTGAGGGCCCCTCAGTTATCATCACCAAATGTCATTTGATTCTGAGATTCCTGTAATTTTTTTTGAGGGAAATTGCAATTTCATTGTGAACGATTCACAAGGAAATTGATGCTCATAAATACAACCAGCATTGCTCTACCTTTTTAAACACAGTTCTATGGTAATACAATTAAACTTTCTTATTTTCCAGTTTATTCATTCCCTTATTAATACAACCATCTTATGTGTATTATGCTATGGAACCTGGAGACAAATAGTGTGCACATTCTCTCAGAAATGTAATCAGATGCCTCCCCATAGTGTCATTACACAGTTTAAGGTAAATTTTTCTTTTTCTTTGGAACTCTGTACTTCGGTTATTAATTTATAAGCTGCTAAATGAATGGCAAAGTTGGACTATTAATTTATGAGCTGCTAAATTAATGGGGAAATTGGACTATAAGAGATTTTTATTTTTAAAAGATGACCTATGATCGCAGTTGTGCTAATTGATACTGGACCCACAGTCCACATTCATAAGCAACAGCTGCAGGAGTCAAAGGACAATTCAGTCTAGGTTTCTCAGCACAGCTTCCTAAACTTTAACAAATAGGTTTTCTGTTGAAAGCCAACAGCCTTTTTTTTTTTGCCATATTCTGCAATAACTTTTGCCACCTGCTCCTTTTCAACTTTTAATGTCATCCATTTGGTGGCATTCCTATTTCTCTTTGGGCATTTTAAGATGACTGTAATAGAATTTCAAGGTAGCGGGTCTGCCTAGTAACATTCAGGATAAATTCAAATAGGAAAGATAGTTCATGCCACGTCTGAGGATCACTTTGCAAGACCTTTTCAGATTTGAGTTGTTCATACTTTTGCCAAGAAAAGCACATACAAATTCTGGCGCTTATGGCTTTTTTGGTTTCAATCCATGAGGCAGGCTTCATGTTCATCACATTATTTTCAGTTCCAATATGAGGCTCGCAGACAAGCAGTTGCGATCTAAAAATACATTTTATTATGTTTGCTAACTAGTGGCTGTTTTAATCTTACTGTTTCTGAATGACTCATGCCATATATACATTCTTAAAATATCACTGCGCATTAGAACTCTTTTATGTGTCCAGGGTTTTATGTACAAAATCTCATTAATATCACTGGGTTATTTAATCCATCCTATTAGACAAGAACATGGTAAACATGTGGAGTCACTTTTAGTTTTAAATAAATGTGCTGTTAAATATAGGGATGCAGTTATTCAAGATGCTTAAATCAATCCTACTTATCATTTTGCATTAAATTATTATGACAATTATATGCTTATTAATATTTAGAAGTTTGATTCTTTTAGTGACGTGTTGCTTAAATATATATATCTATTATATATGCACACACTGCATTGTGCTTCTAATAACTGGCAACTGTTTTTACCTTTTAATGGAAATATCAATGAAATTATTAATAGTTTATTGAAAGTTTATTGAAGGGTTACGTTGGTGTAAATTATAATGGTTATGTTTTACAGCTCTCTTGTACTGTTTTTATCAAGGCCAGAAAATAATACGGTAAATAAATTTAGAAGGTTTTGCCAATTGCAACATACCGATCCACAAGGAACGAATTCACGCTCTGTATCCATTTTTAATTCTGGATTTGACAGTGAATGTAGGGGGTTTTTTTGCTTCTGTACTTCTTAGCTCAAAATACTTTTTTGTCTTGGTTTTATTTTACAAGCTAAGAATTTTCACTTTACCTGTAGTTTTTTTTAAAAAGAAACCCTGGAGAGATGTGCAGTCCAATGATACACATATTTGCTTGGAAAACAAGTCTGACTTGGTCAGGGGGAGCATACATCCAAATAATTTTGCACAGAGTTGCAGCTCTAGCAAAGCATAGGTTTATAGTGCAACTGAGCAGTATTTAGGCAGTAATCATATTCATATATCGCTGTGAATTTTGCCATTGGGTTCTCTTACCCTGCCCTCCTATGAAAGGAAAGGCAACTGACAAGAGCAGGCATAGGCAAACTCGGCCCTCCAGCTGTTTTGGGACTACAACTCCCATCGTCCCTAGCTAACAGGACCAGTAGTCAGGGATGATGGGAGTTGGCCTCGGTCCAGTATACCCCCTTCCTTCTGCCCGGACACTGAGGTCCAGCGCCGAGGGCCTTCTGGCGGTTCCCTCCCTGTGAGAAGCGAGATTGCAGGGAACCAGGCAGAGGGCCTTCTCGGTGGTGGTGCCCACCCTCTCATCAGATGTCAAGGAAATAAACAGCTACCTGACGTTTAGAAGACATCTGAGGGCAGCCCTGTTTAGGGAAGTTTTTAATGTTTAATAGACTATTGTATTTTAATATTCTGTTGGGAGCTGCCCAGAGTGGCTGGGGAAACCTAACCAGATGGGCGGGATATAAACAATAAATTATTATTATTATCCCAAAACAGCTGGAGGGCCGAGTTTGGGGATGCCCCGATCCCCCCTGCTAGAAGCGCTTGGGTGAGAGAGAGGTGTCCTTCTGTCTGGTTGTGTTGGGCTCTGCAGACAGGAAGGCTGCGCTCCTACGGAGTTATTCCTACTTTCCAATGGAAGTGCGGACAAGTGCACATATTCACACTGACGGTAGCCGTGTAGAGCCTTGAAGCAGCATTTCAGAACAGGTACGGCCGGGATACAGCCAAGGAATCGCTGGATCCAAGGCTGGCCCAGGGAGCTGCAAGTTGCAACAAAGGGGCCAGTGCTGAGCCTATCTTCTGGGCCCTAGTGTAACAACCGGCTTTCCCTGGGAGGAGGACTGCAGATGGCGGCCGTGGGTCTTCGTTAAGCCCCATTGTTTCCTGGTCAGGGTTAGACTAGTGTCCAAAAGAGAACAGAAGCACAAATGCAAAGAGATTTGAATTCTTCCGGTGGGAAAAAAGCTCCTGACCACAACCGCAGTCTTCTTCCCACTTGGCTGCGCTCCCAGTGCATCCTTACGATGGCGCACTGTTAGACACAACGCAGATTTGATTTCAAAGTGCGCTCCTCACATATGCTGTCCCAAAACGTGAAGAATGGCATTTGTGTGAATCTTTCCATCATTTGCCAGTGAGCTTATGACCAAGTTGATGCCAAATGTGCTTAATGTCCACAGGCAGAAACATTAGCCCTGGTCCATAAAACCTAACTGACTGCACCCGGCTATTCTTCTGAACTTTAGAAAAGAAATAGCCATGGCGAATCATTGTTTAACCATAATGATAATAATAATATCAATGGAGTTTCAGAATCATTGTGGGGGCCGTTTTAAAGGGAAACAAGCCTGCCTCCGAATATGTACAACCCTCCCAGCTGTCCTGGTTATGGGTACTGATGCTGTCAGCCTCTCCTGAACTTTTGGGTCTTGTTATCTTTGATAGCAGCTATTTTTGTATATCTCTTCCCACTTAATTCAGCTTCAGTCCTAAAGCATTTGTAGCCATTTGTATAAGAATACCATGTAGGGTTTTCTTTTCTTTTACATGATCATTTATGCCTTAGAAATAGCAGGTCCTGACATGTTTATATTATTGGGCCGAAACAGCCTGAACTACGGTATATTGTATGAGATCTTTGTGTATTATTTAATGGCATTCATTACAATTCATGAAAAATAAAGGCAAATATGTTTTTTCTCATTGTACCTTTGCTTTTCTCCATATGCCAAGCTTATTCGCTGTTCTGCAGCTCAGCATGATTTGTGTGGTCTCTTGAGCTTCACTTTTTCTAAATATAATTTCCAGCGGAAACCATTCTAAGATCTCAAAACTTAACTTCACTCATCCAATACTCACAATCAGTTTCTGCAATTACAAAAAACATGGTTCCCACCACCCTGCAAAAAAAAACCTAGGGATCATAGGAGTTGTAGGCCAAAAACATCTGGAGGGGAGAGTTTGAGGAAGCCTGCTTTAAAGTTCAGCACCAACACCTTGAATGGTGCTCCGAAATGTACTAGGAGCCAATGTAGGAACATTCCGGGGTCAAATCAGAAGGCTTTTGCAGTTCTGGGAATGTCCCTGGAAAATTGGGACACTTGGAGGATACGAAGATGGCATCCAGATTTCTGTGGTCCTATAGTCCATTGGGTGGACCGAATTTCAGGCTAATGGAATCTACTTCAATTTATTTTTTCCTTACCCTAATGTTCACTCATGACAGCCAGGTCCAAAGCAAGGTAATGGAAAATGAGAATGAAGAACAGAGCCTCCCTCTGAACCGAGGACAAAAATCCACAAATGTATTTCCTGCGCAAAGTTTCCTCCCCACAGTCTTATTTCGGGTGTGCATGGGATTGTTGACAAGGGAGAGCCTTTTAGCTATTTGACAACTGGGAGTCAGAAATCCTCTCTGGACTGCAAATCACACAGAGATCTACCATTACTACTTCTTCCTCTCTGGTCCAGGGCTGAGTCATTCTAAAACCATGCAGGGTGTTCTGGAACTGGGCAGAGTTAAAATCTCAGGTTGTTTAGGTGATGTGTATAGAAAGATGATGGTAAGTGCAGATTTGGGCATAGACAATGGGAGGCGTTATTTTTGAATTCTCTCCCAGGAATTTGGAGAGATGATAGGCATCCTGAAATAAAAATGGAGGAAAAAATGTATTATCCTGAAAGATGGGGAAATCCCTTGATGTGTTTGAATTAAAGAGCTACTGGGGAAGGTGTCATCACCCCATCACTGGGGTGGTGCTGTTCAAAATTCTGACCCCCATTGTTGTGGGAGTGGGGTGCCCTTCAGGGCTGGAGGGTTGGGAAGTCAAAAAGAGAAATATAAGTGAAGGATACATTGTTTGTGAAGTAAATTTGTTAAAACCTTTGAAAATTCAATAAAAACCAACATTTAAAAATATGAAATAGTAAATATATGATTAATAACTTCTTCTTTGGCGATCACTCATAGCCGAGTAAAATGGTCTTCCATAAACATGGCTTTAACAGTGAGCCCGTAAGTGACTGTGGAGGCCAGTTCTGGATCCACACGTCCTTCCACTGTGGGGACATAGGTTTTTGGGTGGGAGTTGATCACAGTGTGGATTTGCCAAGCGTGCCTTCCTTTTAGCATGTTTCTCCCTTGCGTCCTGAGTTCGAGTGTCTTCAAAGCCCATGACACCTTTGGTAATCTGTTCTATTAAGCGCTTCACCCCCTATAAGAAAAAAAGATACGATAATGGACATTTGGCTGGCGTAATATGATTTCTGCATGCGTCAATGTTAAAATCCTGGTAATTTTGGTAAAGGAGCACCAGATGGCGCTAACGACCCTTTCACAAACACGTGAAAGGTTTGGAATTGGACCGTGCATGAATTTTAGAAAAGATGTTCTTAGGATGGCGGCAGCTTTCGAATCATTGCTAGCTATCTAATTACAATTTCTCCCCTGAACTAAATATGGTTTACTGCTGTGTAAAAACAGCCACCAGAATGCAGTCAAGAGGGGCTAGGGGTAGGTTACGCCGATGGTCCCTACCCTCTAGGGACGCGGGTGGCACTGTGGGTTAAACCACAGAGCCTAGGACTTGCCGATCAGAAGGTCGGCGGTTCGAATCCCCATGACTGGGTGAGCTCCCGTTGCTCTGTCCCAGCTCCTGCCAACCTAGCAGTTTGAAAGCATGTCAAAGTGCAAGTAGATAAATAGGTACCGCTTCGGCGGGAAGGTAAACGGCGTTTCCGTGTGCTGCTCTGGTTCGCCAGAAGTAGCTTAGTCATGCTGGCCACATGACCTGGAAGCTGTCTGCGGACAAACGCTGGCTCCCTTGGCCAATAAAGCGAGATGAGTGTGCAACCCCAGAGTCAGGCACGACTGGACCTAATGGTCAGGGGTCCCTTTACCTTACCCTACCCTCTAATATTCCTCTGATGAAAACAGGGACGTCCTAAGGAAAAGCGGGACATTCCAGGATCACATCTGGAACTGGGACAGCTTCTGTAAATCTGGGACTGTCCCTGGAAAATAGGGACACTTGGAGGGCCTGTCCCCCCCAGTACTTCTGTCTTGTTGGGGTAAATATAGAATTAATTGGTTCAGGCGCCTCCTCATGTTGTTCCCTCTCCCTTCAGCCCTCAATGGTCTCAAGCCCATGTGGCTAGATGTCCATGGCTATAACCAGGACCGTAATAATTTTATTTCAGTCAGCGCTGTGACTCAGCAGTTACAATATAAAGTCACATTTTGAACGGCGCAGTTCTGAAACCCGCAGTGCCATCGGCCAGCAAGCACTTTGGGGTGCGTCAACAGCCGTGTCACAGAACGTGACATTTTCCAGCGCCGCCTTCAACAAATCCTGATTCCCCCCTGTTTGCACAGCAATTACGATTGAGGTGTCATTGCAGGACAAATAGGTATACATTTAGCAGCGTATGAAATTACTTGCTGGAAAAGGAATGCTGTATTTTCAACCACTAGGAAAGATACACTTGTGAGATGTTTCCCAACCAGTATAAACATCTCAGATGTTCTGTCCATGACATCATCTCACGGCCCACTCATTCGCCTCTACAAAGAAATGACTGTAAGCACCAGTTCTTTTTCCTCCCAGTCCCACTCAACAGAATTTCAAACCTTTCCGTATCACTGAATGCATTATTGTGATGAGTGGGACCCACCGTCTCCCCCCCCACACACCAGTGGGTACAAACACCTAAAACTGAGTAGCCAATTTGTTACTATTCAGGGAGAAGACAAGGACATGGGGAGGGGGGAAGCAGCAAATTTGCAGTGGTTTCTGCAGGGAGGCTCCAAAAACATTTTGGAACAAATTATGCATCACATCCCTTCTGGTAAATGATTATAAAGTCTGGGTGAAATACACACAAAACCCCTTTCAGCTCAGCCTGCAAATTGAAGTATATTGAGTTTGTAAATCACATACAGACATATAAACCTTCTGTTCCCTTTGGTAGATGATAGGGTTTTCAAACACAGCTACAACAAATTTAACGTAACACAATGTGGAAGTAGCAGCAGCAGCAACAATCCAACAGTGTTGTCACATTTCACCTCAGCTTTGTCCCTCTCTACTATACCTTTTGGCATTCTCGCCTCCCAAAGGAGGGCACTCAACTTGCTCTGTTTTCATAATTTAGAATTTAGAAGGTGTACCTATAGGGATGTACCTATAGGGATGCGGGTGGCACTGTGGGTTAAACCACAGAGAGCCTAGAACTTGCCAATCAGAAGGTCGGCAGTTTGAATCTCTGCGATGGGGTGAGCCCCCATTGCTCAGTCCCTGCTCCTGCCAACCTAGCAGTTCAAAAGCACGTCAAAGTGCAAGCAGGTAAATAGGTACCGCTCCAGCGGGAAGGTAAACGGCGTTTCTGTGTGCTGCTCTGGTTCGCCAGAAGCGGCTTAGTCCTGCTGGCCACGTGACCCAGAAGCTGTACGCCGGCTCCCTCGGCCAATAAAGCGAGATGAGCGCCGCAACCCCAGAGTCAGTCACGACTGGACCTAATGGTCAGGGGCCTCTTTAACTTTACCTTTAACTGTACCTATAAATGCCCACAGCTTTAGGTATGAAAAGGGGGTGGATGTAGCACCATAGGCGCATAGCATAGGAAGCCTTATACTGAGTTAGACTGTTGGGGTTGCCTATGAAGGTGACTTGCAAGTTACAACTGATCCAGAATGGGGCAGCTACACTGGTGACTGGGAGCAGCCACTGGGACCATATAACACAGGACCTGAAAGATCTGCATTGTATCCCAATATGTTTCTGAACTGACATTTAAAGCCCTAAATGGCCTTGGCCTAGTATACCTGAAGGATCATCTCCACCCCCATCAGACACTGAGGTCCAGAGCTGAGGGTCTTCTGGCAGTTCCCTCACTGTGATAAATGAAGTCACAGGGAACCAGGCAGAGGGCCTTCTCGGTGGTGGCACCCGCCCTGTGGAACACCCTCCCATCAGATGTCAAGGAAATAAACAACTATCTGACTTTTAGAAGACATCTGAAGGCAGCTCTGTTTAGGAAAGTTTTAAATGTTTGATGTATTATTGTACAGTGGTGCCCCGCAAGACGAATGCCTCGCAAGATGAAAAACTCGCTAGACGAAAGTGTTTTCCGTTTTTTGAGTTGTTCCGCAAGACGAATTTCCCTATGGGCTTGCTTCGCAAGACGGAACGTCTTGCGAGTTCTTGCGAGTTTGTTTCCTTTTTCTTAAAGCCGCTAAGCCGCTAAGCCGCTAATAGCCGCTAGCCGCTAAGCCGCTAAGCTAGCCAGTAGCCTCGCAAGACGAAAAAACCGCAAGACGAAGAGACTCGCGGAACGGATTAATTTCGCCTTGCGAGGCACCACTGTATTTTCTATATATGTTGGGAGTGGCTGGGGCATGATGATGATGATGATGAAGAAGCTCAGTATTGTCTACTCCGGTGTTCTTCATCCTTGGGTCCCCAGAGTAGATCCCTCGTTGCAAGTGGAAATCTCCTGCAGACTTTTCCCATTCAACACAGGGACAGTCAGGGCAGTGGCTGAGAGGGTAGAGATGCAACACATAAAGATGGGTGCTCAAGGTTGGCACATGCCTCTCTGCTATCATCCGCACCTCAAAAATTCAGTTGTTCAGGTGATCTCTCCAAGCCCATGAGCTCGTCAGGTGTTTGATGTGGTGGCAGACGGTAGTCAGACGAA